CACCTTGTACAAACACATAACAGGAACTCTTGCTCTGCATGAAGAGAAGAGACAAAATAGAATGAAGAATGAAAATTATATTTAAAAGAAAGGAATCAGAGTAAGCTGTTCTGGTTCTGATTTCCACATCTCACACCTTGCATCTTGGCTCATGCTAAGTGGGATATGACATGAATTACGTACAGCCATCTTGGGTTTTGGATTAATGGAATTCCTCTCAGTGTTTCATATCACTTTCACTATGATAGTTTTGAATCAACCATGGCATGATTCATGAAGGCAGGGAAAATTTAGGGACATTCTGACAACGCAATAATCACACACCTTTATTAGGCACCATATTGTGAGTTAGTATGTTTCCTTCCACTTTAGCAGTGAATCTTCAGGAGCAGTACAAAAGCAGGACAAAGTTTTGATTTTACAAGTGACTGAGTGGCTATTGTCATGGTGACAGCCATTCATGGGTATGTTCCAAAAAGGAACCCCTCTCTGTTTCCCATTGGTTTCATGGTGGCATGTGGATGGAATAGCAGATGAACACTATGAGTGCAGTTATAGGACAGGGTAAACCAAGGACAGAGACATGGCCTACTTTAAAGGAGCAGTCATGAAAATAAAAGTTGCACTTGTATCATTAATTTTAATGCACACTTATGTAGTGGCATTAATTTGGCTCTTTGTTGCATGTGCCAGCTGTGATGTAGCTTGACACAACCAGTGCCCAGACATACCTTTCTTTTGTTCCTTTATGTATATACCAATAGGGATTATGGCTTTTGATTTCCTACTTGTTTCTTCTCATTCAGAAGGTCTGTTATTATCTGAGTACCCTTCACTGCTATCTACTTTGTTCTTCTCTTTCAGAGATTTCCTTGAAAAGTATTATGTTGGACTGAAGAGGGAGAACCTCAACTTCCCTATCTTGGTGCGAGAATGTAGTGGCATCCTACCTTGCATCTATGCTCGCTATGGTTTGTTAAACTTTTTTCTGATGTTGATACTTTTATTCACTTTTATTTGCATGAAGGACACAAAGTCTTTATTGAACACAATGTGTCTATTTTGGCTAGTTCTATGGTGAGTTAGTTTTTCAATGCTTTCACTCACCTCAATTGGATTTGGGGACTGCTCAGATAATGGATTCTCAACATACCTCTTTAAAAAATACTTTAGCTTTTTTTTCTCAGCAATTCAAGCAAGATCTTTGCAAGTATCCAGCTGAAGGGGATGATACTGCATTTCCATTTTTGTACTAGTTTGGAGATTTTTTTAACTCTGCTGTATATGCAGCTTGGATGTGTAGCTGTTGCAGCACAGAGTGACTGCAATATGATCCTGGTGATGATGGCAGTTTATCAGGGCATGGCATTCTTTCCCATATCTTCCTTCAATTTATCCTAGGACTTATCCAGTTAGCTGGGGTTGGGTCGGGTGCTATTGGCCTTATGTGCCTGAAGGTAGCAGAAGCAATCTGGGCATCATTCCAATCTGTCAATCAATGCAGGCCACAGTTAGCTGAATGCATGGTAGGGCTTTTCCCTAGGTTACACTTTTTCTTTGATAGGCATGTTTCACACCTAGCCTTTCTCCCCCTTTTTATTTTTCCTTTATAGGCTTGAGTCATTCCACTCCATGCTCTCGCTTCATTCCTTTCATAGGCTACCATGCATTTTAGTTTGAAGGCTGGTTGAGCTGATCGATCATTTAAATGGGGCACTGGTAGATCAACTTAAGATGAATTGCTCCTGGGGCATTAGGTACTGCCTCAACTATTTACATTTCGTCACCTCAGTTCAATAAGGTTGTATCTGACATTTTTATGAAAAATGAGATAATGATATCCAAGTAACCAGCATGGAAAGCAGATTCAGGAGATATATAGATTTTGTGTGAATTCCCTCAAGAAAGGCTACAATTAACGATTCTTCAAGGTTCTATCTACCTGGGTCACAAAAAATCTGCTGCCAAAAATCTCAATTTTAGTCATTCCATTTCATTAAGTCAGCTATGATTCGCTCATAGATCACCATTTGAAGTTAAGTTTAAGTATTCTCATAGTGATGATGTCTTTTACAAGGTCAGCATCTACAATATACCAAATACAAGGCAAGGTGCATGTCTCCCTGAACAACTGGCCTAAAATTTGTGTATTTTGTGAGGGGAGTCTCAGCATTGGAAAGAAACTGGCTCCTAAAAGTATGCCTAGCTACAATGACTTGTTGAATAGAACGTAAACCTGGAAGTGTCAGATGATGTAATATGACATTGGCTAAATATTGAAATGAAACATATATTTATGTTTCTTGAGCACATGCTAGGAGTCTGAATTTTTAAATAATTTTCATCAGAGAATAATTGGGATATCTTGTTGGGTTCAGATAGAACCCTTTATCATAGGCCTTCCAAGAGGAAGTACCTTTGAAGGAGGCTCCATGGTTCTATCTCACTTACGACATGGTAGAATGTGCAGGAACTGAAATGTATTGAGGCGCTTAATTCTTGCATTGCAAGTCTTCACTAAGTGCCATGCCTACTGCAAGTATTAACTTCGTAAAATGTCACATACAACCTGCAGAGTCCTCTGAAGTTTGACCCTCTATTTCTCAAGTTCGGAACATTGTCGCATAGAACCTTATTGAACTGAGGTGATGATTTGCAGCTGTTGCACCTGATGGCAGAAACTTAGGGTTTGTGAGTCAGTCAGACTCATGGCCTCAACCCCCTGAAGATGCAGGCTGCCTGACAAATTTCTGGGATAGGATCCTTCACTGTCCTTTCTCTTTTTAACTTCCTTAAGCCTTGCCCCATACCTGTAGGCTATTCTGCCATAGTTTGGATATTTAATTGTCCTCTTCTAGGCTAGGGGCCAGTCATAGCTTGCCTGGTGCCTTGCATGACTTTGGCTAGGGAAGGCATCACAATAGCTTCAGGATGCCTGTCAGAGGGCTCGCATGGGTGCTGGGCTATATCTGGTCAAGCGCTTGCCCTTCTGTCAGTGAATTTTCATCATATTATATCCAACTTGGAAGGGGGCAATGTAAACACATTGCCCTTCTAGTGATTTTTGCAGGTGTGCCAACTTTTTCCTGGCTTGAAGCATCTATTTTTACTGAATGTTATTTATTGAATGCTCGGTTTGTAATCTGCTAGGCTGGTGTCTTAGGTTTGATCCCAGGTGGAGCCGACCTCTAACTTGAGATGGTTAAGACTTAAAAACCTGATCCCTTCAGGATGTGAAATGCCAGGCAGAAAAAGGCTATAAAGGAAAAAAAAAGCGAAGCTCTAGGCTAGATTTTTTGCGCTTTTTGACCAGCTTTGTCAGGGTGCACAGCCAGCCTAGAGCATCAACAGCTGTTACAACCTGTTTCTGCAGTCAACCTAGCTTGCCAGAGTATCAGATAGAACTTGGAAGTACTACACATTCCAAGGACAAACCCAGTTGAAGTCTCTCTGCACACGCCATCGTCTGTTAATGATTGGCTCAAAATGTCTCACAACAAAGCTACTCGAACTAAGCTATAGGCCAAGCAGCCAACAGACGACGTTCGGCATGTATAGAGATGATGATGCCCAAATTGTCTTTGGTGAGAGAAGCCTTATTCCCACATATGGACATCTACGAATTGACAGATTATTAAAAGCTTTTATCTGTCTAGAGGTAAACAGGACGAGAAAGAAACTTTATCACCAGTTTTTAAAAAAGCACTGGGAATATAAATTTGCTGCAATCCAAGCCTATTTACAGGTTCGAAAACAAGTCCTCATTATTGTAAAAATGAAATATTCAGTTCCCCCACTGAAGTATGATATTTGAAGAAAATTTCTTGCTTCTTTTGAAGTACGAAACTTTGAGGCATGCCCATTGCACGTCAACCTCTGATATAGATCACAGTTTTGCCTAAAACCCTCTACATTAGTGCAAATCTTGAGGTATCTGGAAAGCTGTGAAGATACCACATTTTTAATTATGTGCTGAGGAATATAACTGTTTCTAAAAGGCAATGAAATCAAAATCAAAATCCCTTCTTTTGTCACAATAGTTTTGAGATACCTGTCGGAGGGCTCGCGTGGGTGCTGAGCTGTGACTGATCAAGGGCTAGCCCTTCTGTCAGTGAATGTCCATCTTATATTCGGCTTGGAAGGGGGCAATGTAAATGCATGCCCCCTTCCCCCCTGAACAGAAAGGATGGCAAATTAATTAAAGAAAAAAAAGAGAAATAATGTATATCTCAGAATATTTTTGCTTAATAGTTGCCCCATGTGTTCATTATAATCTCATATAAGGATAGGGTCTTCCTTGTTGTGGGCCACCCCACCACCACATTTAGGCAATGTCTGCCAGTGGGGATAAATACTGTGACTTTTTCTAACTGCATGCAATGAAGGTAGGATCACATGTGTAAAGATGAATTTTAAAAACCATATGTCATGGCAGTAGAGTCATGCCTATTTTCAAGATGTGTCTGGTATATCACAGCATTTTAATTCCTGGGCCATATGTGTGTTGAGAGGCTAGGTCTACACCAGAGGGAAAGTAGGAAATATATTTCTCCAGATTTGGAATCAATCTTCTTTCATGTAGCACAGTATTGGAATGGGATGTTCCATGTCATAACCTCTAGAGTTTGACCTCAGTCACCATGAATTTCATTGAAAATGTCTATGCTCTTTGGTGTTGTGGAAAATAGTAAAATTTAAAAATGTTGGTACCTTAAACCAAACTTTCGTCAAAACCTTGCCTGTCAAAATTGAAAATGTTACTAAATGATGTGCATTACTAAAGGGGGTAGTTTCTTTCCTAATTGTTTCTCATGACCTGTGATAATTAGGTTTAAGACTGTGTTGATTCTTCTTTTTCAGAACATGGAAGAGAAATGAATGCCTCCCTGAGCAACCTCAATAGTGAAGAAGTCCTGAAAACCATACAAGACCTGAATAAGAAATAAGTATATCTATATAACATTAGGCCTAGTCTTTTCTGAAAATGTGCAATAAAGTGATCCTAGACTATATTTCCTTTTTACTAAAGCATAACAGCCAACACACAAATTAATCCAAGAATTCTTGAGATTCAGTCATCATATGGGGGGAGTCCAAATTGCTCTGGCTTGAATTCCATGAGAGAGTCAAGGACAAGTGTAGCACCATCTTTCATTTTTGAATCTGTTCGTGGATCTGGCACCATGACAACCTGCATCCCAGCTGCCAGAGCAGCCTGGACTCCATTTGGAGCATCCTCAAACACAAGGCAATTTTTAGGATCTGGTTGATCCTTGAAACGTGATGCACACACAAGAAATATATCTGGATCAGGCTTTCCATGCTTGACTTCTGGGTCTGAGCCCCCCTGGACAATTATTTCAAACAAGGACAGAAATTCTTTATGGTTCAATGTCTTCAGGTCAAAGGGGACCTTTGCACTGCTTGTTGCTATGGCACAAGGGACTCCCTTCTTGAAAAGGTGCCTCACCAACCGCTCTGCTCCTATAAGAAGAAAAACCATTTCAATCAGCAATACTTACCCAAGCTTTCAACAAGAAAAGTCAAAGTCTCAACAGTCAAGCAATGGGATTCTTTCTTTCATACCAGACTGTTAGAGGAACAGTTAATAAATCATAGCTTTAGAGCTAAAACATTTTAATTTCATGCCTATACCTTTTGTCTTTGTCTATGCCTTTCATCTTTCTTTTACTTAAACCAGAGAGAGAACTCAAAACCACACTATAGCTTCACTCAGGTCAGGAAAACCCTTGCGAACCTGTGTACAAGGTTTGCAGGAATGGAGACGCATGGACAGGTGGCCCACTTAGTCTGCTTGCATATTCTTCCTGGGAAATTCCAATTAGTCACCTCAGGTTCGTGGGAAAAATATATATTTTTCCTACACTGGCCTCACCACTCAACAGAAACAAATGACTTGTGGTCTATCTGCTCCAGCCCTGGAAGGCCTTCTTTATGGTAGCTCATTAGTTTGGTGTTGTCACCCTTTGAAAGGGGCTTGAAGGTCATGAGTGGTGGTCCTAAGTCTTTCATGGCTCCTTCATGCCAAGAAGACAATTTCTAAAATCATTCTAGTATGATGCCAGCACCCTCTCCCTGGAGTCATATGCCATTGTCTGGCAGAAGGGTCAAAGGGGAAGTCACTCTCTTCCCTCAGGATGGAAGAAGACATCACATTTAATGGCTCTTTCAAGGATTAAAGGCATAGCAGGGCTGGACTGGATAGATCATACTGACTCACTGATTCTTACAAACTCACCGTGTGACCCAATGAACCCAACATTTTTTAAGTTGGCCCTTATTGATGCTCCCTGCCCATGAAAGCAGACGTTGGGTTTCCTGATTAGGCCATGTCTTCAGATATTTCTCCCCCTGTTTTCAAGGTTTATTGTATTTGTAATCCTATAATTGGATTGATTGGAATATCTTTTGTTCCAACTTATCTCCTGACTTTTTTCTTTGGAAAAAAGTATTCTGATGTGTTAAAAAGATGCTTCCCATGATGCTTGCAATACATAAATCCAAATTCCTGCTTAAAATATTTTTTCTTCCTCAATAGTAAGCAAAAGATTCTACTGAGTCCTGGTAAACAGTGTTCATATTTCTATTTCATTGTAAATGTTTTGTACATGACTGGTTGAAAAACTGATACTGATAATATATGAAATGCATTGACACGTATTGGGTTGGAAAGAAAGTCTTGCAACACTTTCTAAAACTATTTCTAAAAATTTTCAAAGATCGACCATGCTCAGGATGTCCATCTACAGTCAATGACGAAGCCCTGCGGAACGCCCTCAACGCGTAGCCGAACGCCACCACCCGCAAATTGGCGACTACACTTGGAGTCACCCATATGGCCATCAGCAACCATCTGAACGACCTCAGCTATCAGAAGGTTTACTCGACATGGGTCCCTCATCAGCTCAGCGACTCTGAGCCGTGTCAGTGTCTGCGAATCACTGCTCCTTCGTCCGCACANTTTGTGGTTGATGCTATCAAAAGCTTTACTGATATCATAAAACTATTCAATACGGTTCTCACCCTTGTCAGGAGAGTTGAAGATACCATCCAAAAACGTATAAAATTGGAAACTGCATTTCAATAAAGTTATAAAATGTTGAAAAATTTGCACAGAGTGTTGCAAGACTTTCTTTCCAACCCAATAATTGAGATGATATGATGTAGGTCAGCCAAATCCATCATGTTGGAGCAACAAATCAATCTGATATTGAGCTATCTGAAATTAAAGTACCCCAAAACAGCAAAAGTCAAGCACAATTTTGCATATATCTTGAGACTGGTACAAAAAAGCCTCCTGAAATTTTACGAGTATCATTATCATATTTTTATGTTATCTTGTAAATTTGGTGAAGTTTAAACATGATATATTTTTTATGTGAAGGGGCAAAGGTCAAAGCCTTCGATTTTTCATATAAAATTAGTATACAGAAATATGAACTTAATATATGCACAAGATAGAGCTGAAAGAGACCTTTAAAATGAGTCCAAAATGAACCTTTTATGACAAATAGGTATGAAGTTATTCAAGAAAATATGGGAAGAGGTTAGCCTGACAAGCTAAATTAGGTCAAAATTTTGCAACCTCACCATGGAGAAACCTTCAGTCAGAAAAAAAAAAGTTGATTTCATGTTTTTGGGCCAAATGCTAACTCTGCCAAATTTCGGTGAAATGAATGACCAAAACCTCTGGTTGATCTAACCCATAGCTTCAAGGCAAGAGTTGAAGAGCTTGCTTTTCATGCTTTACAAATCGTTTGAAGCAACTTCTAGCGAGTTAAGAGTAATTTTTCAATATTATTATTATCTTGATCAAGCGACTGAGTTGGGGATGAACCTTCACCACCTGACATGTACCTTTTGCCCATCCTTTCAGAATAGGGACATGATCAAAATCTCCCTATTCTATCCATCATTGCTCCTGAAAAATGCAGTCAATGGTTCCTGTATGCACTATCATGCATCCTTATCTATAAGGTGGGCCATAAATATTCATACCACTTGTAACTTTTCTATTTTTGTATGCCTAAAAACAGCAGAGAAAAAAGTGTTTTTTTTTTTAATGTCAATGTGTCTCTTTGCTGGTCAACCCCTGCTATTTAGACATGAAGCCTTCTCCATCTAAAAAGGCTTAAGGTTAAAAAAATTGTCTTGCTGACCATCAGCCAGAAATGATCAAAGAATATGAATGACCCCCATACAACTTTGACCGTAGCCAAGTGGATTACTGTATGTGAAGTCTGGTGAAAGCAAGCACCCATAAATGAAATCCACTGACCTGAACTGGTTAAGGTTTGTGCCAAGAGAGGAGTGAAACTATGTCTGTCCTGTGCAATCGACCGGCAGACTCAAAGATTCCAGATTGCTGTCAAGAAGAACGTGGATACATCGAACACATTTTGTGAATACTTACTGTGAGCCCTTTTTTCTTGTTGAGATTCAATTGATTCCATGAAAAGTTATTAGTACAGGAAATACAAGACTTTGATTTGGTGTGAATATTTATGGCCCACCCTATATAAAAAAGAAATGAATTGAGTGCATGTATCTGCTTGAGTGACATGATGTAAACTGCCAAGTTGTTGCTTTCATGACATGGGGCTGCCACATTTAATTTGCCCTTTGTCAGAGGAAAGCATATTGAAAGTCCAGCATCCAGCATGCCTGTCTCATTTGCTTTTCCTCATGTTGCTTTTAATGTCCATTCATGACAGTGTCGAACTTGAATCTACAGGGTGGCTCAAAAAAAAAAAACCAAGCTATTGACTTCAACGTGCTGTAAATCAGGCTGCAGTGCTTTGATTTTAGCAAGCTTTTAGGCACATTTGAAACAACTCTTTTGCAGCAGATATAAAATTATATGGTATGATATCACACATTTTTTGCTTTATCAGGATGAAAATGGCCACCCCCATTCGGAAAACTGCTGCAACAGTTCCCAGCTGCCATTTGAGTCACAGCAGCAACAGCTGTTGTTATTAGGAACACATTTCATTTCCTATATCAATGTTTTAAGATGTGTTTCTTCCTATTCCAACAAATTTTTTATTATTAGTAGAACAAAGCAATACCAAGTTACTCACATGAAAACTTGGCAGTGATCAAGACCTGAATTTAAAGTCAGAAAAATGATTAATGAACTTTCTGGTAAAACAAACTTTCAGGTTGATCCTCCCCACTCAACACATGCATTTAAACTTTTCAGCATTCACTTCAGTTCTTTGGGTTCTGGGCCTTCAACTACCTTGCTTTCAAGATGGTGATCCTGTTTTTAAACTCATGAGGTCTTGCTTGATCACTGCAATGTCTTCATGCATGTAGCTCAGCATTGCTTTGCTTTAGAAAAACAAAATCTGGGAGAAGGAAGAAACACATCTTAAAACATTGATGAAGAAGATAAAGTGTTTTCTTAATAACAACAACTGTCTCTGCTCCAACTCAAAATGGCAGCCAGGTACTGTTGCAGCAGTTTTCCGAATGGGGATGGCCATTTTCATCCGGATATGCAAAAAATGTGTGATATCATACCATATAATTTTATATCTTCTGCAAAAGCATTGCTTCATGTGTCCTAAAAGCTTACTCAAATCAAGGCACTTCAGCCTGATTTACAGCACATTGAAGTCAATAGCTTGGTTTTTTTTTTGACTCACCCTGTACAAGTCGCACTTGACAAAACTTTAATTGGACTTGGAAAACCTAAAGCTATACTTGCTGTTGATTGCTTTAAAGTTCTATTCGTGATCTGACATCAAATGCTACTAAAAGCAATAATGATGTATCAAAATGCATCCATACATTTGCATAAATGCATTTGCATTTGAAAGTGCCCAACATGGAAATGCAACTCTGTGGCAGTTGCTTGGCAGAGTCATAATATAAGACAGTCACATTCAACTTTCCTTATATACATCATGCTTTCCTTCAAGGCCCAGCCTAGCAAAACATTCATTGGGTGTTTTCAAAAAAGACGTTCCATCCTTTTTCTATGGGGAAATGACAATTTTATTCTTAGGGGTATTCTCATAAAAATAAAAACCCATACAAATGTAAATCTGACTTTTTCTGATATTCTAATTTAATCCAAATTACTACTCCTTTAAAATGGCAAAATCAGAATTTAAAAAATTATGTTCTAGGCATTTTTTTATAACAATGATAAATTAGGATAATTAAGATACTGCTCAGGATCAGTCTATGGAAACTAAACCAAATTCAAATTGAACTTTTCTAATTTTTAACTGATGAATTATTTTGAATTCAAAAATAAAATAAATCAATTCTTTTTTCTTAGAACTCTTCTGCAGTAATCAGAAAGTAAAGTACACTGGAAGGATCAGGAAGGGCTAGGTGCAGTGCTCTAATAGTTCAGGTTTAGTAATAGTTTTGCAATGTTCAATGCATGTTCAGTCCAGCATCCGAAGGGAAGAGTAATATGAGGAAAGATTTTAATTTTTGTACCCTCACATCAGAATCTCAAGTAAAATTTGTATTATTCTAGTGGGGTTGAACCAATCCTTATTCTTTGGAGTGAACCTGACACCAAAAGGCAAATCCCACATTTCATCAATGGCTCACAGCATACATTATATTCTTTGTTAGATTAAGCCTTCTCAGCTTCATTCTCAAGATGTTCTACATTTAAGAAAATAGGCAGGAGCCAGGATAAAGCCTGTTCCAATTTTTTTTCCCTATGGGAAAGAGTGTTACCTATCCCCCATAGAAAATGAGTCCCCCATAGAAAAAATCTTTTTTGAAACACCCTATAAATTTCCTTGTTGCATTTGACTTTCTTATATCCATTTTTGACTTGGAAAACCTATAGTTTGTGAAGCATTCCCAAAACTAATGATGTCTGGGAAGCCCACACATGATATTTACTCAGTGAATGAGGTATTTACAGAGTGGGCCAAAAAAAAAAATAAAGCCATCATTTTCAGTGAGTTTTCAATCTCTTTGTTGGCTGCCGATTTTAATTAAAATTGGCAGGCTTATAGGGTGACACAATTGAAGTTTGTATACCAAATTTCAGCCTTCTGGCTCTAAATTTATAAGAGCTGTAATTATTTTCTGATGACCAACAACAAAATGTGCTGTCAAAAATATAGATATGAATTTTAGGGCCAGGATATAAGGGGAGGACCGAATTCATGACCTTCCATCCATGCATGATGCTATAAAGGAAGATTGGGGGGCACTGCCACAAATATTTATTGACTGAGCCATTGATCTGTGGTGTCCCAGACAAGAGGCTTGTGTTCAACAGAATGGAGGGCACATTCAGCACCTTTTCAATGGAAATGAACGTCCATACACCAAATTATATGCTTTCATTTTTGGCATTTGTTTTTATTTTGTTTGTTTTTGTCAGTTGTGAAAAATTTTAAGCTGAAAGAAAATATGAACACTTACTTTTTTGGCGATGAAAAGTAAACTAAATGCCAATCTCACAGTTTTTTCAATTTTATTTGAAACTTGGCATACAAACCCAAATTAAGTCACCCTAGGTGGCTACCAAATTTCATCAGGATCGGTAACCTACAATCAATTGACAACTTACCAAAAATGATAGCTTTGTTTTTTTTTTGGCCCATCCTGCATAATGCTCTACTAACATTCCCCTCCAACTCATGTCTTTGTTACATTCATCGCTTTTAGCCTTGTCATCATACTTCCATGTGTGCATTCTTCCCTCTTGGTGAAAGTCCAATGAAAATATTTTTGCCTTAATTCCGCAATGACGTTATTCCTTGCTGACATCCTTCTGATCTTGGCGTAGTTTCTTGTCTATATAATTCCTGTCGAAGTTATTCTATAGTTCAGTTCCAGCAGGTCCTCCCTAACAAGTAGAGGACACTGTGCAGGACTTCTCAAGATGCCCTTAACCTGGATTTCAAAGAAGCTGAGTTTAATTTCTGCCCAGTACACTGTAAAAAAAAAAATGGTTCTCCCTAAGAACTGTTTATTGGTTCTAGAATGAAACTTTCTTTGAACCATTTAATGGTTCTTTAGAGAACCACCTACGAAGGGTTCATGTAGTACCTTCACAGAAGGTGTCACTTAAAACCCTTAGTGAATGACATGGTTCCACTCAGAACCATCACTCAATCCCAGTCAAATATTTTTCATTGGGCCATCAATGACTTTTTGTCAATGTGTATATAAGCCTTAGTTGGGCCATCACTGCCATATGGTGGTTGGTTTAAGCTGGCTTATGATAGGGCATGTCCTGTTGACCCTTCATCGAGCCAACTTGGGCTCATTGGGAAACTGCACATGCCCCAATCAAAAGCCGAATTTTCACAATGGTGAAAAAATACAGGGAAAAAAACAACATAAACTGCATGATGCATTATACAGCATTATGCATTATTTGACACCCTATTGCTCCTTCATCTGGGAGAGATGGAGTATTAGTGGAGTAGGAATCAGTCGTGTAGCTTACCATGGAAAGTAGAAGGATCCTCCGAGCCAGAATTTCCTGGTTTATTCCAGGGCTAGGTTACATCTTCAGAGAAATGTTTTAAGGTATTCAATTCTCTTCCTCTGAGATCTATATGAAAAACCATAGGGAACTTTGTGAAAGGGACAAGGGACTCATTTCAGTAGAATCTGAGAAGTGACTCCCTACTATGACCACTTTGGCTCCATCCCATACCAGTTTTCAGACCCTTCTCAAGTTCTCAGTCACATTAGCTCATCTTCGGCGAATGATTGGCCGGCCAGCTCACACTTGAGTTAGCCATCAACCATCAAAGAGTTCCAGCCTGGACCATTATTTTTTACAGTGTACAATTGGAGTTGAACAGAACCAGCACACTGTAAAGCTCCTGCTTAAACTGGGCCCAAAGGACACCATTATCAGCAAAGAGATTACCTTTACCTCGACACCACCAATGTTGACCTCGCGACACAGGCTGCACCTACAGATCCTGTCCATGTACAAGAGGAACAGGAAATGAGTGAGAATCCAATCCTGGTGGTGTACAGCATGCACCGAGAAAGTCCTTCCCTCCTCCCGCTTTCTCCAACACAACTCATTTGCTGCATTAGGACAGCAATGACTTGTACAGAGTGAGCTATCTACAAATGTACCCACTATTGTCTCAGCAGGTGATTCAGAATAGATGGGTTTTGCAGTATAGAGATGATGGAACTGTTGCCCAGTGGCATCAATTCCATCCTCTCTAAACTGGGATCCTGTTGGGTATATTTAAGAATGACTCACCATTTAGTAGCTGACCACTAATCTCATACTCCTACAGCTCTCCTCACGACCTCCCTCGAAGCACAAGGTCGTATGCCATTTTGAGTTCCACAAGGCACATATTAAACCCTTTCACAGGCAGATGGAAATTTAAGTCTTCAACCTCCTTCTGGAGGAGTCAGTGAAAGAGGCATTGGCATCTCCTGGGCATCAAAAGACTCCAATGCCCCCCACCACACTAGTCTGACAGCCATAGGTGCCATCGCCAATTCTCATGTTGTTAGACATACACTATGCAAGCATCAGTACCCATTTCTTACAGTGCAAAAGGCAACATATGCAATAGAACAAGCGAAGGGGTACAAAAGAGAATGCCTCAATGTGCTCCATGAAAGTTTCTCTTGGGCTGAAACATTGGATCTATTCTGGATTTTTTTTTAGTTCCCCCCCATGATTTGGACTTTTTTTTTTATAACACAATTTTACATTTTAAAATGTCCACCAATTTATGAAAAAGAGCAGCAGCATCAGTGTTTCTAAGATGTACATCCTTCTTGAGAAGGCAATCTGAGAACACAAACCTGGCAGAAGCTGGGCAGAGGGGAACAGCTCCACCTGAACATGACTCATTTCTTTGAGATACTCCTCTGGGGTGATGGGAAGCTGGAGAGAATGACAAATCATCCTGGCACACTCTGAAGAATGTTTCCCCATTTGCTGCACTTTCAACTCCCAAGTGAATTCCTTTCCATATTGACCCACCACATCTTGGGTAGCAAGAGTGTACAATCGTTCTGTGTCTGCAATATTACCAAAATATGAAGTGATACCAATACCTCAATAGATAATTTGACATCAGAATCCATTACCATCTGTCAATGCAGAGTCAGCAGCATTCCATTACACATTGATATAGTAAGTGTATTGTAAATAATGCTCCACATTTGAAAGCTTGTACTTGTGCAGTGGCATTTTACACCAAGAGTTAATTTTGTGAATATTTTTTAAGCGTAGCATTTTCTCTGTCCCTTCAGGCAATTTTGAGATCTTGCACATTTTCTTTAACTGTTCCATAAAGCTTTCACACCATATAACTCTTGCTCTGCACTGGAACTCAAACAAGGCCTGTCATGTAGTTCCCTTTTTAAGCAATATCAATGAAAAACTGGTTGCACTGCAAAATGTCTACAAGTTCCTGATGAATCAGCTTCTTGTTAAAAGTTCTTCAGAATTGGCATGCATTCTTCCTGGTATTAACACTGTCTATTGCCCCTATTGCTGCATCCATGTTCTTGATTGTGTACATCATTTTTAGTATAGGATTTCCACATTACCTTAAACCAGGGGTGTCAAACATATGGCCTGCGGGCTGGATCCGGCCCACAGTCTGCTTTTTAAATTTTCTGCATGGATTGTGTGTCAGCACACACTTCACTGAAATGTTATGGGTGCGGCCCACAGGCATCTGTAGGGTAAGGAATGCAGCCCGCAGACCGATTTCAGTTTGACACCCCTGCCTTAAACAATGGAGAACATGTTACACCCCCAAATTCTATCAATTAATGTGGTGAAACATCACAATGCATTGCTACATTTTTTAAATGTCCCATAAAACAAGATGTCCCACACTTTTAAAGAAAACACCTGGCAACTTTACTCATACAACAAAATATTAAACTTGTGTTTAGTCCCAACACCTGATTCTAGCCAGTAAGCCTGCAGGCCATAGGAAATAGGAACTTGTTCTAAAGGTGCATTGATTTTTCTTGCTATGTTTATACTTGCAGGGGTGTCAAACAAATGGCCCACAGGCCAGATATGGCCCATCACCTGTTCTTGAAATTTTCACCTGGATTGACTCTCAGCACCCTCTGCACACAAGCTTATGGGTGTGGCCTGCAGCTATCTGCAGGTTAAGGAATTCAGCCCACCAACCAATTTGAGTTTAACACCCCTGCTCTAATGCTTTATTCAGATAACAAAAAAATCAGAAAGATTATCCTGTACACAATTCAGGAGAGCAATCCAACTGTCAGTTGGTATGAATAGCTCTTTCTACACTTCAGACTTTCAGCCTTACTCAGTTTGGGAATCATCTTACCTTGGGGGGTTGATAATATCAAAATAATTGAGAAAAAATTAAAAACCTTAAACCTCCACAAGTCAAAGAGCACAATCAGCACACTGTAGCTTAAGGGTCACATCAATATGCCTCAACCCAGTTAATGTTCTAGAACCTGTTCTTGATGTATATAGACAAGACCACACAGTGGTTCTATGATGCGCCTCAAATAAAAAAAGGTGCCAATTTATTCATTTCATATCTCTATCCAGCACCATACAAGTCACATTTTTTCCTACATGTGACATCTTCAATGAAATAGTATTTGAATTGTAATTGAATAGCATTGAAGTACCAAAAATCATAGCAAACAAACAGAGTACTGCTCCTCTCCAAGGATGAGACATTAACACTCTCCAACATGACTGAATGCAAGCAGCAGGAAGTCCTAGGGAAGAAATTAGTTTAGGATACCTTTCCCATCATTATAGTAGCTTGGTGTTCTCATTGCACTTTAAATAAATCATTTTCTAGGATCTTCTGTAGACCTAAATAACTGTCCATTCATCCAAAATGTCATGTGCAAAGAACTATTAGGCTCACCTGATGTTGGTAGGAGATATTTAAAAAAATGTAAAGCAATCACAACTACACACAATGAGAGTAATTTATCAAAAACCTTCAGTAAGACTGCCTGTCATCTGCACTCTGCTATGTTGGAGCATACCAAAGTGAAGTATCAGGTAAGGAGCAATGAGCAAACTGTTTTTTCATTGTAATTTTCAGTACTACTAAATTGAAAAATCATTGCATTTGAAGCAATGGGTGGATTGTTTTCTTTTACACTAGGCAGAAATCTTGGTCATTCATCTGAAATCTCATATGCAGAAAAACATGGGGCTTGCATTCTATTGAAGGGAGATATTTAAAAAAAAATAATGTTACCATTTTTTCTTGGACACTAGATATTGATGCCAATGCCACTAGATATGACAGAAAAGAAGTGGGAACATTCAGTGTGGCAGGAAAATATTATCAAACAAGGGTTAAAAAGCTCTGAGTTTGTGTCAACACTAATGAATCCCATTTTATCCCAATTCCCCATTTCATTCATTATCCCATTCTCTTTTCGATCATCTCTTGTGGCAATGCAGTCACCCTCTCTGAACTTCTTTCCAATCATTCATGGCATTTCCCAAAAGTCCTTGAATGTAATCCCCTGTCCTTGATAATAATTGATGCTGTTTTTGAAACATGACATCAGGGAAAATCCCAAAGATTTGTCAAATTGACTTATATTGATTCCTTAATAGTAGAAAACTTCTGAATAAATTCAGGGGTTCCAAACAACTTCTTTGTTTTGGCATGATACAGGATATAATGGGGGGCTTTCTTCGGTAAAAAAAAAAAAAAAAGCTTATAACCCTTATCCATTATTTCATGCTCCCTGGAAGGTAGAAGGGAAAAAGGAAAAAAAAAAACATTCAAAAGGTCTTAGACCAAATTTTCAGTGTCATTCTCAATGCTTTAACTATTTTCTGTTTTAATGGTATATTCACCAAGCTGAGGTTGAACAGACCAATTAAAGTTCTCCCTTCCATTATGATATGTACCACAAAATCACATTTTAATGATTCCCACATATAACATACTTTTTAAGAAGCAACTTATTTATACTTGTTTGTTCATACAGGGTCTTGCATAACCTTTTGCTAGGGGGGTACAACCTAAAGTACAAATAGAACAATTTTAAGTTATGTATCAATTTAAACCTTTATTCAACCTGAATACAGTAATGCATCAGTATTTTGTGTGACCATTTGCTTCACGTACAGCCCTCAAATGTTGAGGGTATAATTTCAACAAATTTTCAAAAAGTTATGTTTCATTTTCCATTTAATGAATAACATTTTGGATGTTTTGTGGGATAACCACCTTAGAATTTCGGTCAGAACCAAGCTCACTAATCATCATACTTTCTATTTTTCCCTTAACACTAGAAGGGTCGGACCCACCTCCATACCTAGAAGGGCTGCGAGCGGTCATTTTGACCGCTACCGCTAAATAATCGTCTGGCATGCTTCTGAGAGGCGGACATCGACTGGCTATCGACTGATGGATAGTGACACTATTAGTTTATTTTTTATTTTGGAACCAGTAAAAAAAAATGTACATTAGGCAATACAAAATACAATATTCATGCATGATTTTTTTGTGAAATTGAAAAATACAAGCCTAATGTTCAAAATTTTGACAAGCAGACAGTGCAAGTGATCATCTTGTCCAAGCATTTGCCACAAATGGCCTTGTTGCAAGTAGAGCATGTGTCAAATGTTTTGCTCCTCTTCCATTTGGAGAGTACTAGACAGTGGCATCGCTTGCGGTCACATTGGGCCTGAGGCTCATTCTCCGGTTGTGTTCAGCATCCGGGCTTTTTCTTCGTGTACTCTGCCCTTAGCTCTACCACTAGTCGGAGAATGAACTTCTGTTGAGAGATCCTTTTTCCAGTAACTTCTTTGTATCTTATAGAAGACCTACGCATTGATTGCTGCCAGGTCAAGCTTATTGTAAAAAAAAACCTGTACAAGGCACCTGCAAGATGCAGCCCTCACAGAATACTTATGAGCCATTTGGTCCACTATGTCCACGTAAAATTTAGTGGCCCTGTAGAATTAATACGATATTGGGAAGCTTCTTTTTGCCTTCATGTATTTGGACACTCGGTGCTTAGCACCAGAACATTCTTATTCTTCTTTCCTTGATATACGGTTAGCATAGTATCATTTGCACTCTTTAGTATGGCGGTCTCGTAAGATGTGCCTGTGACGTCTTCATAGTCTCTGGGATATCCCTCCTCGCAATATCCATTGTTCCAACAATGCTTGTTTGTTGCACTTTCAGCCGCTCAGCCAGCTTCAGCGACGTGAAGAAGCTCTCAGTGGTGATGTTGCTCCCTTTCTTCAGATAAGGGCCCCTGAGCTGCATGATAACATGTTCAGGCAATGACTCATTGCAGGATGCAAGTCATCTTTCCCAAGGTTAGGGAATCCATTGCACATGTACTTTGAGTCAACATCAGCCAAAAGTCAGAATTGTTTACAAAATTTATCAGGCTTGTAGGCCATGTACTGCATGAACCTGCACCGAGCTTTGCTGGGGAAGAGTTGTTCATCTCCAATAACATTCTCTCCAGGTCTGTAGCATGCATAACAATCCTCAATGAATCTGTTCCACACTGCAGATGCCAATGCAAATTTATCTGTCTGCAACCATGCAGATCTAGTGGTATGCACATCAAAAAGCAGGTAACTCATTATTTCTTTGAACCTGTTTCTTCTCATAGTTTGCGTGAAGACGGATGGACCCCATTCTGATGATCGCATAAGATCTAAGTCAAGACTGGCAGCATTATATGCCCCACGGGCATAAAACCGAAAGCAATAAAAGCATCAAGTTCTTCAAGGGAAATCAACAAATTGCTGTCCTCAGTCTGTCTGCAAGCTTCGGTCGCGGTGCACATTTTTACATGCAACAACATAGACTGATCAATGAATAAATGCAAAGCGCTAGACATGCTATTATCTGAAACATTATGTTTAGCATGCGACATAGGTCCTGCTGTCTCTTTCAGAACATTTTGTCCAGACAGTCTTCCAGGATTACTCACGCTGTCAATAACTGCCCAAACAGTTTTGCTGTCCTTTCCAAGTACTTGATCACCCGCAGTATGCGGAATAGGCCTCCCCATGCATCGTCTGCCACTGTGTCCTCTGTTGCTGTGTTGAGCACTGTTTGGAACAGTGGGACCTGCATTCAGTGTAGGTGCAGCGTCCCATTCACTCATTTCCTCATCAGCTGAATCAATATTTGACAACTTTCCAACATACTGAGGTATACAATACTTGTCAATACCGTTTAGCACTACATCTGAGCTTGGGTCATCGATGTCTGACTGGTTTTCCGCTAGGTCTTAAAGTTCTGCTGGTATCTAAGCCGGAGTAAAGTTCTGTCGTGGAACCATTGTCACAGACCGCACTATACGAGCATACGTGCAAACACGTCCAACCATGCCAGCAGCGAACAGCATACTGTTGACTGTGAAAAACTAGCAGCAGTCAAAATGACTGCTAATGGCCCTTCCAGGTATGGTGTTCTGTACAGGCATTCCTGTTGCAGCTACAAAACCAATTTTTGTGTGAACGTGTAAAACCCTAAATGATGAAAAGTCAAAGAATTGCAACTTCGTACATCAAAATGTACAAGCATGGTGCCCATTTAAAGTTCACTAACGGTCAAAATGACTGCTGCTGCCCTTCTAGTGTTAAAGCCTTTCTTGATACAGTATTGTCATCTGATTAGCTTTCCATACCTCTTTGAACTTGTTTTTTTGCAACTTGACTGCAGCTTTTTCTCTTTGTCTTTTCCCACTATTCTCCATCGCAAAATTTTTGCTCACTTCAGACAATTTTTCTGTCCTGCCATTTCAAATTTCAATAAATAAAATAAAACAAGATTCATATCCTTTGTTGCAGTTGTCAGTAACTCAATCACTCACTGCGATTCAATGGTGAGATATTCACTTGCAATTGATAAACATTGCACCTGCTTCCCTTGCTTCTCAATAGGCATATGCTCGAATGCAGTCTATAACACATTGCCTTTTGTCATCACCAACCATCCCAGCGATTAAAATTTTCTATGACAAATATGAAATGAGAATAAAATTAGCTTTTAAAATATGTACAACATTCATATTTTTCCTACTCCATAATTGCTGTACCCCCCCTAGCAAAAGGTTATGCAAGACCCTGTACATTACCATGAGGATCTCACTTTCATGAGGGACTTGAGCAGTCAAATGCAATGAATTTGTGCATGCCAAGACTCTTCTATATAATGGAAAACTCTTATTACTCCACCTTCTAAACTTGCATGGGAATGTCATCAATGTAGTAAAGTGGAAGCATGAATGGGAGCGTGCAAGTTTGAAAGATAAGTGCTGACCCAGAGACAATTTTTCTCCATTTTCTTCTGTAACTTGAGATGGGTATAAATATGCAAAGGAATCTCCATGTGCAAAATTAACTGCCCTTTTGTGTATTCATTATAACAGGACTGAAAGTGTCACTAAAATGATCAAGAAATACATCGCAAGAAAATGAATTTTTTCTCCTACAATGTCCTTAACCTCCCCTACCTCCTCCCTCCCCCTCCATATGATTAAGTATACCAATATTTGTAATCCAATATTATGATCCTCTCTCTATCCAGTATTGCACATTGCACAGCTCTAGTCATGACAATTGATGGAAAGACTGCTAACAATAGAATGCTTCAGAGTATGACGAGACTATAACTGGCAAAAAAAGACATGCTCTGAATATTTGAAAATAAGAATCATCAAGCAGAATTCCATGCAGAATTTGACAATATGTATCCAGAAAAGATTCTACAACCTCTCTAGTCATAGATGAAGTACAACTTAGTAACAGAACTTGATAATAGGCCTGTCTATACAGAGAAGACCCCAAACCTAACCAAACAGGACTTATGGCAAAATTTTTCCAAGTAAACACAAAGCATGCCCTAAAAGCAAAACTAAAGAGCTCATGACTGCAAATGGAGCAAGAATCAAACCATGTCAACTGTCAAGATGCTCACCCTCTCTCATTTGCCATGAGTTCATTGATACTGGACTCAATGGTCTTCATATATTTTTATTGAGGTTGAATGTTATTAAGCATTGTAGTTCCATCTTATGATGCATAAAATTATGACTGAACTCAGGACCTCAACTGTCCGTAGCCAATTGATGAGATTTTCACACCTTTTTGTGTACTTTCTTGACAAAACAGCCTATTTCTTACCTTCCAACAATCACATCTATCGAACTCATGTTTCCTAGGACATTAATGATGAGGTTCTTCCCATGGAGCCACAGGAAACGCCACCGCAACCATGTTATATACCTTAAATGCGACGGGGTATCAAAAAATACATTCAAATTAGATCATAGTCGTACAATACAAAATGCATTCCTTGGATGGACAAAAATTACAGGGCGTACTATGACTCCAAGATTCCTCCGGTAGGCCGAGGCATATAAAGGCACCCAGATGGCTCTACCTGTTACGTAAGCCTACTTTCATCCTACGCGCCTACTATCGACCAGCCGATGGCCAGCTACCGGTAAGTTCCATTTGCGAATAGACCTAGCGAGACAGGCCAGTTCCCTCGCCTGGAAAAAAAGAAGAAAAACTTCCATGCACGTGAAGGTTTTGAAAATTGACTTACAAAATGTAACTTGAATGAAAAATACTTAAACTGACCCAGGAGCAGTCCATCCATATCGAAAATCACATGGGTGACGGGTTTGAAGGAGGGAGCCATGGTGGAACAGTGATGTCAGTGCAGCTAGCCTATATTCTTCAAACCGATAGCATTTATAGGTTCATTCTCGCTATTTAAAAAATAATAATATTTAAAATATAGAATATATTAAATTTTATAAAATAAATCTGACATATTTGTTCGTGTTGTTCAAGAAAACTGTGACTTGTGAAGACAGTGATGCAGCGGAACGACGCTCCGTCCCCTGAGAAACAAGCACAAGCAGCTCCTTTCAGTTGGTCGACGGACCTCGGCGCAGGCGACTGTTTGACGTGATCGAGCGTTCTCTGCGCCCCTCCTCCCAACTGCCTCAATTTTTCATCGAAACTCGCATTCCTCCTCTCAGAATGTGATCCGAGTTCTCACCTTGCTGCGAGTCGCCTAGAACATGGTTCTGCCAGTGAAAATTCTGGGCCTTCCCTCATCTAGGGTGTGTCAGTGGCAGACTGCATCGACGATGTTGGCCGAATCCTTTGTGATATTAGTTATTTTGTCCAGTCATCTATCATGGACTCACGCGGCCGATATCACCTGCTCAAATATACGACACAGTTACAAGGCAAAGGGATTCCACCTACGGGAAGACTCTCGTGAGCCGATGCAAGGTGAGTTCGTCACGACATATAAAAAAAAGGCCGCCTGCCTTTTGAGTGCCTACGAGACGAATGCATTAAAGGATTGAGGAGAGATAGAGAGAGGTTGAAAGGAATGTAGAAGATCCTCATGGGATCCAAGATAGATTTTTTTCTTAGGCCTACCTGTAGGCCGCCCTCTTGAAATGCAATGAAGCTGTTGGGCCTGATCTCGTGTTTCGAGTCCAGTGAACTCAGGCGGGGTTTTTTCGCTCATTCTACCCGCTCACGAGGGTCGTGCTCCGTTGTGAAAGCCTGTTTCTCCTCTCTGCCCCGCTTTCATTTTGCATATTTGGCTCGAGGCCGGGAAGCAGATGAGGACCATGAGGCAGATGTTAGGTTTAGTGTGACAGGAACCGCCGACACGTGCTCGCCCCTTTTTTTTTTGCAACGCTAGGGCCACAATGTTTCCATGCACATTCCAGAGACCTTCGTAGAGTCATACTCATGGCTGCTTGGAGAAAGAGGAGAGAGAGAGAGAGATGGAAAAATTGGATCTGGGGGCCAAACGAATGATTCTCCCTCCAGGCTGTAATAATCCCACTGATGACTTCATAAAATATTTCCTTCCCAGGCCGGAAATTCTTTTTGCACTCTTCGTATTTGAAAGTTGAAGTGCCGGCGAGATCAAGGGTCAGATGTGTCATAAATTCGTGGAAAAATGTGACATAAGGGAGATGATGGCCCGGAGGGATACCGTGGTTCTTTGTTCTTGGCATGTATTAATTGGGATTAATCATCTCAGCCTTCTTCTAATGACCTAGCCAACGTTTTCCCCCTCTTTCTTTGTCTTTGGGAAATCCGTTCTGGGGTGGTTAAAGAGGTCGCCGGGAAGGGTTGAACAAAAAAAAAGCATATTTTGGAGCGAGTTCAGCGATAGGTATCAGGACGTTATCAGTCTCCATTCTGGCGCCCAATTAACCGGCGAACGATGTCATCTCGCATTCCTCATCCTTTTCCCGCCCCTCCCCCTCTTTTTTTCTCATTTTCCCCAAGTATTCAGAGCGAGGATGAACCCAGGGGGAGAATGGAGGGATTAAAGAATTTCCTTCATTGATCAAGAGGTGCACTCGGCAGAGGAGGAGGAAAAACAAGGCCCATTGTTCGCGTTCTCTCCTGTCGCCTTCCGACTTCATTCCGCTGTTTTCGATCGGATCTGAAATTCGCATTTGGGACTGATGATTCCGTGTCATAAATGTCAGGATAGGTAGTGGTTGCGCCTTATATTTCAGAATTCTATATTTTACAAGTAGCTTTAATAGGTAAGTATCGAAATCTAACTTCGGCGTTTGGACGCGATGGAATGTGGATTCGCGAAAGTTGAGTCTCCTCCAAAGTGACTTGGTTAAGTTCGGGGTCGCAAACATTTTGTCACACGGAGCCAGGCAGGGCTGAGCTTTTAAGCCGCGCTAAATCAGTCTTTCCAGGAAGCTTCCTAAATCCCATCGCTAAGCCCCCTAAATCATCTCTCAACTGTCCTCTCAGTCTCAGCACGTGGGGAGATTATACTGGAGTTCATCGGGTCTGGAATTTGGTGGAAGAGGGAAAAACAGGCGTAGAGGACCTAATTTGCCTGCAAACAAGCCCTGTTTTTGGCCTCTTTGACCCGGAAGAACCCCCGTCGGCTTCCTCTTACTGGGGGGTCAAATTTCCCCCCTTGTAGCAATAAGCAAGTTCTCAACACCGTCTATTTCCTCAGGAGAAAAGGAATGAATGAACGAAAGGGGGGGGGGAGCTGTAGAAATGGATTGGAATGCCGAAACGATGTTTTGAAACAAGTCTCGCTGTAATTATAGGGGGTCCAAGGCCTTTCCGGGACACTTTCTCACATGATGAATTTGCACCAACTTTTTTATCCCCCCCCCCTTCTAGAGTTCGTCGGACTCGGGAGGGAGGGGGGGAGTAGAGAACAATTAACAAAGACGTTGCAGCGCGAAATTCCTGACAGGAAAATTTTTCCGAATTGGGAGGAGGAAAGAAGAGAAATGCTTTGTTTCTTTGTGTTCTCCCGGCTCCCTTTTGCCAAAGGTCTGGAAAGTCTCTCTTCTCCCCACGTCTTCAAACTTTAAACCGTGCGTGCAAATATGCCAGAAGATTGGGGGGAGAGGAAGAGAAACTAGTTCGCGTGGTTGGTAATATTCGAAGGTCAGTCGTGATCTGCTTCTCCTTCAGCTAGGGGGATCTTGGGAAGAGAGGCGATGTTAGTGTATTGGCAGGAAGTCCTTAGTTCAACGGACCATGGTGAATTATGGAAGTACTTACCAACTTGGAACTAATATCGCCATACCGACTGAACCCCAAGGCGCTACCATGGCTCGGGTGAACGGGGGAATGCCTTCTAGGCTCCCTAGGGGAAAACTAATTACTCCAGGGAAGTGTCTGCAAGCTGACAGATGTTCAGAAATCACGGAAAGCCAGAATGTGTTTGTTCTCGAGGCCTCACAGATTGAGCATATTTCCGAGCGTTTCTGCGAATGAATACGAAGAACCGAAAGAATAGAATGCCTTGGTGTCTATTGTACTCTAAATTGAGTTGGATCCGAACGCAAACTTCCTCTACTCCGAATGACGTCATTGCATCCATGTCAGTCCATGTAACAGCAAATTAAGAGTATTGTGGCATTCTCTGGTTCGAAGATAGGAACTACGGCATTACATTAATTTTCTCTCAGTTCAGTATTAGGTTACATTTCTGAGTTCCTTTCTTTCAGATGCAGGAGGATTGACAGTTGACGATATGTGACAAACCTCCATGCCTATTTACAGGGAAATCCACGATATGCTCACCTCATTCGTTTAATTTCGGTCACTTCAGCTTGAATGACCCAAATCTATTGTCATTTTCTCCATGAGGAATGGTGTGACAGCAGGGAGCACGACTTACCTTGCATGCATATGGCACCTGAACACATTATGATTTTGAAGCTTCACAGAGTCTAAGACCTGTGTCTTTTGGAGTCTTTCCAAGTTTTCAATTGCTTGATTTAATTATTGAAAATAGCACCTAAGGTTTGTCCATGAAGTACAAAACACAGTACTTCAACCGTGTTGAAGCATAAGTTTTTATGATACACATGGAAAAGTCCTGAACGATTTGAACGTCTATCAGCATGATGGATAGTGAGTGACGAAAATAATCTAGCCCGACTTTTTTTGGCAGTATCGCATCGAATTAACCATATCTATTCCTCCGGTTTACATATTTATTCTATTACCTTCCACCTGAAAGTGGGTTTTTCTGTGGGTTCACCTCAGCTGGAAGAGTGCTACCAGGAACTGGGCATAATGAGATGCGCTTGTTCAAATCACAGCCTATTATTAGCCTCAGACCTTGAAAATTCACCTTATGTTTCAATCTGAATGTGAATGATGCTACTGGAAAAAGAAACATGCAAGTCTCCGTCCTCGAGCTTAGTTGACTGTTCCAGGCCGACAGGCCATCCCTGACCTACCCTGCCATAACGCAGTATCATCCGGATTTTTCAATCGTTGCTGGAATCAAGACTCCTTAATATTCCAAAATTACAATAAGATCCCAAGGAAACACGAAGACTCATCCTAACACCTGAGGAAGCCAAGACAAAACTGCTCGATTCCCCCGTTTTGATCCGTGATCCCTGTCAATGGTGTCGAAAATTAATGCACGGAGCCCATATGGCGAGAGTATGAAGTTTTCAGAATCGTTTCTCACTTCTCGGCGAAAGAAAGGAAAAAAAAGGGGGGGGGGGAGAAGAATGCCCCTGTCGTGAAATGATGTGGAAAACAGGCGCGAACTATACCCCCTATTGTTGACACTAATCCCCCCCCCCCCCCTTGCCAACCCCCTGGGATGAAGGCCCTTCAGCAACTCTTCATTTCCTACTCCAGCCCGAACAGATCGGCTTGACAGAACGAGAACTCCACGAGACGGAGGGTGACATGTTGATTGTCATGTCAAGGCGAACTTTACATGAGGAGAGGACTGAAACAACAATCAACCGAGACTGATATCTCACTCTATGGAAAAAGAAAGAATGATGCGTAATAGAGGGTAAATATAATGCCAGTGCGTCCCAATGCCTATGCGTTTCCAAGCCGGTGGTCGGTGGTGGTCTTCCCTCTTTGAGGTATAACCCCACAATTACTGGCCATTACAAAGCCCAGGATATTTGCCCAAGGCCGGACAAGAGAGAGAGAGAGTGTGTGTGTGTGTGCTCCCTTCTTTCTCAACGCATTCCTTTCTCTCCTACGTATCACCGGGTGATTTCTTTCTTTCCAAGGTGGTCAGCTGAAAATCTGTTCACGCGGCCGGACATGCTGCACGCAAGAGATGGAGTCGAATCTGTCAGCGCGGAGTCGGCAGGAATTCGACCGAGGTCTCCGGGAGAAGACCCTGCCTGTGTACAACGCTCTTCAGACCAAGGCCGTTCAAATGGACGGTAACGTTCCTTTTTTATTTATTGCCCCCGTCGCTAATAAACTCTTCTTCCCTTATATGCGAGAGCGATTTGAAATGCTAAGGAGTTTGTGTTTTTTCCCACGATGCCAGAAATTCCGATCTCTCTTCCCCCTCTCATTTTATGGCCCTTTGCCCCAGATGATAAAACTCTGTTTGTCGCCACTTCCGGCCACATGATGAATGAACCGGAATGCGCGAGATTGAATGCATCCATCTATTTGCTAATCAGGGTTGCCCCCTCGTTATAATAATCACTTGTATGTGACTTATGAAATATTTCAAGTTGTAGATGGGGAACGAGCTCCGAGATGCAATATGGAGCAGGGTTCCTTCTTCATTATTCCCTTCCCTTTGCCTCAGATCGTTTTCTTCCGTTCTTCACGCTTGAATGCCCACCGTATGGGGAAAGAATATGGGGATCCATCTCCCCCTCCCCTTCCCCCCCCCTTCCCAGATATCTTCCTTTAGAGCGAAAATGCCTCTCTTCTGCACCACTTCTCGTGGGTTCAATCTCGGGAATCCATGGCGAAATTCCCTCTATGGATTCAATATTGCTGGGTAAGGGAGAGGGGGGGGGGGGGGGAAGAGGAATTATCTGGGGACAAACAAGTCTTCCCAAGCCAGAACTTGTTTTTCCATCCCTTGTCAGCCTTCGGGTTAAAGATAAGCCTAGATGGTGGGAGAGTGACGGTCAACAGACTCGATACGCCCTCCAGCCCTCTGTCATTGCTTCATTCAGACTTCCTTAATCGGGATAATTGCTGGATTCCAGACGACTGGACGTGCAGTGAAGATAGAACGAAAGTTCGTGGAAGTACTGTTATCTAAGCGAAATCCTTGAGATAGGGCATATGTCAATGTTTGTTTTAGATGCGTGACGTCGTCTTTTCTCTCGCTCTCGCGCGCATTTCCTTGTGAGAGGAATTCCATGAACTTGGAACTGTGAATCTCGGCCAATGTAAGCATCGCAAACTGAACGTGAACTTTCTTCGGGAGAACCAGCTCTACTGGGTGACCCAAATGAGCATGACTTAAGCTACTAGAAGGATTAACTTTAAAAACTTGAAATTTAAGAGTAAGATGGGCTATTAATGGTATGGAGATTCTTCGTGTTAATATCTATCTGCCCCTGACTAGATGCTGGAAAATCTGACTTTCTGTGAAAGGGCTTTGTCTCCGGTGTAATGAGAGTTACAGCCACGCCCTTACCACAGCTGGAAACCGCGAATTCATTCAGACATAGTCACCTTCAGCCGATGGAGCATAATCGGACAGATTGATCAGCGAACCGCGTGAAAACCAAGTCCATTTTCGGGAAGCAATGACCCTGCAATTTCAGTCTTTGCATCTGCACTCTTAGTGGAGCCATTTTCACGAAGCTTGCCGTTGGCTCAGGCTGTTGTCTTTCCGACACCATTTTGAAATTTCATGGTAATTCATCTTGCTTAGTAAGGTGATTATTGTGAAGTTGAAAATTGAAAATGGACTGGGGGGTGGAATCCCTGCATAGCGACTAGACTCCGTCTTTCGCCTGTGTCCTTAAACGTGAAGAGGGAAGAACAATTTAAACGAGGGAAGAATCCAAACAAGCTTCAGTGCAAGAGTTACGTCTTGGCATTAATTCTTATTCATTCGCAAGTTATTAAGTAGGAAAAAAAACCTTTCCAAAATTATCTGTAATAGGGGCAACCCGAAAAATGATGTGGCTCGGGTGATATGTACCGACTGCCAGCACCCAGGTGTTTCCATTTTCAATATCCACTTTCTTTCCGTGATTGGTCACCGCCTTGCTCCGGGACGATGAATTTAAATGAAATTTCACGAGTCCCCTGGAAGCATATCACCCTATGCACAACACAAGTTTTCATGAGATAACTGTAGTAAGAGCGGCGATTTCTTGGTTAAATGTTGGAGGTCCTTTTTACCACACCTAGTTTTTCCGCCCTTGGCTCATGAAAAATCACCAGGTAATGGGTAATAAAAATTTTAGAGCAGCCGTGGCTTTACAGATGTGATCTTTGTCTTTGACGCTGCCACCATCTACATAGGAAGGCATGTGTATGGAATTTATGCGTTGTCATGGTCGTATATGACGGCATGGAAGGAATCCCCTCAGTTGACGAGGGGGAAAGGGGGATCTACATGCTTCCCCGGCCCCCAGAGCATCCGATATCATACGAGTTACATGTAAGTAATGGGGGGAGGGCGGGGAAGCCTTGCAATCGATTTCCTCTTCCAATATGAAAGCCCTGGAATCGATGCATGACGTCACCCTGAGTCCCCCCCCCGTCTTTGTAAAGGTTCTCGAACCCATCCCCCCCCCCCCCCCTCCCCGTTCATGGATTCACGATCGTCAAAGAAATCGCTTTTGTGCTTGGTTCGTCTTGGGGGGTCACTTACTGGAAAGGGGCCCCGAAGTGAGCTGAGGGCTTTTCTTTTTTTCTTTTATTAGACACGCTTTTCTGCACGAATGGAATGAATATGCCCCCATCCGGTCCTAGCCAGGTGTTTACTTTTAAACGTTAGACGCCTCGTATATGATATTCTCATACCATACCCTTCCACACTGGAAATTCCGACAAGAAGGGGCCTTTTTTTTTTTCTTTTACACCGTTGCCTCTGAATGCGGATCTGATGACGAATGATTCTTCCCTAATTTCGGGGTCCCGCCGACCTTTTTCTCTCACCGCTATATTCTCTTTCTACGCGCATTCCTATTCACTTGGGCATCATTGCCATTAGCCCTTTTGATGAATTTCACCTCAATTAATTGTAGCAGATGAAATTCTTCAGTTGCTGATGTCGACAAACTAGAAAAATGGTGAGGGAGGAAAAAGTCCTAATAAATCCATTGAATTTCTTTTCTCATATACTTCCTTGATACGTATTCCTAAAGCTTAGATTTTTCAACGATTTTTTTTGTGGAGTATCTATAAGGCATATAAATTCTAAACATTGTCGTTAAACGTTCTATCAAACGGTATGTCATAATTTCAGACACTTAAACTCATCCTGGAAGGGATAACGATAATGAAACTTGGTATATGACTGTTCCTTGTATGCCTACTCTTTTCGAAACTTGTCTAGCTTTTAGAGCTTTCTAAAGTTTGACCTTTTACATTACTGATTACAATTACCCCGTTGTGAGAACGGGGCAGCAGTCTTGGCAATTCTTAGCTGCAAGCTCCAGCTGTTAAGGATATTTGTGTGAAGGAGAAGGAAAGGAAAATGGTGATGATACTAGGGATAGACGAGGCGGTTTGCAACCCCTGTAAATCGCCTTGTCGCTTGGCGTCCCTTGGAAAACAAGCCCTATTGCGTCCTTTAGTAGGAGGTGATAACCAACACTTGAATTGGAGTGCTGCAGGTGACTCGAGCATATTCGACTCCAGTCCATTCTCTATCAGTAAAATACTTCACATCTGGCGTCTGTCACAAACACTCTCTGATAGCATGCATGAAAATTAATTTCAGGACCAACGATAGTTATTCATCTTGAGATCAGCTGAATTCATGCTGGGAAAAAATCAGATACTTCTCGACACGAAACCAGATGGTTTGGGGATTATGGGCTCAGTTTGTCAAGCTGCATATCTCCTTTTTTCTGGTCGAAGGAGCATGAAAGAGGAGGGGAATGTAACAAGTCACGAACTGTGATTGTTTCGGGGGCTACCAAAACAAAAAAGTGACTCAGCACCTGTCCATCCCGTGGAGAAAAAGAAACACTGGAGGATGAATGAAGTCTTTCTTCCCGGCCTCTGTGTAATATTGTTACCTGGGAAAGACCAGACGGAGATTTCATTATATTTTTTTTTCCGACGGTGAAGGCGGAAGTTTAGAGTTGAAAATAAACCCTAGCTCGGCCGTGTAGGTCTCTCTTCGGCGATGACAACACGGCTTCGTCTCGTGCCAAATTCAACAAAGGAAGGAAAAAAGTTGTCGCGACTCGACGATGATGGAAGAGAATGCCCTCGTTAGACTTATATTTTTTATTATAGGAAGCTCTAAACCACAGCCTCGTTATCTTTATGGCCTGTTTTTAACCAACGAAATCAGAGCAACTCTATCCTCCATGAAGTGTTTTTCAGTTGCCGCCAATGTGTTACTTCAATGGGTTTTGTCATAAGTTAATGGGGGGGGGGGAATGACGCCTCGTCACTTTTCAATAGCTTTTCTATTCCTTTATAAAGGAATAGAAAAGCTATTATTAGGGGGTACTGGTATACCAGTACCCCCTAATTTCAGAAACTGTTAGCAAAAGTAATAATTTAATGGAAGTTGTACGAAGAAAGTGCAGTTCTCCCCTTTCCTTGGCGTACATGGGGAGACATGCATACATGACAAATTTATGAGCACTTTAATTACCATAAAGTTGAAGCTGAAGAAGTAAGCAGAACAAGAAACGTGCTGCATGGAAGGAAAAGGGAGCTCGAGGAGTGACTGTCGATGTTGGCATTTCAGCATCGAAGAATTGTGTTGCTGGGTTTGGTTCGATGACGAATGAGTCGAGGGCAACTGTTGGGTGGCATCGATTGGTGTTGGTTGGCGTCGACAGCCCCGAAGCCAGATGGAATGGATGTGCGAGGGCGGGAGTGGTGTATTACTAGAATAAAGTAGAAGTCCTGTCTTCATTTTAAAAATAAAGTCGTGAAACTTAACGAAAGTAAAGTAATATTCTAATAGAGTGAATAGTCATTTGATTCCAAAATGCTTTTTCGAGCGACCCCCTGCGGAAGAGAATAACTTGCTCCGCTGCTGACGGAAAGGAAGGGAAGGAACGAATGCGGATGGTTGCCGGTGACTTCTTGCTTTCTCACGTGAGCGCACCCTCAAACCCTGATGGTCATCCACATTCGGATCGTTCGCGACTTATTCGAGTTTGGAAGCATTACATGTCGTAACTGCTGTTGAGTTCGTATCTGATTCGTGGTGCGAAGCGACAGTATCCGGTGCGCCAAGGTGGAGGAAGGTGCCCATATGTCACCCTTCGTCGTCGTCTCGACTTCACACAGCCCGTTTAGCAACCGAAACACTGCCGCGGCTTGGTTGGTGCGTTCTCCCGCATCCACTTCATAGCGACCCACTTCATAGCATTAGGTTCCTATAGTGGAATTAGTCTTAAAGTGGGCCCCCCCCCCCCCCCCCCCCCCCCCCAAAAGCATCCTGTTGGATGCTTCATAAAATCCACTGCGGATCATCTAGGTTCTTGATTTTTTCCTATCGCATTGGCAACACTACAAAATTAGTTTCCTTAAAGTTTCATGCGCCTAAACTGTCAGAATAAAAAGCCGACAGTCATACCAAGTGGAGTCATAAAATTTACCGTGCAACTCCATCCACATCATGCGCGGTAAAGATTAATTTTATTATTCACTTTTTATTTAGACAATTTAGGCATGAAACTTTCAGGAAACAAATTTTTGTTATGTTCCTAATGTGATACGAAAAAAACCCACGAACTTAGATAATCCACAGCAGGTTTTATAGTGTCACGTCAAACGGGACGCTTTTTTTGCGCCACCCGATGTGACACCTGCGTGTTTTATCGACGCAAGAAGCCAACATTTTTATTGTTGCAATTCAACAATACAAGACGACTGCCAAAAATGGTGGCGCACAAGTTTACCATGCATTTCAATAAAAAATCGCCCTTAGGGGCCCAATTATGCATAAGACGACATTAACCCAACAGTGAGTTTTCATGGGTTAAATGCCCGATCTCTCACCATTATTGGACACAACTGTCAGATGAGACCATTCCAGGATCAGACAAGTCATAAATTCCCCAAAGGTGCTCCATTGTGGCATGTCGGGATTTCCGCAGAATGTAAGATCTCCATATGAATGGCAGAGTGAGCAAGGCGATCATATACTGTCTTTGTCTTCTATGAAGCATGGCATTTATTACTTATTAATGATGCTTGTATGTTCGAACATTCTGCGCGCTTATGCCTTTGCTGAAGGTTAATGGTCTTCTATCAGGAGGCTTGCCAGTTCTCCCTTTTGTACAATACCTCATGGCTAAGGAGTTAAGAGAGCTTTCTTGATTGAAGTTTCATCCAGACGAGTTGAAGGCAGAAAGCCCTTTATGGTCTCGGACCCGAAGGTTATTTCGGGCCACCCTGAGAGAGAGAGAAGAAAGGAGGGGAAGATTTATAAAATGCGAAAGCGATTTGTCTGGTGACTCAGGGAAATTTTCTCGGAGCCTTTTCTTCTCGTGCTCCTTTTCCTCTCACCTGTATCCCCTCGTCGAAAAAATAAAAAATAAAATGAATAAATATATATATATATATATATATTTTTTTTTTTTTTTCTTCAGAATTCTTCCGGGAATTGGTAGAGAGCAGCAAGAAGGACTTCCACGAGATGTTCAAAAGGACGTACGGGATCCTGTACGAGCAGAACGCCCACGTGTTTACGGATCTCTTCCGCGACCTCCAGTCCTACTACGACGTGGGGCGCCTGGACCTCTCGGACGCCATGGACCGGTTTTTCTCTAACCTTTACCAGAAGATGTTCACCGTGCTCAACTCGCAATATCAGTTCGACGAAAGGTCTCTTTCCTTCAAATCTCAATTGGATTCAAATGTTTCGTATTATTCTTGTCCGGATGCGGTCAGGATTCGGTTTGACTGGTATTGTCGGCGTCTAGATGCATGTTTTTTTATTTTATACCAGCTGCATTATCCTGATAAGAATCTAATTACGAGTGAAATGATAGAAAATTCGTGGTGAATACGTATAGACCTCATTTTCCGCTATTGAAACATTCTTTTACAATGGTATGAGTGGATGGTATACAATTTTCAGGTTATACGAACGATTCAGCCAGTCTCCTTTATGGACTCTTCTTGACATTTTATTAATGCTGACTTACTCGTTCCGGGAGCCGACAGTTTAATATTTGTGATGGTGTTTTAGGTACTTGGGGTGCGTGTCGCAGCTGATGGCAGAGTTGAAGCCGTTCGGAGGGGTCCCCGAGAAGTTGACGATCCAGGTGAAGCGGAGCTTCGTCGCCACCCGCACCTTTGTCCGCGCTCTCTACAAGGCCCGTGACGTCATCGCCAATATCCTTCGGGTACGCCTCCCTCGCAGTTCGCCTCGTGTGGTTGGCTTTCATGCTCTCTATGCGATTGGTTTCGTGGTTGCTGTCTTTATCGGTTGAGTGGTTAAATGACGTTGATCGGGTGCTCTGTGTAGTTAGTTGGATGGCACTCGATTGCTATCGAGGACTGGTTGTAGGACTTGATCGCTCTCCGTGTCGGTTAGGTGTTTCTCAGACAAACTATTGCTCTCTACGCTGTTGGTTGAGCGACTCTTACCTCTACTTTGAGTCGAGTGTCACTGTTGGTTGAGTAACCTTCATCTGACTGGTATGGTAGAGGCAGGTGGTTTTCTTATACTCATTTCTTACGGCGTTGATTGACATTCAACTACTTTCTGTTTTATGTTTGTACGTTAAGTGGCTCGCAACTACTCTCTGTGGTCGAGTTGACGCTAGGAGACCCAGACAGACAACAAGCCTGGGATGCCCTTGCCAACATCCTCCGGGTACGGGGCACGTCCAACGCATCCGTCTCTCTTCCCTTCGCCTCTGACAGACACTAATGAGAGACGGAGATCCGGTTCGTGCCCCTTGCCGCCGTTTATCTCTCCTCTCGCCTCTCTCTCCTCTCCTCCTGTAGATAAATGACACATTTTCCATTCCTTCTCGACCTCCCTCGTTGGCACGACGGAATGGATTTCATACTTGAGGTGTTCTGTATGCCTCTCACCCCCCTCCCCAGTTGCGAGGTAGGATCTTCCCTATCTCTTGTTTCTGCTACCTATCTCTCTTTTTTTTCCGAATGGAGACATTTTGTGCAATGAGGTGCCGTAAGCATCCACCTTTGCACGTCGTTCCAACCATTTCCACATCGTACATCTTCCCTAGTTTCCACTCCCGGCAGGCATGTAAGTCGGCTCCAAGTCATCGAGCAGTCTCTCCAACAACGATGACACCAAAGCTGATTGCACAATACTTGAGAATGACACTAGTTCTAGCTGGCTGAGTGCTTATCACTTCCTGGTGCCACTAGTCACAAGTCTTACGTGGGTGTCCTTCGCCTGCCGAGTCTTGTCTGCTTTTTGTGATTCTTTTCCCACATGACCCATGGAGGATTGAGACCTTTCTCTGAGCTGAAGATCTAAGGTATAAGCTTCGACTTGTAACCAGTGACACTGGAAGGGTCATATTGTCAGTCCACTGACTTTGACTCATAATTTGACTCATAATTGTCAAGGAAACAGGGTTGGTACCTTCTTAAAGATGCGGAGGGAGAGGGAACTTTTTCTGTCAGCCGTGATAGGATAAAGTGACCAGACGTCCCGATTTAGGCGGGACGTCCCGCTTTCAGACCACCTGTTCCTGTGTCCCCCATTGAACTTGCAGTTCTAATACCAGTTCTTGTTTATATTTCAGCAATAATATATATAATTGTCAATGTAACAGATACATTCATATACTTTTTAAAGAGGCAAGGGAAATATTTATTGGGCATCCCGCTTTCGAGACACAGAAATCTGGTCACCTTATGATGGGACAGCGGGAAAACCAAGTGGAAGTAGTTCGAATTACGTTACCGTGAGTGCAGGAGTGCTCAGGGAACCTCCGTAAAAAAAATATATATATATTGAAAAAAAAAATAATAAATTGATCCAGGCTTCCTCCTATCATGACTCACATAGCATCAAGATCCGAGGGAATCTGGTTTCATCTCTTACGTGTCACGACAGAAGACCTCAATGCCTTTAGTCCTTCATTCATCGCAACGCCGCTGGTTTTTATGTAATCCTTGGACCTGACTTCTTAGTCGGCGTAGGGTTCTACATTTTTCGTGAGAGTATTTCATGTAATATGTTTCAGAATCGTTTCCAGGGAACAAAATATGTTTCTCGTTTTCACTCTTGTCTTGCCACCCTTTCCCTTCCCCTTGTCCGAATTTGCCTTGACTACCTACGAACGATTTTGTTGAACTTTGGCGAGGAGTCCCCAACATGAGTCATCTGGTCCTTGATCTTTTCTCTTTCATGCCTAACTACTTAGCTCGTGCATCCTGTTGGTGCTTATTCTCCGAGTGGCTGGTTATCTCGCACATTCGTAGGGAGACCTCACACCTCCAGTCCTATCACCTTTTCCTCTGATAATCCCTTATCTTCACATTTTCGCTACCTCTTCCAGTCTTATATATCTCTTCCTCCCAGCTTGTTATGACACACTCAACCAGTACTGGCATCGTATAAGAAGCTACGGCATGTTTTACGAGCTGGACTTTTCGGCCCATGGCAATACTGGCTGAAAATTAAGAATATAACACATATTTAAATCTAGGAGAAAATGGGATGCACTAGAGGACTGAAGATATTAAAATTGGATGCACGAAAAATTCAAGCACAAGTGTTCATAAATACCAATATGCGATGTCTGTATGGGAATTCTTGGCACTTTCCGGAGCGATGCGTCGGCCTGTCTAATGGGTGCATTGGATTCTCTTATGCTTTGTCCCAATGAAGTCTGATTGAATTGTTGGATTTGCTGCAGATGAATCCAGGCCGAGATTGCGGGCACTCGCTCATGAAGATGAAGTACTGCCCCTTGTGCGATGGGCTGGGTGGGGAGGTGAAGGCCTGCACGGGGCTCTGCTCGGACGTCATCTCCACCTGCCTGGCACGGCATGCGATGCTGCAGCCCGAGTGGAAGAACTTCCTCGGTGAGTACTGCATTTACCCCAAGGGTTCGTGATGGGATGGGAAAAAAAAAGGGGGGGGTGAGAGGCATACAGAACACCTCAAGTATGAAATCCATTCCGTCGTGCCAACGAGGGAGGTCGAGAAGGAATGGAAAATGTGTCATTTATCTACAGGAGGAGAGGAGAGATGGGGGGGGGGGGGAGAGAAGGGGGGGGGGGGGGGGGGGGGGGGCGTGTCGCTTCCTTCATTGTGTGGTTGCCATGCTCGTTGCCGGATAACATCTTTATGGCCGACCTCGTTCCCATCGCATTCCCGCATACTCGTGACGTAGAGGGACGGAAGTGTTGCTCGAATGCTGGAAGGATTCTATGGAGAAGGAACTTTTGAAGAAAAAAAAATAATTTTTCATGTTTATCGATGATTATATGCGTGACATGGGAACAGAAGTGGGCTGGACTATTTTCATGCATCATTTCTCTCTTGGGCTTTTCCTTCTCTGGAGACGGTTCCCGCACATGCATCTTCTCTCCCCCTCTGGATGTGCCTGTTTGTGTTTCCCTTTCCCTCCTCCCACTGCCCAGTCGTTTGTTTATTTTTGCAGAGGTGGGGAATAAATATCAGGATGTGTGGGGAGGAATTTTAATTAACACCTCTCCTTGGCCTGAGTCCAACTTGGGACTGGAGTCGATTAATCTCCCTGTCCTCTGTCTTTGTCCTCCCCTTTTTTGGCATCTTGGTTCTCAGATTCCCTTTTTGATTGATGCTTTCCAACCCTTCGCACCTCGGGACCCCCTCCTCCCCAGTCATGCTTGCTCGGTTTCCCCCCCCCCCCCGTCTATTTCCGCCTTGCAGGACAGGCCTTTTGGCCTGGAAAGTTCCTCATTGAGAACATGCTTGGGAGTCAAAAATATCCTATTTAGGAAGCTTTACAAATAATGGGGAAGAGCAAACGAAACCCTGTTGGAAGTGTATGAACACATGCACATGCCACAAGTGTATGTACAGATCTTATACGAAAAGTCGCTTCAATCTTGATCTCATGTTGTCAGTGCCCCAGTGTTAAAGATAGCTAATATAAGTATGTCAGATTTTGTCTCCTCAAGTATTCCCTGTCACAAGCAAAAGTTATACACATCTTTTTCATTTTTACACAAATATGGTAAGTATTCAATACAACATGAGGCTTACAAGAAAGAAGAATGGATGAGGAGGGGTTCATTTTGGAGAGTCTCACTCAAAGCTTCTTCTTAAAAAAAGATTTTTTCTACTTTTTACCCTTTGATGAATTTACTTTGATGGTGATTCATGGGGGGAGGGGGAAAGGAGCCAAAACGGTGAAAATCTCAATGTAAACTTCATCACTGAGTCACTGGAAGGTAATCCTCAGTCAAGAAAACTTGTGAAAAGTAGGAATGAACAACATTTCTCAACTTTGGTTTAACACAATAATTTTCTGGGTGTTTCACAATACAGAGGCCCTGATCCAGGTGGCAGATCGACTGGAAGGACCCTTCAACATAGAGACTGTGGTCGGACCCATTGACATCAAGATCAGTGATGCTATCATGAACTTCCAAGAGAATGGACCTGAAGTCTCCCAAAGGGTAAATCATGAAAGAAAATCACTTCATCCACACTTTTCTTTCTTCATTTTCTTAAAAATAACATTACCTCTATCCTTTGTATCTCTTCATTTTATTAGAAAAACATAGGATCTACCCTATATCCTTGCAATTTCCAAGAAAAACACTAGATGCACCTTTGGATCTCATTTTCCTAGGAAAACATTTCATGCACCCTTTGACTCCCTCAGTTTCCAAGAACAGTTGCATTTTTTTTGCTCAAGGTGTTCAATGGGTGTGGTCAGCCGAAGCTTGGTCGCAAGAGGCGGGACAGTCCAGGTGCAGGGGAGTTGACCTATCAGACCATGACCTTTGACCTTTCCAAGGAAGATACAGGCAACTCCAAGCCCATGGGTGCTCAGGCCACCATGCTTGACCGTCTTGTCCGAGACATCAAGAACAAGGTCTGTCCATGTTCCTGTGCAATATTTCCCTTCACTATCGATATGGTAGCATTGCAAGATTTCAGGTTCAAAAAACAAAAGGATAGTCACTCTCCATGTTGTGAAATTGGCAGTGGTTCAATGGATGATCTAGGAAAAATATTCAAGAATGGATCTTGGGAATGAATCTCCTTCAGCTGCTGTTTTTTTTTTGTACTCTTAGGGTGTGCATTCTTTTCAGTATGATTAATTTCTTTTGATTTTTATGGGGTTAAACACCAGCAGTTCCTCAGTTTTATGTTTTACATGAATTCTTAAACTAAGGGTTTTTCTGAGCATAAAACAAGTTTTAAAATATTCTCATGTGTTGTGATGATTGTTTCAACGACAAGATGTGCTCTTATGATTCTCCATCAACTCTTGGATTCAGTGAGTGATCACTTGTGTGATCAAGCCTCACCCCCTCCCACCTGTATAAGATTGTCCTGCTGGCAGGCTTGTTGCCTAAGAACTGGTGGAGATTCATTTTAGACTTTCCTGTGATGAACATAGCCATTACAACATAGAAAGATGTTTGTACAACTTGCTGAGCTTGTTTATTGCTTGCAAAAACCTTTACTCCTGAATATATGCAAAGCATCAAACTGCAGATCTGCTGGAATAAAATACTATCTGGAATTCATTCAACTAAGTCTCAGAGTAACATATTGAGACAGATAGCTGTAAAGCTGGATCACTAAGTTGCCTCTGTGGAGCATTCACAGTCTTGTTATAAGACTTCCTTTGTAAATAAAAAAAAGTGTCTCTGTACTCATCCAGTCAATTTTTGCATTCAATCTTCAGTGGAGCAAATAGTAGTGACTGAATCCTCATGTTAGTACTTGTAAACAGCACCAATTTAGGATGAAATGATTGTGGGTTCAGTGTTGAAACATCCAGCTTCTGTGACCTGAAAATCGACAGTTTTATGACAAGTTTTTAAAGAAATAAAGGGCTTCAGTGGGAAGAAGTTGGGAGAATCTGGAGTTATTAAGTCTGTCTTCTTGGAGTAGTTTCTTATAGCATAACCTATCTGGATATGATCCACATGGTATGGTCAGTAATTGGCTTTGAGAAGAATGAAGTTGATTTTTGTTTAGGTGAGAGAGTGGAAGAACTTCTGGACAGAGTTGCCAGGAAGTATGTGTCAGGATGGACCCAAAGCTGACACTGCTTGCTGGAATGGAGAGGAAATCGGCAGGTGAGCTTAAATCTTGCTTTCACCTTTTAACCCCTTGAGGAGTAGGTTTTTTTAATGCCTAGGTCACCCTTAGTGAATACATGGAGGGCAAGAGGATGTCAGCCCGTATATATAGGGTGGCCCAAAAAAAGTTAGACCAACTTTGAAGCTCTTGACCAATTTCACCATTTTTATTGTTTAAAATGGCAAAACAAAGTTCAATCTTCCCTCTTTCAAATGTCATATCTTTTGTTTCATTCTGTTGGAAAGAACAGCTACAGTGACATTTTCAAAAAAGGTACAAAAAAAGTTGCTGATATCGAGCTTTTTCCTCATCATTCATTTATTCTCCAAGAAATTGGATGTCTCTGGCTGACTCAAAGAGCATTAACGTCTAATGGAAGGTTTAATGTGACCATCTTGTCGGTCCACAACAGCTTGCAGGCATGATCTCCATTTCCTGATTGCAGCCTCAATTGAATCCTGCTGCAGTTTGTCCCAGCACTTCAAAATACGTTCCTTCAGCTGCACAATGGTACAGATTTGCTGTTGATGGTAGACTTTTTGCTCCAGTGCACTCCACGTGAAGTAATCCACAAGGTTCAGATCAGGACTGTTTGGTGGCCACAGTTCAGGTTCAATGAAGTCTGGGCAGTTAGACATCAGATACACCAGTGTATCTTTAGTATGGTGAACAGGAGTGCCGCCCTGCATAAAAGTGTAATCACTTGTCAGCTCCTCAATTTCAGGCAACATTTCCGCCAAAACATCTTCGCAATAGCTTTTTGAATCAATTTTAACTCCACATTCGATGAAAAGAATCTTTGTTTTTCCTCAGGTAGACACTGCCGGTGATATCATGACAGAATCTGAGAAATAGCTTTTTTCCTGTAACAGTTGGGCATGTGCAATTTCTTTTTTTGTGTTGACATTTGCATACACACAATCATTTTGCGTATTGTGTGGACTTTTGAGCATGAATTTCTTCTCATCGGAGAACCAAATTTTGACCATGGCAGCATTTGAGTGAAAATGATTTAAGAGCTTCTGGCTTTTCTGCCTTGTTTTGGGAGACAATTTCTGCACTGCCACTCACTTGAAAGTTTTCAGTCTCAAGTCTTTCTTTGCAATTCACTGCACTGAAGATCATGATATTCCAGTTTCTTTTGAAACTTAAGCTGGTGCCCAATGCTCCTACTTGACTGCAGATCAAGGTGCCAACAGCTTCAATGTTTTCTGAAGTCTGGGCAGTTCTTGGACGACCACTTCCAGGAACACATTTTCCACTGCCATAAACACATAACTTTTTCAAAAAGTAAGCGACCGTCACTTTCTTCCACTGTCAGTTTGGAAATTCAGCAAGAATTTGGTTCAGTGAATACTTTTTTTATTCGTGCAGTGCTTGAATCAGGCACTTATCACTCTCACTCAAGCCCATTTCAAAGTGAGGTTAAATCCTGAATATTACACGGTGAATGATTAACCCAAAAAATTGTGAAAGGCAATCATAAAATGCTCTTGGAACAGCACCTCAGAGCACAGGGTGTCCGGCACAATGGGATCAAATGCAATGAAAACTGAGGACAATTTGCAAAAAGCCATGAAGCAAGCAGAGTATCGGTAGACAGATGCATTCCAATCAAAAAGCTGAACAAAAGTGATGGTCACTACTGGGGCAGCAGTACCCACTCCTTCCCTCTTCAGTCTTCTCTCTCTTTAAACTTCTCTTTTCAAGGGCAAAATGTAGGCAAATTTTATGCAACTGACTGGGGTTGCCAAAAAGGTGCTGACAGAGTGCATTCCCTCGTGGGGTTCCAGTTTAGTGACTTTTTTTGGTACCTTTTTTAAAAACGTTACTGCAGCCGTTCTTTCAAACAGAATGAAAAAGTGATATATCATTCAAAAGAGGGAAGATTAAACTTTGTTTTGCCATTTTAAGCAATAAAAACAGTGAATTTGGTCAAAAGTTATTGACCTTCAAAGTTGGTCCAACTTTTTTTGGGCCACCCTGTATACAGTCATACTCATCAAAGGGTTAAAGGAGTTTTCAGAAGAAGTTCATATGTACCTGAGGAAATCCTGAAACTATCGAAATGCTTGAATTTTTATGGGAAAATGGGAATGATTTTTTTCCCAATTGCTATCAAATTATTCCAAGCGTAGCAACTTGACATTTGATATTTTTTATCTGTGCTGTGGCTCAACTTTCCTGTAAAGTTTTTTGTCTCAGTGTTTCAATTTGGTACACCTTCATCAATGTGCCTACAAACTGCCAAGTTATTTCTGCTAATGGGGATCTCTTTGGTAATTTTCTGACTAGAAGTTTGTTTGTCTTTCTGCCATGCACTTGTGATTTGGAAATGCTTTATATTTCTGGATATGAAAAAAATAATAAAGAAATGAAAACCAAAAAGTCTATGTGGTGAGCAAGTTTTAATTGCAATCATGAATCTGCAATATGGCATGAAGAGAGTGGGCTATTGGCACCATGCAATGCAGCAGTCAGGCCAGTGATTATATCAAGGGTTGTTGATCAATCTAAAAAATGTAATGTAAAAATGTTATAACTTAATCAAATTTTAATTGATCCCTTAGTTCTTCCTTGAATCATGTTCTAGGCTTCTGATTCTGATTGTGTCAAACCCATTTCCCAACACCTAGGCGAACCTCAGGAAGTGACCAACCTACATGTGACACATTCCAGAGTGAGAATCATTACAATTTATAGCCAGATAAATAATGAAATGTAAGCAAAGTAGTGCTCTGAGGCCCTTGGACATTTAGCCAACCCATACCAGAAGGATGCAAAAATATAGCCGAATTGATTGAAAGGATACAATGAAACTACATTTTGTGCAGATTTAGAGATTTGTTATTGATTCACAGGCAGCACAGGATGGAAGAGCATAAAAGCAAAAAATGGTAGAAGGTTTCACACTTTCATTTTCTCTTCTCTTGCCTGCCCCTTCCCCCTCTTACGGTTACTTTCTGGGGACTCCCACTGACCTTCACTGACCCACTTACATGTATGCCTCTCACTTCCCAGTCTTTATATTATCCTCTTTCTTGGCTCTCCTGTTCCATGTCCATGCCCAAATCTCCTATTCCTTCTCCACATTCCCTTGCAGCTACTTCATTATGACTTTCTTTTCCCCATTTGCATCTAGTGACTTTTCGGTTGCTTTGACCTCTGCCTCTGCTACCGTAACCTGACGTGCAAGGCATTCCTACGCTGTAGGCTAGGCAGAAGAACACAGAATGCATACCAGTATGCTTGTGGAAGCAATTGGGTCAGGAAGCTTCTTTTTGGAATAGTCTGAAAGTGATGGCTTTATTTCTGACTTATTCTCCGGAAGTAATGTGCCTATCACACCTGACCACAACATTATGGTTGGGTGCCAATAGCCCACCCCCTTTTATGCCACACCACAGATTTTCAATTTCACACATGGCTCACCTGCCTCATAAACTTGCTGGTTTTCATTTGTACTCCATGTTAAAGAAGAGAACATGGAGCAGGCATCATTTTCACTATGTACATTAGTATTAGACTACTACTAAGTCATTCATTCCACCTCAAGTGTGCCAACAATTTTAGAGGTTTTCTGATCAATCTCATATCAAAATTTAACAAAATTGACAGCAGAGGTACTATAATGAAAATAGCATACAACCAAAATTTTGAATCCTTTCTCTATCTTTCACCTTATTGTTGGGAAGTGAGGTTGATGTAGGTCTCTTGCCTCCTCCTTTCATCATATTTTTGTTGAGAGAATCTTTGTTTTTTTTCTTTCCTGAAATGTCATCAGAATTCATGAAAAATGTTCTGAATTTTATAGTTATGCTGGAGAAGGAAAGTTGGATAGAGTATCAACTACAGATTCAGAAGTGCCCTGGGACCCAAATGTTGGTGATCACATGAGTCTGGTCAATGACCAGATCCTTGCTCTTAGACTCATCACTTCCAAGCTGGAAAGAGCCTACAATGGACTTGATGTTCAATGGGATGATGGTATGCTTCCCCAGTGTTTGCTTTTTCTTTATTGCCTTTTTTTTTTATCCCCTTTCCCAATTTTCTAAGTAATAATTTTTTAGAAATATTTCCATAACTTCATGCCTGATAGTCTACATGAGTTGATGAAATTCTATAAATTTTAGATAATTATGAGATAGAATATATTGGATTCATGAAAACTCCTCCCTGGGGATAAGGCCATTTTATACTTTTTTGCATGTGATGTGTATGATTCAGTAATGTATGCAAATGCATGTCTTCATGGGTCCTTTTACATTCAAACACAAATAGACATGTGTAAACATTACCACATGCACTCACAGGTTAAGAGAAAATGTAAGGAGTATGCTTCAGATTGAGTTCTGTTGATTTCCAAATGGCAGCATGCTGTTGCTTTTCCTCTGTTTGTACTTTGCATTTCCTCCTTAGCAAATGTATCAAGATGCATTTGGTCTTGGTGCATTCCCTTTGAAGAGGAATAAGCATGCATGCAAACATATGCATTTAAATGTGTGAACACATGACTTGCAGGAACCACTAAGTCAAATACAGCCTTTACTCTGCTTATGCTCAAGCAGGTGAAGAGATATCAGCAGTAATTGTTCTGTCTGTCCATCAAATTGAGCTATACAGCCAAATACCATTATGATTCACACACAAAGAAAGGGTTTAAGGGTGGATTTTTGAACAGAGCATTATCCAATAATGCAGCTTTATTTCAGAGAAAATGCATTATAAATCCGGTAAATAAAGCAGCATTATCGGATAGTTCTCTGTTCAAAAATCCACCCTAAATCTCGATGTCACTAATGGAAATTACAAAAATATATATGGGGGAGATTGATGAATTGGTTTAGTTACTCACAGATGTTTCTCAGCTTTTATGAATCATGTTACCAAGTATCTTGGTTAAGTAGTTCACTACATAATGGGGAGAAGGATTATGGATTTAATATCACTTATAAGGGACACCACAGAAGTTGGAATGGCTGCCAAGAGTGGATGCCATCAGTGTGGAAAGTGCCTAACATTTTGAACATGTATTATACTATCATCTATCCCAGCCAAAGTAATTTAAGGAGATGATGTTTTACTCACAATGGTGTATTAAACTGCTCAATCAAGATTTAAAGTCATGCAACTCAAATGCAAAGATACATATTTCAGGAGCTAGACCTAGTTGTTTGTCATCTTGTATTCATCATGTGGAAAAAATTTAATTAACCATTGTTCATTTACCTGCTGCAGATGATTGGTTGTCAACCACAAATGCTCACCACCAAGATGTGCTGGAAGGAAGTGGGTTTTCAGAGGGAAGTGGAGACACATGGATGTCATGGGGAGGACAGGATCGTGTGGATGATGAAGACAATTTTGAGGGGAGTGGGATGTACCCCGGTGCACCTGATCGACCAAAACCCCCACCATTCCACCCACCAGATTCCAACCGGGACATCAATTTTGGTGACCCAGAGGTCCCCACCACTATTCCACCACGCATAGGAACCCCAAATGTCCCCACAGGGACTTCACCACCTGCTGCTATCACACATAAGATGACCTTCTCACACGTGGTCATCTCGTATGTGGTCCCACTGGTGGTGACATGGATCGGTGGGACATTCTTTTGACCCTGGATGCATCCCACATCATTGTGTCTAGTCCCAGTTCTCCTTGGAAAGAAGAATGGTGCCAATTTTTTTCTCTGCACATGTGTGCCAATCCCGTTCCCAAGAGCTTGAATCGGGTGTGACGACTGATCTCGCATCCACGATTCCTGTGTGATGACGTGACGATGGAGACCCCGTCGACTGTGATATGGATATTAGAAGACTGAAAGAAAGAGACAGATGTAACATATCTTTTTTTTCCCTCAATTCCTCTGACAGCTGTTAATCTTATTTTCCCCTTTATCTTCCTGACCTCTTGTTTGTTGTGATCATTGTATGACGTAAAGATGTGGATTCCTATCCTTTATACAGCCATTTTTGTATGTCCATCCTTGGAAACTTCTCACAGATGCAGCTATGATTGACATATCTGCTCCCTTTGCAATTGCATGGATCCATATTGGTGAATTTCTTCAGAATTTAATCAATGTCAGCTTCCTGTGGCATTTAAAATTTGGAATCTGAATGATTGCTATTTCATTTCACATTTCTAAATGACACTACTCTGCAAATCAGGACCACCATCAATGAAAGCAGAGTACAATCCATGTTAGACCTATTTCACTCTGAAATTACAAATGTCCTTGGTCTTTCAGAATTCTGTAACTCTGACCTTACAAGTGCCCTTGAGCTTTCTGAATTTTAATTTCATGTATGTGGCCATGTCTCACTCCAACACTGGATGAGGCCTTTGGAGAGCAAGAATATAATCTTACCTTACTACTGGAAAGCATTCATTGGCATCCTTGTGAAAATTCTCATTGTGACTTGGCATGAGGTCTGATTATGATTGAATCCTTGAAAATATGCAGGGTGGCTCAAATATGTTATATCTTGGTAGTTTTCTACACATACCAATGCCTCCCAGCCGAGGTTTTTTTTGGGGGGTACATGTACTTGGTGCTTCTTCAAAAAGTTTGAGCCCGATCCGTTCAGTACCTGAGTATGATTAGTTGTAATTGAGTTAAAAATAAAGTTAGACTCAAGTCAAAGTCAAAGTACCAAAAGAGTTAGTTCCTTCTCTGGAGCCTACATACATGATTTTGGCATGGGAAGTTTTTATTTCTGGAAGGCATATTTAATCAAGAGTTTGTGGAGGTGTCTTTAAAGCTTAGTATGGCCACCAGTAGTAATTTCTGCACACTTGAAACATCTGGTTTCCATGCTCCGGAGGTTTTCTAGCCTAGTATCTCACTGCTGCACTTGTCATAAAGCCACTGCCCTCTTTTACCAACTTCTCAGTCTTTTCCCCCATGGTTGCTAGCATGTAGAAATGCTACTGTAGACATATCAACTGATAGGGCATTTTTGTAAAACTCATAATTAAATGTACTTTCCAGGCATAAAAGGCATTCCATGTTGAAGCTATTAGGTTTGGGAAAAAGTATCTAGAACTTTTTGTGGGTTAAGCTTGAGGGGTTCGTGCCGCGCCGCCTAAGCTTGTTCTGTGGTTATGTTATATCTGAAAAGAAAGACGCTGAAAAGCTCTGCAAAATGTTGTATATCTGCCGTGTATAGCTTTCAGGCAAAAGTTTTCCCGCTCGATTGAAAAATGCGGCTCGACGACCACATCCGTCATTGCTTACTTCTCCAGTTCGATAAGGGGCGCAACGCGAACGACGCGGTCCGTCGCATACAGAAGGTGTACCCCGATGCCTGTTTAAGCAAATCCACGGCATACGAATGGTTTGAGAAGTTTTCACGTGGAGATCGAACTCTTCAAGATGAACTCCGTTCTGGACGCCCATCCGTCATCGATGACGATGCGCTAAAGTCCATGATCGAAGATGATCCGCACCAAACCACGTCTGAATTGGCGAGCAAACTCGGCTGCGACCGTACGACCGTGTCCAATCACCTTCACACCATAGGAAAGGTGCGCAAACTGGACAAATGGGTTCCTCACAAGTTGCCCGAAACTGGGAAGATTCAAAGAGCGACCATTTGCTCATCTTTGCTGTCGCGTCGCAAGGAAGACCCGATGTTTGGCCGGATCATCACGTCAGATGAGAAGTGGGTTCTGTGGAACAACCAACGAAGATCATACTCTTGGCTGGACCCTGATGAACCCCCGAGCAAAATGCCGAAACCCGACCTACACCCAAAGAAGGTCCTTCTGTGCATTTGGTGGGCCCGATTCGGCGTAGTGCACTACGAGCTCCTCAAGACCGGCCAGTCCATCAACGCGGACATCTACTGCATACAACTACAGCGCGTCCATGAAGCCCTACTTAAATCCCGGGCCGCATTGGTCAATCGAAAAAAGGTCCTCTTCTTGCACGACAACGCAAGACCACACGTCGCCAAAAAGACCCAGCAAAAATTGAAGGACCTCGACTGGCAAGTTCTGCCGCATCCACCGTGTTCACCGGACGTTGCACGATCGGACTATTCAGGTTGCTGGACAACTTCATGTGCAAGAAGCAGTTCCCGAACGAAGGTGCACTCAAAAATGCACTTTGGCTCACGGGATGCGGTGTTTTGGGAGAGAGGAATCGGTTCTCTTAAGGAAAGATGGGAAAAAGTTATAGATTGTGAGGGAGATTATTTTGATTGATAATGTTTGTTGCATGAAAAGTTACAGGGGGTCAAAGATATGAGTCGAAAGTTCCGGATACTTTTTCCCAGACCTAATATTTGATCTCATTTCATTTATGAATGGCAATATGCCGGAGGCATGAACTGCTTTCCAACTGTGGATTCTCTTTCCTTCTACTAGCAAGGACTTTCGTCTTTAAAAAAAATAGGTTCATCCGTACGAATTATTTTTAAGAGCACGAAAAGGAACGGAAAATAAATGAAAAGTTGAAGAGATGGTTTTTTATTTTTTTATTTTTACCTATCCTTTTTTAGCCATCATCCTACTTGCTGGTGCTCTCAACATTTTCTAAATCTATATTGATACATTTATTATGAGTCCGAAACGTTGAACAACAAAGTATATGTAAAGGTGATGCAGTACCTTCTAATACCTGTGAAATTTAAATGAAAGTGCCATTTATTGATGTTGATGATTTAGCCATTTATTGATGTTGCTTACAGTCTCTGAATCTTCTGGATGAAGCCAAAAACATGCCGCTCTTTGAAATTCTAAGGTGCTCATGAAAGAGCAGGTAGAACAGCAGTGTATTTTTTATTCATAATTTCTTCTATGTACTCTTTAAACATCTTACAATTTCCACCCGTTCAACTCCATCACAACACGAATGACTTTACCAAAGCAACTGGAATTTCTTATTTTCGGGCTCTCCCCGGCACCGGCCGAAAATGATACATATTTTCAAGGCCGTTTCCACTTTGAATCCACTGAGCAGATCTCTGACTCATTCCTATGTCTTTAGCAATTTGCAACTGGAACTTCTGCGTCTCTGGATAATCTTTTGGGAACACGAACCCAATTTTCTTTAGCTTAAGTTATTTTTGGTTTACCAAAAATAACTTAATAACCCTCTCTTCCTCTCAGATGAACTAGTTCCTCGCAGCTCGTAAATCAATCCGTAAACGATAGACCTGCATAGCTTTCGTTCCTTATCGGAAAATTATTTTTAAAATTCTTGCCCCACCCCATCCTTTCTCAGAGGGTAAAATTTTCCGTGGGCAGGCAAAGAAGCCCTGACCGAGATTAATTCTTACTGGGCGTACTAACCACACTTCCGCTAATATTTTCCCTCGCGCGAAAATAAAATTGGAGTTGCTTTTGTGAATTAGTTAATGAGGTAAAATGGCCGGAGCAAAACAAAGAGTAATTTAATCCCGTTTAGAGGATACGCTGAAGTCACAACAAAATTTGTGTTATCTGCCATCTCATGAACGTCTAAGAATATCAAAGAGCGGCGTGTTTTTTTTTATACTTCACTCTGTATGATGTTATCTATCTGATACCACGAGGGCTACCAGAAACATTCCCGTAACTAATTTTTAATAATCTTAACCAGAAATCAACACACATGGGTAGATACCACCACCCTATGATATAGTCTCGATTCCGCTCAATCACTGATTTCCACCTCTGGAAAATTCGGAATTCCACCTCACAACCCGTTATTATTGATATCTCTCGCACTACCAGCGACAGCAGCGTCCAGGCAGAATGGTGAGGGCTTTCCTTGTAAGGGCTTCTTAAGAATCTCAGACTGATCTGTCAGGTGGTTTAGGTCAAGGGAATGGGGTGGGCGAGGTAACACTTCATATATTTATATGGGGGGGGGGGCAGGGTTAGTATCATAACAATTGATATTGTCATTATCCTTATTGGTATTATCAGAGGGTTGGGCGCAAGATGATTAGGACGCTTTTTTCTGAGAGCTGGGTTCAGTTGAGATTAAATGAATTTGTGATGATACAACCTTTTGACCGCTGCATCCACAGGAACTGTATGCACTATCAAAACTCCACACTATATGCGCAGAATTTCATTTCTCTGACTTCGCTTTGCTGTTGCCAAAATCCATACTTTAGATATTATGGTACCCACCACTCGGGTGAACCTTAACGAACCGTCTGAAGGAAAAAGAAAGAGGAGAGATTCAAATTAGTTAGTTAGCTTTTCTGAGGACCTTCGTCTTTCTCGATTATGCTAATAGAGAAAATTTCTCGTCTCTATCTCCCCAAGGCTTTTTACTATCTCCTTAACGGTTGCCCTTTTGTCTTAGAAAAATTATTGGAGTGCAAAAAAAGCTATCCAATTCATGCTGCTGAATCCTTGCAATAATTTGAATGATTTTTGCATGTCTTCATCAAATTTCCCTCTATGCAGGAGGCATTTTTCCCTCATTCCTCCCCCAAATTGTTAGCCTCCGTTTTTTTTTTATCCGTAGGTTTTCTAAGTGAAATGCGACAAAAGAAAGTCAAAGGTGGCAAGGAAATTCAAATGTGTCGCTGAGCTGCTTGAGAGTATAAAAAACGACACAAGGAAAGTCAAATGCGACAGGTACGCAAGGTTTATCATACCATACCCAGGTTGGGGAGATGCCTTCTCTTTGGATTTTTACAGCGTGCGGCTTCAGGGACATTTGCATATGGTGCTTCTATTGCAACTAATATTATTTGGATCTATACGTCAGGGTTAGTCCTAGGAATTTGCTACCACCGTGTTGGTTCAGTGCAGTGAAGTTAGCCAGGAAATAATGCCACAATAAATGACTTTTCATCTCAAAAGCTTCATTTTAGTGATATTTTTATTGCTGGAGACAATTTGACCCCACGATACTAGTTACAAAATGAAAATAAAAACAAGTATACCTGTTGAGGGTTAAGGAGAGCCCCAAAATCTTCCTCTCAGTTTTTCAATATGTGAGATCTGGCATCCCGCCCCAAATGGTTGGTGGCAGCATATTCCTATGATTAACCCTGACATATCGGTAATTGCCAAATAAGGTTAATTTTAAAAAGAACATATGTAAATGTATTTGAAAGCCGCACGTTGTGAAAATGCAACGAGAAGGCATCCTTTTAACACGGGTATAACATACTTTGTGCATTTGTCGCATTTGACTTTCCTAGTCGCATTTGACTTACTTATTACCACATTTGACTTAGAAAGCCCATAAAACACTGTAATGCCTTCTGCTCGGACAACCATCCAACCACCGTTATCATCCCTGCTGTTCTTTCTTGTACTCCACCCATTGCTCTCATCTTCAACCTTGCAGATGGATGTTTGGGAGCGTACAGTATATAAATGCCGAACATCCATTAACCGAAAGCGACATTATCGAATACTTGAAATCCCGATGAACCGAATGACCAACGCTCGAAATATCGAATGCATTAGATGGACTCTATATCGTCCAATGAAAATCTTTTTGGTGAAAGCTCATTTTAATCGAAGGGTCGAGATGCATAAAAAAAACACAAATTAGTGTCAATGATGGGGTTCTCGACTTGCTTTAGGCTACCTAGCAAAATATAAACTTTGAAATCATATGTTTTATAGCACAGTCCAGGAAGAAAACGACTTCGTCATGTCTGGGGGTCTCAGTCCAGGATAAGTTGCATGTATTTCAGACGCAAATTGAGAAAGAATTTGCGTCTGAAATTGTCGTCGCGAATTTCAGACGCAAAACCTAGCGATACCCATCGGCACGTGAGGAATTTGAGAAATTCTCTTGTTCCTTTTATCTGATTTTCTCCCCTCAAATGTAGTCCGTATCCAACTTGGGAAATAAAATGCTCTCTCGTCTGCGGTTTTTTGTGGAGCTGTGAAAAGAAGGTGTAGAAATGCATGTATTCCGAACAATGACAATGCCCGATATATAAAGTACACCCAGACATGATTGAAAAGAGGAATGTACAGTAGCGCTTCTGGAACTAATAATCAGAGCACAGCTGAAAGGGAGTGTGCAGCCTGACAGCCATAATGAAGAAAATAAAAGTGGCATATTTTCGCCTTTGTAAGCCTGCGGCGACATGAACCTTTCTATTCCCAGACACTTATATCAATAAATCCTTCTATGTATAATCTTGTTCACTTAATTGTCCTTCAACGCAAGTCCATTCGTTGACATATATTTCGATAATTCGATGATAACCCGGATGTCCAACTCAAGAAGGGTGCTGCAGAATTTGTCTGACCAGTGCTGTATATACCGATAGAGCTGTTACTTTGCCCTCGATAATTAAATTACCCCCGAAGTATATAAGAGTTTCGTCGGGCTTAGAAGTTATAGCTGACGCAATTCATGTCGGGAAAGACGAAGGAATCGTCAACCAACGCCCTCTCATAACCCTCGGTATCCTCGCAGAAGCTAGCCAGGAGTTTAGGAGTCGTATATCATAACTGTGAACACTGTCCTTTTGTCCATGCAGAGGTGGAGAGGCTTCAGAATGGGCCAAAGACAGGGACGAAGACAGAGCGACGTTACGTCGATGTGATTAAAGAGAGACCGATTCGATTGACTGTCAAGGTCGTCGTGCCTGTCAAGGACCATCCCAAGGTAAGCAGCCAGTAAAGCCCTTTCCTTTATTGTCTTCATTCCGCTTCCGGTACTACATGTCTTTTGGCACACGAATGAGTCGCAGAATAGAAGGACATCGTTCATCATGGAGGAAGGGGGAGGAAAACGGCCTTTGTCTTGTCTGTGATCGATCACGGACAATCGTCAATCGCGTAGGAAGGAACAGGACACGGAAGGAAAGAAGGGACAGTGAAATTCTATGACATCTTCCTCTAGGATCTTTCCTTGGGTATTAGAGAGTTTTTCCTAAGGCTTCCGGATCAGGAATGAATCAAAGCTCTGATCTGCCCCTCTCATCCATCATCATTTGTCCTCTCCCCTCATTTCTCTTCCCTTTCCTTCCTCTGGCTCGAACCTGGAAAATCCGACGGCTCATCTTTCCTATTCTTATTCTTCTGTGTAGTTCAATTTCGTGGGAAAGTTGTTGGGGCCGAAAGGGAATTCACTGAAGAGGCTACAAGAGGAGACTATGACGAAGATGGCTATCCTTGGCAAGGGTTCCATGAGGGACAAACAAAAGGTAGGACAACAAAAGCCTGTTGTGTCCATGGCATGTCCATTACTTAAAATCTGTCTTGGAAGTTCCCGTTTGCCATTGTGTCCGGGGTTCTCCCCATATATCTAATTGTATAGCATCAGGTTGTCGCGAACAGCGTGTAATTACAACTGGCTCGTTGTCGTTTAGGAGGAAGAGCTGAGGAGTTCCTGTGATCCCAGATACAGTCATCTTCATGAGGAACTCCACGTGGAAGTAACAGCTTTTGCTCCACCGGCTGAAGCCCACGCCAGAATAGCTTACGCCCTTGCCGAAGTTCGGCGCTTTCTAGTCCCTGTGAGTTCCTTCTCGAATCTGGTCTCCTTCCACTTTTCCGCTCCTCGAATTCTGCTACCGTTCCTTATGACGTAGCACTTTCGAAGGGGGAGAAAGAGAACAGACAGGACGTCAGGAAGAATTGCGAAGGAAAGTCACTCGAGCGTTACGCAAATTTTTTCACTCTGTCCGGTAGGCCTGCCAGTATGCATCAGAGGAAGTATTAGGCATTTAGACTATTGAGAATCCATAAAGCCACCCGAGAGTAACTGACGAGGGAAGAGCACTTGGAAGCAAATGTATCCTGCACTTAAGAAGACGAGATGCAATGTTTTTTTCATATAGAGCGGTCCAGGCATGCAGGGGGTCAAGCCAAATGTTATTAATGTTTTCTTAGAAGGGTGGGGAGAACGGCAAAAGAGCGCATGGTTGATGGGGGGGAGAGATGGTAGTGCGAAAGAACTCTTTTAAATTCACCCCTCGCTGCAGTCGTGCAGAAGAATCTTGGGCAATTTTTTTTTATGCGATGCATTGAATGAAGGAATCATCTATGGCTTAGTTATCGCGAAAAGGAAGTTCGTTAGAAGCTACTTAGTTCCTATCGTTACATCTGGTCTCTAGACAGCTTGTTTCACGGAATCAACTCATAACATCCACGTGGAAGTGAGTAGCACCAGCACATCGATCAATTGAGGATGACGTATTAGAGATAGAGTGGGTTGTTCGGAATTTGCACTTATACAGGCGATCACTCAACGGGAAGTGACACGAGCGATATACGAGCAATATTTTCTTTTCTCCTCGGGGGGGTATTCTGAAAATTCAAGTTTTCATCATGCACTAGGACAGGAAGAGGACGAGTAAGGGATCTCCTTAGGAAAGACGCTGTCCTCCCGGGACAGGTCTGACATTGGGACTGCCACCTTCCCTTTTTTTTTCTCTCTCTTCCTCCCTTTGTCCATACAAGCGTGGCCGTTGCCGAAAGCATCCCTTTGAAGCGGGACTCGAAGCTCTTGGAATGGGCGGTGAAAGCCGAAAGCATAGAAACCCCGCATTCTCTTTAGTGGTGATCCTGTCTCTGTCGTTAACATCCACAATGCATCATCGTTATCTCGTAAATATCAGCCGGATCGCAATTAGTAAAGGAAGGTAATTATATACACGTGGACGGAATCCAGCGCCAGATCCCGTGAATAATGAATGAAAATCCCATCCCGATAAATCCTATAAAGGACATAGTACTCCGTATACTGGTATACCTTTGTAAATTGATTCGCAAGATGCCGGAGGATTGCTAAGTGATTCAAGGGTAATATAACGAGAGCTGTTATTAGGGGCAACTATTGGAATGAACTTCAAACGAAGAATCAAATATTTGCACTCCATTTACTATGATGCTGAATATTGGATTGATAGAGAACTTTGCACTTGGCTCCCTCTCGATTATATGGACCTAGTTTGATCGGGATGTGTGCATGATATCATGTAGGAAGGGGTAAGAAAAGGCATGATGTTCACGCTGCCGGCATTTGTATTGGAATTGTATTGGCGCGGCACGGCAGCTGCACATCATTGCCAAAATGAATCTCCTCCTCCTCATCAATCAAGAAGAAACCGAAATTAAGGGCTCCTTTAGCAGTCGGGGGCTTTCATCCTACTGTAGCCTCCCTTCCCCAACCGAGGCCACGGGATCGCGAAATCCAATAATACTAATGATTTTGGGCTTCTCCCTTTCCACTGGCTGGCCTGTGATAGTGACGAAGGTCTTGCCTTAAATGCAATCAGCTAGGAGGTGAATCATTACGATTCCAGGATCACAATGACGAGATCAGGCAGGAGCAGATGAGGGAGATGCGCCTGTTGAATGGCAGTAACGTCATGGCGAATGGCTCGGCTACGACGGCGACTGCGACTGCGACGACAGGCGAAGATTCCGTCGGAGGTGGGGAGATTTCCGCGCATCCGGCTCTCAGGGGACTCTCGGCCAAGCAACTAGGAGGTCTCCTGCTGTCCGGTAAGAAACACCCCCCTTTATCATTTCATCATCACATGGAATGGCTGGAGGGAGGGAAGGAAGGAAGGAAGGAATGATGGGAGGAAGGAATAAAGGAAGGAGAGAAGGAAAGAAGGGAGGAAGGAAGGAATGATAATCTTGGTGGAGATCATTTCCGGGACTCGGAATGGGACATCTGATTGGGAAAAATCCCTTCTTTTCCATGTTCGGACAAGGAAATGAAAGTGTGGCTAGACCTTTCCACCTTACCTGAATGACTTTCATTTTTCTTCTTCTGTCTCTGTCTCTATTTCGTCGTAATAGGAGCTAGGAGAACGATGCTGGGAAGACTAAGAAGTGGGGTCCAAGGAACTCGGGCATTAAGTCAGATGAGTGGACCTGGGACAGATCCCATCGCACTTTTTGGGACACGCCCCAATCCGAATCATCGCAATCTTTTGGCGCTTCTCACCTGTAAAGCCGGAAATCCAGGAAACTTGGATTCCAGTGGGAACGAAGCTCCCCTCTACGACCTGACAGGGTAAGGATTGGTTTGGCTTTCAGTCTTGTCAGGGGATTCCAGACTGGGATTCTTAATGAGCGAACGCAATCACATCTCTTTGTCGTGCTAATTGGATCCCTCAATCCCTCGGAAGGGGATTATGTCACTTGAATCTCTCGAAGATTCATTTTCTTTCGTCACAGGTGCAATCTTTTCGAAGGGTACAGAGATCTAGGACTTCTTCCGGAAGCGATCGAGAATCGACTGACCTCAGCTTCGCCGGAAAGCCGTAAGTACCTTCGATATTGTCTTGCCACGTCGGGGTGAGACCACCGAGTGTGGACCATCAGCAAGCCCCAAGCGAGTTTGTGTGACATCTGGACCCAGAGATTCTCGTATCATCTCGGGGCTCGTAATGGTTTCTTGTTTGATGTGCAGTGGGCGAATTAGAAGCCGGGGGAGGGGGACCCATGAACTTGCGAGCAGCCTTGACGGCAGACCGGAGTCGATTCCGACACGAGCCCTATGCCCGATTCACGAGTCAACCTTCCAATTGAATGGTGATGGATTCATTGAAGAAAGCAAAATTGTCGTCGTCATCAGTCACAGGATTACAATTTTCTCAAGGACCCACCTCTCCCTGTAGTGGAAGAAGAAGTTTCGCCTGTTTGGAGTTCCCAATTAAGCAGGAAGAAAAGTTCTCTACCCTTCTTCTTCCTCTTCGGGGAAGAGAAAACTTATCATGACTGAGCCGGCATACATGAAGTATGGAAAAAGAATGCAAATGAAGGGGGGATATCGGAGGAGAAGGCAGCAGATATGATATCCCTGTGTGTCAGCAGATGCCAGATGATAGAAACTTCCTGAGCTCCCAGATGTGGCCTAGTATCTCATGAAAGGGATCCCTCTTCTCTCTTCCGTACAAAATGCATCGTTTTCGGATATTTTGATCTCGACTGGCGAGTGCGGGTGGAAGCCTGTGATGCATCTCACACTTTATTCCTTCGGTAACTCATCATTTGCATCCTTGCCGCAAAGAGGACGACAACTAGTTAAGAGAGGTATCGAAGATCGTGGCCAGGTGTCCTGATTCTATCTCAAATTTCAGTCCTGGATTTCTTGCCAATATTCATGGCTGAAATTGGAAATGCAGAATGGGAAAAATCGTCAAATCGTCATACGGGGATCTCTTCTTTTGTGCCATCGGCTCGGATGAAAACGCTTAACCATATGAATGATATATCATTATGCCGAGAGGATCTTTTCTCTCCCTCTCTCCCATGTATTGTATGTTTATCAAAAAAGAAAACAGGTCTGTCACGTACCTTCCCACCGTGATGTTTCATTACTCTCACCCATCCCTGTCAGTTCTGTATCGCATGGTAGATGTCGAAGGGAATCCTTGGATGACTCACCCTTCCTTCGTAGCAGTCCTCTTGGTCATCGTGCTACCTCTCACCTCATAATCCATGATTCTAAATAGAAGACTGTATAATAGTGGATGTGCACCTGTCATTGAAGTAATAAAGAGATCACCACTAAAGAGCCGCACTCACTCCTTACCCCCTAAACAGTTCATTGTCCCTCATAAATCGTTCCCCATTGCAGGTGGGTCTCCATTTCATGACGATGGAGATGTGCCCGGAAAAGGAGAACGGGTTCCATCACAAGATACGATCCGTGTAATATGGTTATGGAACCCTAGAGCCTGTTGGAGGAGTATAAATTTACGTAAGGCACAGGCATGAATTGGAGAATCGATTCGTCAAGTACCATGACAAGGGATATACGTTTCCTCATCTCCATATGGTTCACTGCTGACGTTGAATAAGGCCGAATTCCGTTTTGAAATCCCCCTTATTGAAGAGCGAGATGGTCTCATGACAATTTTTCTGGATGAAGCATTCAATCAATCGCCCTGAATCTTGGCAGTTGGCAATGCATTCCTTTGGGAGGGGGGAAGAGAAAACAGACGGCAGACACTGGGGGATCGGTTTCCTCCTTTCCTAGATTTTGATCAAACGCGTAGGAAAGGAGTTATCTCTGGCCTGTAACCAGCCTAAAGTTTTCCCCTCTCTCTCCTTCCTCTCAATTATTCATTCAAGCAAGCACACCTCTCAGTCCCGTAATGGGTGGCTTCTCACAGGGGCTTCCACGTCATTATTCGACATCCGCATAATTGAGGGGCTGATCCTTACAAGTAATGGAATAATGGAGTTAGCTCGACAGTCTTCATACCAACTCCGTGGAAGGGCCGCAGAGTACGAAATGAAAAAGGGAGCCCGCTTTTCTAGGAATTGCATATCATCAACATATTCTCCTCCTTCATCCACATCTCGTGCTCTGGATTTGAATTCATGAATCGGCTCATTGAAGTGAGAGGAGAGGTGACACAGACAAGTCCTGTAAGACAAGGAAAGGGGCTCTTTTGACATGCAAATCAATACCGTTGTGATACGTGTTAGCATATGGATCCTGTCTGTTCGCGGATGCAAGCGCACAACGGAAATGGACTAACAGTCACAGTGACGAAGGAGACATGCCGTGAGAGAAAGGGAATGATCAAGCTATCAACGTTCATCCCATCCATGCGGAATGATTGCACGCTCCCCATTGCCGTTGCATGAGGAGAAAAAGAACAGACAACCTCCCTGGATGAGTCCAGTAATCCATGACGTGATTCTCCTCCCCCTCCATACGGGACATGCCATGCAATCCTTCATTGGCGTGCCCATATGAGTAAGCATGAAACCTTGGCTCGGGCCCTAGCGAACACGTAAGGCGATCGAAGAGAAGGAAGGGATACTTGGAAGAACTCTTCACGGTATGCACGGTCTCTTATCACGGAACATAATCAACGCTCTTTGCCCCTTGTCGCTCCCTACGATCTCTATAGAAAGTTTTTTTTTCCCGTCGGTAATAGCTGCAGGGGATGAAGGTCAGATGCCCAGACAAGGTCTTTCCCCCCTCCTTCCATTTGGATTTCAGTCATACCCCAACCTCAGATCCCCGTGTATGCATTGCCCTTCTAGCCCTCTTCATTTTCCAGTGAATATGGAACGCAGTTTCACGCTCATTTTCGCCTCCCTGTGGATTCAGGTAAATTGCTGCATTTGTAATTAGAGCTTTGGGCTGTTTCAGAGTTTCAATTAAGTTTCAATCTCAATTCCAGTTTTTAGTCGAGAGAAGTTTCCTAACCAATAGTTAGACGTCAGAAAAGCAGGTGCTGCGACTCACAACACACTCTGTTATGCAATGTAGGGAGGCTTCAATTTCTGTGTTCAGCATAAATGTAGCAAGGAGGTAATCGTTAGAATGTAGGTACCCCTACTCGCCTATACCACTGCCATATATTTTATTTTTTATTTTGCTAAATTGAATGGTACCTGGGGAACAGCTTCCGCAATCGTTCTGTTGCGGCCCTCAAGCCCCCTCAAAGCAAGCCCCCCCCCCCCCCCCCCCCCCCCCCCCCCCGGCGACCTTGGATAGGCGGCGTGCCTTCGTTCCTTCTGAGGAGAGTACCCGGGCATGAGCTCGCATCCCTGTTTTAATGGAACCACCTACAAGAAATTGTTTCATTATGCCATCAAAATGGATTACAGCAATTCAATTGCAAATAGGAATTGAACGATTAATCACCAAATTTAATGAGAACGATGGGGTTGCTTCTGGGCGCACAAATGATCAAATCTGGGGTGAAAAAGGAAAAGGAGTCACCTTAGGAAATAATATTATTCTAGAAGTTATGAAATTAATACATGAAAATAGCGACGCAAAGCCCATTCTTATCACCTTTGATATTTGGTCCTCATTGCAGCTTCTGCAGAAATCTACTAGTGTTTACCACTAATGAAGTGAGGCGAATAGGAGGATTTTCCTTGCCCTGAAGGAGAGTTGCTAATAATCCTCTTTGATGCTTTTAGTTCGACAGGGATTTTCATGGAAAGGACCATGCCTGCTTATATATTACTATCTTGATCCCGGTAACTTCTCTCTTGCGACATTATGCTCTGCCTGGGGAACCGAGCTCTTTCGAGTCTACCCCTTGTCTTTTCAAGTATTTCTCCTGCACTTGGATGGAGGCCCTAAAAAGCTTGGAAGCTAGATTGAAGCAGGCCTATTCGGGCCAACGAAAGGCAAGAACGATTTGCGAAAGTCAATCAGAGGTACTGAGCGTTAGGATTTCTAAAAGCCGGATTCCTAAGCTGGCAGTGGGGGATTACTTCAATTTAGTCCTGTACTCCGAGATCGAGCCAAAAAAATCTCAGTCGTTTATAACGGGAACAAAGCGGCAGAAGAATCCTCTCCTTCCTTCCTTCCTTCCTCCCTTCCCTCCTCTCTCTCTCTCTCAATCTCATAGCTTCCCCCTACTCCAGTTGAATCTGGCTTGACTCGGCAGAGGAGGATTGCGGAAAGGACGCATATTAGAATGAATTTAAAAAAGAGAAAGACAAGTCCAGGCCCTGTCTCGTCATCTCGGTTTGAGAACCGCTGCATTCAGGTTTAAATACGGCCAGATGGGACGATGGGCGGCGCGGGACGATACGATCCATCGCCCGAAGGATTATTCTCTTTTGCAAGCCCTGGAAGAGTTAGGAAAAGACTTCTAAAGACGTGTTTCGGATTATACTTCCTTGACAATGAGCTGCTGAGCCCCCTCAACTAAAATCCTGCTTGCGCCACAGATTCTAAGCATCCCTCGGGCAACCCGTGCCAGGTTACTTCAAGCATAAATTCGTGATATAGCCCTCTTTTGCAAGTCTTACCAGTGACGAAGAAGCCGAGAGGGCAGGCAGAAACGATGCAATCCCCGTGGCCGTCTTCGGAGAGGCAAAGATCCATTCCACTGCTAACTCCCAGATCCACACGAACGGGGAAGGCCATCGCCCGACTGCCAGTGGTGCACCGGATTCCTCGCACCGCATCCCTTTCTAGCCTACGCGGACGGGAATCCAGGGATCGCCGTCCCTCACCGTGATTCACGCAGGGTTCAACCGAGAGAAAAGAGTCGACTCGAACTCACAAGATCCCAGACACGAAAGCACCCGAGTAGGTCAGAGAGGGGTTCTCGTTGCAGTTCAGCGCCGTAGGTCTCGTCGTGTTGTCCTTCACCACGAAGGTTTCGTATTCTGGGATGGGCTCGTAGATCGCATTGGTATCCGAGATGTCCGATTCTACAGTCCCTGCGTTCTGGTGGACAAATGGCCCACCTTCTCAGCTTACTTTTCAACAATGGACGATATTCAGAACTACGGTTCGGTCAGTAACCAAACTGCTAAGTGGTCATTCCCAAAAAAAAAAAAAAACAATAAACGAGCACAGCCTTCTCCGTCTCGTATTCTGTCGCTATGTCGTATTCGGGGGGGGGGGGGGGAAACAAGTGCGCATGCAGTGGAAGTCTGCAAACCTTAAACTTCGTTTCATCCGGCCCGCCGTCTGTTCTTGAAATTTCCGATTGGATTGACTGTTAGAACAAATTTCTGTGCAAAATTTTGGGTGCGACCTGCAGGCACCTGCAAGGTAAGGAATGCGACCCGCCGACCGATTTGAGTTTGACACCCCTGTTATTTGCGAAATATAAGGGCTCCCTTTTGGTACTCATCAAAAGGCGGAAGAATTCGTATTCCTCACAATCATTTAACACTTGCTTTCCATATGTCATTGGTGGAAAAAAAAGGGCAGTGTTGGTCAGTGGATAAAAACGGCGATCAGATGTCTCTGAGGTTAAATCAGTGGCGTAGGGAAGTTAGGGGGGGGGGGGGGGGGGGAGGGTGCTTGCTTTGAGGAGGCTTGAGGACCGCTGCCCTGATGCATATTGTACTTCTTGAGAGTCCGCTCCTTGTGTACGGGCATATTTAGGTTTCAGATGAGCTGAAACAACGCCTAGTGTCATGATTCATACTCTGCGAGCTTGACCTTATCCCAATTGCTGCTGTCAGGCAGGCAATGAGGGAATGTCACTTTCCTCAATGAGCTGTGTACCCGTCCTTTAGAAGCCCAGAGAATCAGATAATTGCATTTGACTAATTTTCTGGTCGTGTGCTCATATTTCCTGGCGCACCTTACTGTAGGCAGGAGTGACAGCTGCCATCGAGGAGAGAAAAGCACAAAACACTCATGTGGTAGGCCTGCTTTTTTTAAAATGCTTCTTTGTCGGGTGATATGGGCAAACCTCGCACTCTAGTCGAGGTCGCATCGATTATTGCAAGGGTCAACACTTCATGGGTGGAATGACGGCCCTCGACCCGATGTTCCACTTCATTTGAGCCTTCACCCAGCCTGCACGGTTCGTTCTCTTTAAGCTATAACAAAATTCTCGGTATTGATTGTTACTTTTCCCCGGCAGTTTGAGTTGTCATCCTAACCGAAGTTGGACCCCCCCACCCCTCTCCCCCTGCATGCGCCAATGCATAGGGCACCTTTCTCGATACTTGCAATTAACAAATATCTCGTTCCTCCCGTCCAGAGTCTCATCACTAAATTAAAAAGTTGGCACGGCAGGATCGCCATCCTGTCGACCCTGCCGTGCCTCCGAATTGCAGCGAGTTGCGTGGAAAACCGAGGAAAAGAATCTGTCAGGTGGATCAATCTTCCCAGCCCTCCCTTAATTAGATTCGTTTTCCTACGTCGAGCAACCAAGGCTCATCGACGGTGACGCACTCAATACCAGAGATGCGAACAGTGAGGACGGGGCCGTGGAGAGTCACCGAGTCCCGTCGAAGGTAACGCCTTGAAGTGGGTGGGATTTTCCTTTCTTCGCTTGCTGCTCGTACCAGGTCCGGTAAGGAGTTTCATGCGAGAGAACTTAAGAGGGATTTGGAGACAAAAGCTGCTCTCCACATCCATTTGCACGTCTCGAGTATGCAGATGGGTTTCTGTTTTCTGCCGTCTCCATCCTTTTCCTGGTACTTGTAGAGCGGACTTTGGTATTTTTGGCATAGTTCATCACCTAGTTCACTTAGATCGTTGTTATCGCGCAATTTTAGTTCATAATTTGGTTCTTAAGGAAATTTTGGATTCAAGGAGTCTGGCTACTTCACTCTGAAGAGGGTAAATCGCAATTCCTCATTGCGCATGTTCTTTGGATGGTGAATCGAAATCTCCCCTCGTTAAAGTGCCACATTAGCCCGTGTGAGTAGGAGCTATGTGACATGGGTGTGGAATCACTGAGGCGTCCCTCTTCTCCAGCCATGACATTCGTTTATCCTGGTTCAAAGTTCTAAGCCCGGTTCAATTTGTCAGGGGAGGGTCGCGCATGACCATGCCCTCAAGTTTGCGAAGACTTGCCGGGAGGCGGAAGAGAATGTGCAGCACGCGATGCAGGAGGAGGAGGAGGAGAATGAATATAATGACGATGAAGGGGTCCGGGAGGCCCAGGAGCTGGAGCATAGACTGTCAGGGGCATCAGATAATGGCGATGATGACGACGATTAAATCATTCAACTTTAATCAAATTCGTATAACTTCGCACTACGTCGCGCAAAATATGCGCGGAAAAAAGGGCAATTTAGTGGACCATCCGCCAGAGGAGAAAACAACGAAGAACTGGGAATAACCATCTAAGAACTTGAATAAAAATAAATAAAAGCAGGTTTATTTAGTTGAACCAGGAATAATTTAAATATGAAAGTACAAAAAAGAAGGTAAATGACGAATTGAGTCATGATTATTGAAGGCAAAAGCGAGTCTGCAAAAAAAAAATGTATAAAGCAAAGATTTGCTCACTGAATGAAGTCGTTTTCCGAAAGGAAGAATACCGAACTGAGACATGCGTCGTAGAGTCGTCAATTGATCCATAATCCTGGTTGCTTCTCTTGTTGAGTTGGGAGGAGAGGGGTAGGAGATTTCGTTTCAGAATTACTTCTCATGGGCACGAAAGTTTTGGGCAATGTCTTCAACCAAAGGTAAAAAAGTAAAACTATCATCGAGATCGATTTACGTTGGGAAAAGCATATTTGTACAAATGATGTTGGCGGATGGCGGCTTGCGAGGGTGGTTCTATAACGGGGACGAGTCTATTATATGTTGAGGGGAAGTTTTGTTCTCGGGAAAGAGATGGCGATAAGCGAGGGCGGCGATATATCCAGGGTTGACTGTATGTGGAAGAAGCTATTTTTTCCTCAAGATGATAATCCGGGGACGCGAAAGTTTCAGCTGCAAATTGCCAGATGCATGAGCGTGATTCTGTTCGGCAAATTCTCAAGTGCAGAAGGAAGAAAGTCACAGTGAACGAAAAAAATAAAATTAAAGTTGCTTTTCTTAAATCGCTCGTGTGGTAAAGAACTGTTGATTGATGCTGGAAGTTTGTGGGGTACTTAGGAGGATTGATTGAAGCAATTACAAAAAAAACTTAGTTGCTATCTGCTGAGTTAAACGCCAAACACTCAAGAGCATCGCGTTTTTTTTATGCCTCACCCGGTTTATATACTCCTGTGAGATAAAAAAAAAATACCATAGAATTTCCACAGTGAGAAATGCTTGCCACAAGTACCCGAGGCCCATCATCTCATTTAGGCCATTGCGACGCCTGAATTTTTGTGCATAAGCTACTGCATTTTCTGCTCCTTCATCTGTTGGAATAACATATTAAGTTCTATCTTCGCACTCACAAAAAGTTATCAGCTTTTACGTGAATACGAATTATGTTCCCATGGTTGTTCCCATTAATTTGTAATTAATTCAAGCTGCTCACAACATAGCATATTACGAAGAGATGGACAAAAAAAAATTATTTTTGCAATGAATGGAAAAGCTTTACCATTACTTGTCAACCGACGATGGACAAGTTAGTTTATGCCCTCCATTAGGATATATGGGCTACTGCCACAAATATTCAAGTTTTACTTATAATCTTTCTCCCCCCCCCCCCCTCTTCCCGGGGCTTCCACGAACTACGAAACAATGTTCCCTTCCCGTGGCTACTGCATCACGGATCTTCCCTCTCGCCTCCTTAAGACACGCGAGAACGAAAGGAAAGAGGGAAGAAGAAGAAAAAGATGGGGTTAGGGGCTTTCTGATCGGTTCTTCAGGAAAGAGGAAGTAATTTCCAGCTTTTATCGGGGCACTGTAATGGCCAGAAGAAGGTGCCCAGTCGATGGCTTTGCAGTCGTAAGTAACCATTCCGACTTATAGTGCCTCTTCCTCTTATCTCGGAACAGCATGGTCCTCTATCCGATTCGGAAAGAGAATGATGTTGATTCGGTTCGGAGATGAAGCTCTTCCGAAACGTGTTTCCGAATGAGAATGTGAATTGATGAGTGATCCCTCGTTCTTTGCCAGGATTTTCGCCTGCAAAAGATGGGAAGACGAAGGGCATCTGCTCTCGCGTTCAATTCACGGACAGGTCCGAAGTCACGTGCTTCATCATCAACGATAATGCGGTGAATGGAAAAGGGGAAATGCCTCATCGGAGATCCCTGGAATGTCCGCCTGGGTTCGGAGCCGTTGCGTTCCAGCTGGGCGACCTCTTGGAGACCGGATTCCTTCAATGCTGCGACTTCTGATGTTCTAGTCCGGAAGCACTCCTTCGCTTTGACTGAAAAATGTGATATCTAAGCTCTGAAGACTAAATTCTATTTTAAATTTTATCTAGAAGCTGATCAATAAAGAATATTTCATGCCTTGCTCCTAATCTTGTCTCTCATTTTGTCGGCTTTCGAAGTTATTATGATGGAAATTATAACCGTGCATCGACAACATTCGTGTCGAGCGTTGTAGATGTTCAATGTCACTCCTCAGTGGAGCTGGGTCATGTACCTGACAACTCTTCGAAAACGTTCTTGGTGTAATGTTTGGACCTGTTCTCTCTCGGCCATGCTCCTCTTCGAGCACTCAGTGACATCTATGATTGAAAGGGAGAAGTCGCATCTCGGATAAAGAGTTCCTGGGGTCGCGAGATTCATGTTCTCTCTCTTTCCCTGCTTCCCTGTCTGCATTTTTTCATCGATTTGTTATCCTTCGCGGGAGAACTTAATTTTGATAAGTCAACAGAATGATTGATGAAGCCAGAATAGTATTAGCGAGCCAAAGCCTTGTCTGCCTACTTAGAGACGCTCAAAACAAGGAAAAATTTTCATGGTTGTTGCCGTCTGCGATTCGCTGGGAGAATTTCTCGAACAGATGAGTTCTGGTGGGTATGGAGAATGGAGTGGAGACCACTGTTGACAGACTTCATTACTCTGACGTTCTCATTGTGCAACTTCGATTCATCCGACATCATTTTTGGCTGCATTTCCATCGACAGGAGACGGGCTCTTTGGCTTGGCGATGTTGGTTCGAGCAATGTTCACGGGAATTGAATGCAGCATCCCATCGTTTCCCTTCGAGATGATACTAGTCATGGTCCCATCCCCTGAAGCGAAGAGGCGAAAATTCGTCGGATCGCGGTGGCTTGTCTCCAACGTTGTCAAGTTTGAATCCCCGGAAGCGTGCAGAATCACCTTCGATGGAGTCGCACAGTTCTTGCTGCTTGGGACGGAGGATGGAGCTGCTATCTGGCCGAATTTCGCCAAAGTCAATGGGTCAGTCGAATGGATAGGAATCGATAGAGCTGACGGTGGAACGTTTACAGGAACGGTTAGAACCTGTGTGCCGCCGAATAATCTGGGGATGGAAAGGCTCCTGATGGTCACAGCAGAAATAGATGGTCTGCCGCTGACTATCATCGATACAGCTCTGCCCTTCGTCGCGGTCGAGTCGATCTTGGGAAGACATCGCGTAGTCTTACCCGGCTTCACCTGGAGATTTAAAGGTGTTGCAGTAGAATGAGGCCTTTGCGAGGGTGGCAGGGTTTCAATGGCAGAGGATGGAAGCGGGAGGAGTCCCCTCTTGGTCAGGGCTGCCGCGATGCTTCCCCTGATTTCCTTGGATATGGCATCCGCATTCCCGCAGGCACAGGGTCCAACCTGTCCGCTCCCGGCACGATCGTTGCCGGAACAACCAGCGACTCGCCCTAGACCACTTTCTCCTTTAGGAGGTCGTGTCGGTGCACCCGAATCACCGACCAAGATGCGTGCCAAGGCCAAGGGAACTTGGTAATGGTGCTTCTTCTTCCCTTTACCTCTTTCAGCGCCGGCTCCCCTCTTCGCATTCATCTCGGATAAGGCCATCGCCAGGATCTCCTTGGCTGATTCTTCACCCCTTCTCTGCTCTTGGCGCCGCCTTTCTTCCTGTTTTATCCCCGAGTTCATGCTTGCCTGCACCCTGCTCTCTTGACCTGGATAATTTTTTTTTTCCAGAAAATGCCCTTTGTTCACCTTATCCCAATCATGAATTCTTTTGCGCTTTTTCCCCCTCAAAAATCTCAAATGTCGTTGTCACATAACAATTTGCGATCAACCGGACGATAACCCCATGAGATGGAGTGAAACATACCATTTGATGTGGGTTCAGCCGTTGGGTGGGAGTTGGCTTGGAGATTGACTGCCCGAATGACAGTCTTTCTGGGTAGCGTCATCCTTGTTTGCAAATATTTCGATCTCGTCATCAAAGTGTGGGAAACGCCCCCAGCGTATAGAGCATTCCCGCTCGGCATCATACTCTGCCTTCTGACGTCTGCAGTTGGGAGAGGACTTGATCTATTTGTAAATGTTTCAGGCTGGATTTTGCTCACAGGCTCGTCTGAATGCCGTTTCATTTCGTCGGAATTTAGTTTTTTATCTGTTGCAGGGGCCGACCAAGACATCTGGGTCCACGACGGTTTTGCAGGTTTTTCCTGCCTGTGAGGCTTGCCGGTCCAAGTTGCCGTTGCTATTTCGGGCGTCAATTCCTCTACAGTCGTCATTTGTGCTAGTCCCGAGAGACTTTCAATTGGGATTTCGGATGGATGTATGTTCTCAGAATCAACCTGTTCAGACTCCCGGAAGTCGTCGCAGCTGAGCGGTTCATCGCTGAGGAGGTTGGTGGCAGCATCCAGCAGTTCTTGGGTTGGTTCATCAGGAATCTCAGAGAACGACAGGTTCTCCAGGAAGCCCTGGAGGCCTCCCCCCGGTTCTGTCCAGGGACCGGGAAGGGAAGCTTGTGGAATCGCGGATACGGTAGTGGATAGGCCTACGTTTAAGGGGAGAGCGTTTGGGTCCACCTTTCCCAGAGGAGTTTTCGTGATGCATGCGGACGAAATTGAGTTATTGGCTTCTGACAGTTGAGGAAGCTGTTCGAGCCAAGCCGTCTTTTTAACTGGCTTCCTCTTGACCGCCTTTTTTGGCAGATTCGATGGATCGTCGTCATTCATTCCAATGAGTTGTCGAACTTTCGTCCCGAACATCTGCAGCAATATGATTTTCTCCGAATCGCATAGGCGAAGCCTCCGACGAAGACAGCGTCCCTTGGCCCTTGCGCATTTCGGACGTTGCATTCCCGACCTTTCGAGCTCTTGTGAAATTCCAATAATGGCCTTCGAAGTTTCTGTCTCGGCAGAACTTGCTGCAGCAACACGCAGTTGGGTTTGCGCCGATGCCATCGTTACGGCTTCATCAATTTTCATCAAATTCTGGTTGGTGCTCGCTTCGATATCCCTCGTCGAATTTGATTCCGTCGGGGCTATTTGTGTGGCATCAGAGTTTTCGGACTCATTGCTTTCTGCACCTTCTGCTGCTTGTTGAAGTTGAGCAAAGAATGAGTTGTCGTCGTCGAATTCGTTGTTGCTGATTTCGTCGAGGAAGCGGATGGCGGCGTCCACAGTCATGCTAGTACTCTCGTTCACATCTTCTTTCTCGCGCTCTTCAAATGTAGAGCATGGTATAATTTCCTGGTTGAGGGTTACTGTTGCTTCCTCGTCTGGAGCAGAGGTCCCACTCGGCGACACCTTTGCCTTATTGCTCAGCGTTGATGCATCTGAACAACTGGAAGTGATCGCCATCGAGCATGGCTGAGTTTGGGCATTCGAAGGGGGAGCGTTCGCGAAGGTCAGGGTGGTCGATGACTGCATCCTGTCGATGCCAGACGTAGAGACCGGCGAAGCAGAGAGATGTGGGAAAGAGGGCGAATTTGCCGAGCTGAGGATATGCATGTTTTCCTCCGTATCCCCAGGGAAAACAGCTGCCGTAGGGGGAAGGTGGGAGCTCAATGATGATTTGGTTGTCGACGCCTGTTCTGCAGGCACTCCTGTCCAGCCAGAAACCTCGGAGGAGACCATCCGCCTGCGAGACAGCAACATTTCTTGGTTCAACAGCATCGCTGTATATTGCGCATCTATCGATTACCATAAATTGAGACTCTACAAGAAATGAGGGCGTCGGAATTGAAATGGAAAACTTCATTAATTTCAATCATTTTGATTGTGGAAGTAGATAATTTAATATTCACTTTTGACAAAGCAAAGAGTTATGGAAAACGAGCAGTCTAAAATCATTTGATGATTGAAGAATCATTCGTTGAATATATCATTCAAGGAAGGATAACGATTCTTACTGGGAGGGAAAGGTGGAGGAGGAAAAGGAGGATGGAGGAGGATGAGTAGGAACGGGAATAAACTTGGGTAAAGGAAGTTTGGAGGCTCTTTCCTGCAGGATTTCTGGGATGTGGGGAGGCGATGACTGAAGCAATAGGAACGCGGGAGCAGGTGTGTGAGGCGGACCTGATGAAGTTTCTTGTTCTGGGGACGATAATGGAGCCTGTAGTGGAGACGATGGAGAAGGTACTGGAGGCAGTGGCAGGAGGGTTGGAATTGGCTGGGTCTCCGCTCTAATTTTCTTGCACGGGCCAGTCCAACTGCCTGACTTTCCTGATTTCTGCCTTTTGGCGGGAGGCGATGATGGAGGTGTGTTCGAAGGTGGAGGCGGTGATGGTGACAGGGGAGGTGAAGAGTGCGGGAGAATGGGGAAATCCGAACTTGGTGGCGAGGATCCTGGATTGGGAGGCGGTGAGTATGATGTCTGAGGGGGGGAAATGCCCAGCTTCTCATCCCGTGTCTCTCCTTTCTCTGATTTCGAGCAGTCGGTCCATGACGCTTCAGCCAGGCACTCCGTTGGGTCTGGGCTCAATTCCACCGGCTCGTTGAAATGAGAACTCCAAACGGGTGTTTCGGTTTTCCATTCGCAGTTTCCTTCAGTTCCTTCTGGTTTCGTCGTTTCGGTCGCACTTTCCCGTTGGAGACCGTCCGAGGACGGGCAATTAAAGCTGTCTTCCATGTCGGACTCGATATCCCATTCTCCTAGGAATCCATATGTTTTCGGCCAGCCGTTAGCCATTTCCAGAGAAAGTCGGCGCGTTTCCACAATCCTGTTTCGCCTATAAGAGCAAAAAAAAAGCGAGTAACTGGAGATGGACATTAAGTTTTCTTTGGTCTTGAAAAACATTGGAGTTCATGTGCCTCCTCGCAGCCATATCGTCCAAGTTTTCATTATCATTCCAAGGTCAACTATATCAATCGTACAAGGCTCTAGAGGGCGTCGAAAAAAACTTTTCTCCCCCCTTGCCATTGAACTAGGACATGTCCATGTAAAAGAGTAGTATCTTTGAATTCCTTGTTTAACAAAGGATTCAAGACTCTAATTCCAGATATCTATGTTTTTACTTTCCAACTAGGTTATGTTATGAATACGTTTATGAGGAGTTCGGCAGAATCAGAGCTGTAAGGCAGTCAGGGGGACGAAATACAAATTATTGATTACTGGAAAAATTCCTTCTTGAAAGGAGTTATGATTAAAACATTCCTTTCCCCTACTGTACCGCATTCTTTGTACAAGGGAGAAGAAGATTTCTTTACGCCTGTAGAATGGTTGCGTTATTTCCTCACGAGAAATTCATCATTCTCCCGGGCGAGAATCTGCATTGCCTTTTTGAATGCGGGATCGCCGTCACTTTCCACAAAATTTAGCAACGCCATGAAGATCGGATACGCAATAAACCGAGACGGTTGGAATTTCGCGGATCGATGGCCACGATGTCTCGATCCGAATCCCATCGCCGATTCCGAAGCTAATTGACCACATGAAAGATGTAGAGGCTTGCAAGAGGCCTGGCCATGCGAGATGGATAAGAGTCCGCTATCGATCACGGCAGGAAGCAGACGTGAATCTTTCATCCTCGCAAATGTCCCATCCGCGGAGGGACTGCGTGATCACCCTTCTCTCTTTCCATCTTTTTCTATCTCAACCTCATTCTTCTTTGAAGTCCGGCACGGTGAGGAAAGAGTGCAATGGAGCCGCGAGCTCTCGTGTCTCAAGGTAAGCTCACGCCAACCGCATAGCACAGCATAAGGACGACATGGCAGACATTGCTCAGAGCAGAGCACGAGCTTTTGTGCGCATGTCGAATCCTGGTCAACTCTTCACATGGACATCCTTATGCTGTGTCATGCGGTTGGTATGATTTTACCTTTACTTTCTGCTCCTGTGACGGGACAAGTCCTTAGTCGCTCCGCAGCTTTTTTCTGGTGTCGTACGTCTCTTCCATGTTTTACGCTCTGAGGTTCCCTCAGATATAAGCAATACATTAATGCAGCATTCCCTAGTTTTAATACCATCGCAAATGTGAGTGTCTGAGTTTGAGGCGTCCAAATTTTCGTAGAGAAAAAGAAAGGCGTTCCTCCTTACCGTGTAGACAGCAAGCTACGTCAGGTAAAATAGACTCATCGAAAGTAATGTGGTTTGCATCACTGCAGGCAGCAGAGTGAATAGGTTCCAAAAATAATTTTGAAGATCCGAAAATTAGAGAATCGGGTGATCATTCGAGGATCAAATCGAAGTGAATCCAGCGGTAATGCCATGAATGAATCCAGCGATCATGCCATGAACGAATCCACCGGAGGAAGCGCCCTGGATTCAGCCGTGACTCCCGCTGGGCCCATCTACACCGAGGAGAACGGACCCTGGAATGACGTCACCTGGATCCTCACCAGTGCCTTCCTCATTTTCACCATGCAGTCGGGTAAGAAACACCTCGTGCGTTTGGTGTCGGGGCTTTCGGGCGAAGTGCTCGGGACGACATGCGGCTAGGGATTCGATGGTGGAAGGGACTAAGGGTGGTAGGGACTCACAGGGGCGATGAAAAAAAGAGGCTCTCGTCGAAAGGCGGTCACTGATCCCCATCTACGTGAATATTTTTTCTATTAGGCGCTTCATTGTTGTCTGCCTCGGAGAGGAATCTCGAAGCCACCCATATGTCCGTCGCCATGAATATGTAGACTCCTTGCGTGTATAATATACATTATAATATCTCCTATTAGCATATTGAACCGCAGCACATTGAACCTCTTTCCGGAGAAGGAAGCCTCATCACGTTTCGGGGATACGCGGTAGGCAACTCAATTCTCTTCATCGCCATCATGTGCCGAAAGCAAGTCCGAATAAGATCGAGTTGCCTACGCCAAGCAGTTTAAAACTGATTGAAAATGACCGACGGCGAAAGACATGCATTCGGAAATGGTACAGAATCCAAATTTCCGAGCGAAAAGGCTCATCCGGTTTTCTATCTGATTTGGTGGCCTTTGCTCCTGAATGCTCTGCTTAAACCTGGAAGATGCATCGAAGATCCAAAGAAAAATGTCACTTTGCTGACCGGAGTTGAGAGTTCTCGCGATTTCGGAGAATTCATCGAAATGCGGAGAAGTCAAGCTCAAACTTTGCTGGGCAATCGGGGAAAAGACCAGCGACGCCATATACCACGTAGGCCTGTAGTTTGAGGCAATTTTTCGAGCCTCGCCATTCGATAGTTTCGGCGACCCGAGGAAAAGGCTTTGTCCTCTTGTCGACGCATTCCAACTGGCAACGAACGAATGTGGAATTGAATGGAATGAATTGAGATGAAATTGGGGGCATGAGGCAACATGGGGCGACGAGAACGAAAGGTCCCGATAGACTTTGCAAGAATCCGCTGGGGTCACTTGTCATCTGCATCCGTGTCCAGCCAGCGCTCGCTACGACAGTAGCACACAATATTCAGCTCTTATCAGTGATGTTAGGTAATTGGGAGACATACATCTTAATTGCTTTAGTTTAGAGAAATGTCATCAGCGAAGGTACTCTTTTCATCTGTTCCTCGGGGGTTCGATAAGTTTCCTCCGTATCACCGCATCCTATGACCTCAAAACTTTCCTCAATATCTTTGGGCTCCATTGTGAGTTCTATTTTGCATTTCATTAGCAAACTCTTCTCTTTCTCTTCGGGACACCTCCTTAGATCGAGAAGAAGGGCTTCCCATCTGCCCCAAACCAGAGGGCATTGTCGAGTAATCTCCGTGAAGAATCATACAAGGCTCTGAAACTTTAATCGATTTCATTACACATTGTCCGTGGGCCAAAGTTGATCAAAACCGCTTAACTCCTTAGTGTTACAATTTCAATTGCGGCCAGGGTGTATTCAATGAACTCTCCTTAACGCAAACTCCAGGGGGAAGATAATTTTGTCAGAATTAACGGCTTGTCCGAATTATTGGAAAAACCTGACCACTCATTTCTCTCCTTTCCTGGCGAAGGAGGCTGCACTCCTAACGTATTGCAAAGTGCCCTCATTTTTTTCTGCCTCTCTTGTGAATGGGAATCAATAGTTTTTTTTTTCCGACCAGTCTCACAGCAGAAATCCCAATTTTTCCTTCGTTGATCCGCCCAATGTCCGTCCACTTCTTCCGGTGTCAGAACTCACGATACAAGGAAAGTCAGAAACTTGTTGAGGCTCTCATCGCGAGGATGGATCATTGAACGGGAAGGAAGAAAATCTGCTAAGAGAGATTTTCTCTATTAGCAGATCGGGTGATAGAATCGGGTAATCCTGGAATGGGAATTGCTTTCGTCAGAGGCGATTCCCATTACCCGATTCCAGGAATGAGGGAAAGATCGATGGAGATGAGTCTTTCCCCGGCTCCTAATTTTCTGTCCTAAAAAAAAGTTTTCCAATTTCCTAGCGCGTGGGTGAGAGTAAAAACAGGGAACATTTTATTTTTCTGTCTTATTCCATCCATTCGCGTTCCAATTCCGGGTTAATGGGAGAATGGCCCGCGGGACTGGAGAATTCGTCCACATGAACGGGAGCTACGGATTAACGGCGTCCGGATTACACGGGAAAATTTAACAGGCTTCATGAGATTTCTGCCGAGCATTGCTTTCCAATTGCGCACGTTTTCTCGATTTTCCCTGATGGCTGAAACAGATAATAGCGGATCCCCTTCGTGTCCTTAATCATATCCTCATCCTCATTCGTGCACACCTCGTGCGGCTGGTTAAAAAGAATAAAGGAAATTCCAGTTGTGGAAACGGATCCTCCTGCTTGCGTGAAAATGAGCCTTTCGGAAACGAACGACGATGAGTTTCGATCGTTTCGCCATGTAAAGTCGAACTTCTTCTCGCGGCGATGCACAGAGTGCCATGTTTCAGTCCGAAAGCAAGGAGACCGTAGAAGTTGCATCGGTTCCCCAATGTGATCGCGACTGCAAATACGGGCGTTCTTTGAAAAGGCAACGACTTCGGGGAAGTTACGCGGATGAAGGCATCTCATATAGGAAACATGGAACATTTTCTGACTGAGTGCTGCGGTTACGATTTTCATGACTTTCATGATAAAGGACTTGCGCTGAAGAGGACTGAACAGTAACTCGGTAGTTCCTCCCAGGCACAAAATATCAAATCGAATAGAATAGTGCAAACATGGAGAACCATTGCAGCTGACGGATACCATCAGCTGCACGCATTTGGTCTACGTTCTCCTCCAGATGAGACCCTTGGTGTGCGCAATTGGACGCCTGGGGGAGCCCGGAATGCGCAAATGGATACTGTCTCTGCCGAACCTCTCCTCTTATCTGAATTGATGGGATGGCCGAATTAATGCCGTTCGGACAATCTTTCGAGCAATGAGAGTCGACTATATCCTCAGTGGCACAGGTGTCACAAGGACAAACGATATGCAATCGACAAGTAAGGACAAAGCCTCCACTTTCTGAACGAGCGACGAATGCGATGATTTCGCATTAAAGAACAATGATACGCGAATGAAAGCAGCAAAAGACCCGAATAACCATTGATCCAACATCATGGCATCCACGTCCCGAGTAAATCCAGTCTTCTGCCCCGTGTTCTGCGAATGCTCATAGACACTAGAGAGATCTATACGTTCCTTTTATAGTTAAGATGCAAAAACCATAAAATGAATAACATCAAGCGCGCTCTCCTTGCCGACTCCATGACCCGTTTTGCTCGTTCGTAGAAAGTGATTTGCTGCTTCCTTCGCTTCCTTCAGCTGCTACCCAGTTGGAATGGATTCGAATTTCCATCTGGGATCCAGCTGGAAATTATAGCTGTTTCCAGCCAGGATTTTAAGCTGGGCGGTGGAAGTGGATCCCTTGTACCGACTCAAGGTGCTTGATAAGACTCGAAAGCTTATGGTAGGGGGATTCCAAATCGACGACCTGTAGATGCTCCATTGGCCTTGGTCTATACTAACCGTATTTGGAGTGAAAGGCATTCCGTTTCTTTGTCATGCAGGCTACGGTCTGGTGGAATCAGGCGTCGTATCCCGCAAGAACGAGATCAACATCCAAGTGAAGAACGGGGCGAATTTGGCCCTGGGAGGAGTGAGTTATTGGATGTTCGGCTACGCGCTGAGCTTTGGGACGGCCGCGGGCTCCAATCCCTTCGCGACGTGGGGGAAGATGGGCGACTTCTTCGTCAACGCGGAATCGTCTGCTACCGGCTTCGTCTATTCCAGGTTTCTTCTTTTTTTGGAACGTCTTCGTGTCGCGAGTTAGTAGGGGTCGTCCGGCGAAATTGCGACCCAGGCTGGAACGGGAGGTCCAGACTCGAAAGTCCCGAGAGCAAAGTGAAGTTGAGAAATTCCTGCTCGATAGCGTGGCACCTCCTGTCAAATATCTAGCGGCTCGATAAAAAAAAAAAAACAACCGAGTAGCACGAATATTGAAGACCTCTCCCTCGTGCTCCTCCGTATAATGACGATTTACCCCACTTTCGCATTTTTAGAATCATGAAGAATCGTGTGACTAGTCACTACAATCTCCGAAGCCTCGTCACATAATGCTGGGAGGAATATATTTGTGACGATTAAATTCCCTTGATACTTGAGTTCCATGCCAGTTCTTTCGAAGAGAACGTTGACAAGCACTATATCTGTGCAGTAAAATAACGGAAAATTTCACACGTAAGATTAGTGCCGGTTTCAATTTACCACGTGAGTTTTCCGAAGGGACCTCATTATGAGGTACCTTTGCGCAATACAGACTGTAATTGACTGTAAACGAAAGGCTCTTGACACGAACAAACGACAAAAACAGATTTAATTGCACATGCGGTACCTGAATGGCGGAAGAACTTCGAAGTGTTTGTTGACTTCGATGACGAGTGTCTCAAGGCCCAGCAAACAGTTCTCTCTTCAAATAGATCTCCCACCGAACTAATCGGAACTAATGGTATGTCATGTTTGCGATCTTTTAGGCACGAGCTCTTGCATCGGCAAACTACCCTTACAAAACGTCCACCCCCCTGTGGATTTGGATCCAGGAGGATATTCCCCTAGGCGTTATTTCCACCTGAGGATGGGAAAAATACACCGGGAGGGAAAATCCACCTGGCTTGAAATACATAGGCGCGAATGCATAGGTGGATTTCCACCGGGGGGGACGTCCACCTGGTTCCAAATCCACTCCCCATCCACCTGGTTGTTTGACCAGGTGGAGAGGAGGTGGACATTTTGTTAGGGTAACTCTTTAAGGAAATGCAATTAAGGTAGTAGTGGAAGAAAAATCGACCGTCTGGGATTCAAAATCTAAAAAATAAATGTAGACTTGTCACCTCCGACCCATAGTTTAGCCAAAAGTCACTGCCAAAGTTGCTGCTAGATGGCCATTCGAAGAGTCGAATTCAAACGCTACAACTCGGAAGCCGTTGGCCAGAGGAACCCGCAAATAAAGTCTTCAGGAAGCTAAGGCAATCTACTTTCGAATGAGGGGTTTAGATTCCAGCTGACGCAAAAGGTCAAAGGTCAAAAGGCCATATAACTGGGAGTAGTCGAATTTTAGAGGACTGTTCGGTTAATACACCAAATCTCATGGGCCTTGGAGAATAGTACCAAAATATGCTCGAAATTGGGGCAAAAAACGATACTCAGTGATTTTTACTGTTTTGCTCGGCGTCAAGGCAAAAATCGTGAAATGTTCGCTGATAAATCGATAGGGAAGAGTCTCTAGACTGCAGTGAGACTTCGCCCGTCGCTTGCGGTCAGTGGTTCGCTCAGAAAGTTTATTCAAACCGAAATGATATTTCGCCCCCCATTCAACAAGGGTGTCCAAAACGTCCGAAGTCGTTTTTTAGACGTAACTTCTGAAAATTTCTCTAATAGATCGATGGAAGTGGTTCTTTGGAATGCATAGGCACATTCATGTTCGCGATCTATGCTCAAGTTCCTTCGGAAAGTTCAATCGAGCAGAGCGTCTCGGTAGGATATCCGCCGCCCGCCTCCACCTGATCGGGCTTTCATCGGCGCGGCCGATCGGGTGTCTCTGGTGAAAAATCACAGAATATTTTTTGACACGTCGATAGCAAGTGGTCTCCCGAGTGTATCGATGTCTGAAACACCACATTACCTCCCCAAATACTCGCCAGAACCCCACTTTTCAGACAGTCTACGCGCCTCCCTCCCCAAAGTACATTTTCGCCTGAATGCCTCCCGATTCGTTTTCAATGTTGTAATCCTGAAATATATATCCTGATAGTTTCACTGTTTCCGGATTGAATTCGTACCCCCCCCCCCCTATTGTGGAGAATGGGGGAAACACAAGATTTCTAGATCTGCTAGATGTCAAGCCTATTGCACTGCACGGTTGCCGGATCGTTGGTAATAATTCCGCTTTTGGGATGACCACAGAGATGAAGATACGCTTTTATTCTTTGGCAATAAAATGAGATTAATAACAAGAACAACCATTAAAGGAAATTCTCCAGTTCTCGAATGTTCTTGGAAAATGGTATCCCATCTTCGAACATCACTGCATGTTGTTGAACATCGTCTGCGCGAAAACAACTGAGGCTTGCAGGCCCCTCAGCAGGAAGAGACGTAGTGAATCATGACTTTTTGCATCAATTATCATAGCATTTCAGGTTATTTACGAATAATTGTCGTCCGAGAACATTGGGGTGGCCACATGTTGCGAATGCCTCTTCGTGGCCCGTTTTCAGCCCTTCTCAGCAGAGAAAGACCCAACACCAACGTAATTAAATAGTTCGACCTCGCAAGGAATGGACCCGGCTTTGCAGATAACAGTAGAGACGAGACAAAAACGCTGCCAATTGCGTTTGCGAGACTTTCGGCTTCGCCTCCAGTGGCTACGGCTAGCCTCCATTATTTCCCATTCTCTATCCTTTGAAAAACCTTACTTTCTTGCCCTCGTTTCACCGTTAGTTACTACTATTCCTCGTTATATCGGTTGACATTTCTCTGACGTCAGAAACCCGAATATCCATGACAAAAATGACAATTCAAGAGGAGATGCAATCCTTAGCATACGACATTCTCAATTACTCATCGGGTCCCAGACCTAATCCGTAAGGGAGAAATAATCAAAATCACCATACCTGCCATCTATATGGTCATGAGTTTCTCCAAATCTGAGTTAAACAACAGCACAGGGCCCCACATATCAAGAATTAAACACCCACAGAGGATTTTCCTAATATTTCACCTTCGTAAGTTTTCTACAGCACGGACGTGAACTACCTTCGCGAGGATTCCCTCCCATGCTTAAGTTAGGCCTTTGTCACATCTACCAAGAAGTCTTACGTACCTTTGTAAATACGAGGGCTAGACACGAGTGGTTTTATCGGAAAGTTCATTCAAGGGAAGCGTTTCCATTAGGATATCCCCAACCCCCACCTCTACATGACCGGACCTTCATTTGCTTGTGTGTCTATGGTACAAAACCTCCGCAAGTTTTTTGACACGGCCTCAGCAATGAGTCTTACAATTGTACTTACGCCCGAAACAGCAAATTTTCAGCCTTAATTCTTTTTTGGATGGTCCGAGTCTAGCAATGAAGTCGGGTCATCGGTCACGATTTTGGTAGGTCTCAAAGGCTGACCTCTCCGTCATCATTCCATGAAACAATTTGAATTTGGTCTCTTGAAAGCGAATTCATGAAAGATCATGAATTTGCTTTCAAGTAGTGATGTGAAATTCTTGATTGTGCCACCACATGTTCGGTTAGGGGGACGGCTTTTGTGAATATATCGTTTTGCTGCGCCTTTCCTTTCCTATACCAAAATCTGTTACGAGGGACGTGTCCTCAAATCCTTTTACGTCAGCTTGAATCTAAACCCCTCATTCGAAAGCAGATTGTCTTAGCTTCCCGAAGACGTTATTTGCGGATTCCTCTGGCCAACGGTTTCCGAGTTGTAGCATTTGAATTCGACTCTTCGAATGGCCATCTAGCAGCAACTTTGGCAGTGACTTTTGGCTAAACTATGGGTCGGAGGTGACTGTGTGATCCCTCTTTGCACTCCCTAGGGACCCTCTACAACATTTACTTTCAGATTTTGAATCCCAGACGGTCGATTTTTCCTCCCCTACTACCTTAATGACGTGATTTGTCGGCCGTTGACTGAGTTCAAGCACGCAGACTGAAATAATGTGTCCTGTGCATCTTGGGTGTCCTGGTTATGCCATCATCGGAGACGTCAAAGCCGGAGAAGAATCGGCTTATATTTGGGCAATAAGCCGATCCTCCTGGCAACGGCCTCACAGAAAGCCAAGCAATGCTGGTTATATTTCATGTCCCGTTGATGATCCCAGACAGGTCTTACATGAATACTTAATTGGCGAGATGAAAGATGAATATCGCTGAATCTGTATGCACTTCCACACACTCCATATGCACTTGAACCTGCAGGGTGCTGACCTCATCAACCATGTCCCCGTTGCCACAGACACTCGGATGCAAGGTAACATCGGACTGCATCATGATTCAGCCTCGCTAACGATGCACTCCAATGAATGAGGGCCACGAGCAGGCGAATGGGAAGCAGAAGACCACGTGCTCCATCTATCCGTCGTCGCAAGAACTCAAGTGTGATTCCGTTGCCGCATGCTAAGAGAAACGGAGGGAAATCGCTTTAGTCAGCCGCCACAGATTGGAAAGGCCATCGGGAGCTAATTTTGAACTACTTCCAGTCATTTCATCTCTCCTTTCATTCATAGAAGTAATACTTCTTCTATCTCAAATAATATAAGGTCCAACACGGTGAGAGCAGCGTGGAGAAGGGGTCTGGTCAGGGTGAAAGCAGATCTTCCTTTGAAATCGTGATTAGTTTCGGCTTGCTTCTTCTTTGCAATTTCCCTAAAGAAACTCGATAATATATTTTATACCAGTAACTACTTAATCGAGTTCGCTACCTGTGAACGGTTGCTGTTGATCGTGCCGGAACGCAGCCTATGCTGTTGACTTGAGTTTCACGCGGCAACTGATTGCTAACAAGGTAAACGGAACGTCGCTTTCACGATAATGAGCTTCCCTGTATGACATTCAATCGATGCAATCTCACTTCAGAGGAGATTTATTCAATTTCACTTCAGAGAAGATCGATTCAAGAGCTTCTCCCGCTATTCCCTATTCTATTTACGGAATAAGTGGCCAAGTCAAGCATGAGCTGGATCATATCCTCTCCCACCTTCTCAGCATAACTGATCCTCATTTCTTGTCTGCTTCCGTACTTATAAATCTTCTGGATGAAGGGGGAATTTCCCCCCTTACTCTGCCCCTCTCTCGCTCTCTCTCGCTGAGTCTTAATTGACGGGCTCATATGCATTAATCCAATTTAATTGTATTAATCTGACTGCTGTGATTCTGCTGGATTCATGGAATCATTGAATATCATAGAGTAGAACCATGGAAACGCCGTTGAATTTCCATGGAGCCATGCAAAATTGGCACCTGTAAATGATTGGGAAATCCCACAGAAATAACATATCAATTACATATGACAATACTATGTGAATCACATAGTCACTTAAATTTAAATGACATGTCATTTAAATTGGATTTTGCGTTCAAATTTACTCGTCATTTTTTTGCAAGGGGCAGTCCCTGTCATGGTCGATGGGAGGGTACGAGTATGTAGGTTCACTGATAACCATCTTCCATCTCGGAAAATTAATATGATGTTTTGTCTCTATTGCTGGGCCTGTCTGGAATCACCGTTCATTTTAGGGACATGACATGTAATTAACAGAAGGTCGGTGAAGTCCTCATTTGGGAACTAAACCGGTCCCCTTTCGACTCCAGTGACTCCAGATAAGGGGATTATACAGGGTATTCTAGGGTAGAGTTTCAAACAAGACGCTTGGCAAGTTCTTGAATCTCGTTTCTTGCCAAGTCTTGATACGATGTCCTCCCCTTTAATTCCCAGTCAAGTGGGAATATTGATTCATTTGTTAGGTTTTTTTCTCCCCTCATTTTACCTGTGGGTCTGTCCACCGTGTTGGACGTTATATCCGGAGTAATATGTTTGATATGCAAAATGTATTAAACAATATTATGAACGACGAATCAACATACAAATGTTGCAACATTTTGCCTTAGGCAGTGACTGAAAATTACGTAATCCAAAATCTTGTGTACTCTTTTTTGATAGAGGTGTAACTACTGTATGTGCAAAGAAAAGTGTCACACGTGACATTTCGTGAAACCTCAAGTTTAAGTCACTTAGTGTAATTTTCAAATTCTGTCATAGAGTGGAACCTAATAACATAGTATTATGCTCATTCTATAGTTTGAATGAAAGCCTTTAATTAGTATTAATTAAAGGCTTTCCCCAGGATCACAATACATGGAAAAGAAAGTAAGGCTGTTTTGTGACTGTGTCAGATGTGACAAGAAAGTGTCAGATGTGACATGTTCGGAAAATGAATTTTAAAACGAAAGGTCTGTACAGATCTTTTAATGTTATTTTGAATGTATCATTCAAATGTGAACGATTGAAATCTACAACTCACACCTGACCTGATTTGAAATCATCAGTATGCATTGGAGAACCCCATGGTGGCATCTGTTCCAGCGGTACAATTGAGTCTCTCCAGATTTGTAGTTTCATCACAATCATGAATATCTTGAGAATGGTATGATTAACATAAAATAAACATGACTAATTCTTTCATTTTTCAATGTAATATTCTCCTCCATGCATCCCTTCTGGGAAAAGAGAAGATGAACTTTCGTAGCAAAAGTAATATTCGCATATTTAGAGAAATTTCTGGCTGAAATCCTAGGACCACTTGGCGTGAACAGACCCCTGTCCAACCATGTCCTCCCGCGGCACCCCAAAGGGAAGGATTTTGACAAGATCTAGTTTTTTCCTGCCAAGATTTTTTCTTATCAAGCCCAACCCTATTATATTCCTCTCTTGGAAAGTGAAGAGTAATTCTGTGACGATTGATTTCTTTCGTGTGATTCTTGCATCTCTTCTTTCAGATACGTTTTTCAACTTGCCTACTCGACGACATCCACGACTTTGGTGTCTGGTACGAGCTTGTCCACGCATTCTTGCAACCGTGTTCATCCCCTCTCCACCCCCCATCCCCCTCCTTGGTACGATACATCATTTATTGCGATTTTACAGGTGCGATGGCAGAACGTTGCAAGTTCAGCGCTTACTGTTTATTTTCGTTCTTCAACGTGCTCGTCTATTGCATTCCCGCCGGCTGGGTGTGGGGAGAGGAAGGGTTCCTCAACACCCTCGGCGTCGTGGATATCGGAGGATCCGGCGCCGTGCACCTTAGCGGAGCAGTGCGTCCCTTGCCCCTTCCTCGGATGAAACGAATACGAAGTCACGCCCAATTCTCGTGCTCACAGATCGCCGGTATGGTGGGGACGTGGATGCTCGGACCGCGGATCGGAAGGTACGAGCACGGCTACGGGCCTTTGCCGATGGGGAACCCCACCAATACTCTCATGGGTCTCTTCATGCTGTGGTGGGGGTGGCTGGGGTTCAACGCCGGCAGCACGTTTGGCATCTCCGGGAACAAATGGAAATACGCTTGCAAGTACGCCAACGTCACTCTTCTACTCACCCATTTGCGAAAGAAAGAGAAACGTCTTCATCTAAAAATTTGGTTGCCAAGTTGAAACTCCATCTGAATTACAACTACGACTGACCACTCTCCAATTGAACTTGGTGGTTGACTTCAACTAAGATAACATTCTAGTATGCCCAGCCTCAATTTCTTTCGAATGCTCCAAAATCATATTGGCTAACCTTGGAGGATTTCATGTTCATCCTCTTAAAAAGTGGTTCTTAACTTTCACGTCATCAACATGGGAATGCCGATCCGAGCGGATCGGTGGTTGAAGAACTCTGCTCTGTATGACATGCCAAGCAAATAACTCTTACAGCGAGCCAAGAGACTGTCCCAAAAGCGTCTCCAAAACTCTTTGGAGGCTGTGGAGATATTCAGGCGCTACCCTCACTTCAATAAAGTTCACAAGGCTTCCGCGGTAAATACTAACTTCATGGGAGGGTGTACCAGAATCTCTACTTAAAAAAAAAGAAGGGGAAAAAAAGAGATTTGGCGCTGGTACAATTTGAATCATTTTTCTCGCGGTAAGAGGAAGTAGATTGTCAGATTACCTCATATACAAACTGAAATTCGGGAAACCATCCTATCCCATAATGTAAACGCTTGTACATGAACTCTACTTACCCAGGACTTACGCGGGACAGAGAGAGATTCCAATCACATCTCTGCCTATTTATTAACGTCGGTCACACAAGAGCAGCTGGAAGTGGGAAAAGCAAGTAAAATTTGTCTAATCTGACTTGCACGAGTGTTTTAACTCAGGTAATAACTTGCACGAAGATGTACTTTTATTACATATATAAACAGATTTAGGCGGAGAACAGAAATTCTGAGTGCTTTACTTCACCTTGCTTCTTTTTTTAAATCTCAATTTTACATTTGCCCTCCTCCTGCCTCAGATTGTTCGAGCCGATGACGAGTGCTTTTTTTTCGAAATGATATCCTCATGAGTGTCATTGACCTAATTTCAGAGCATCCGTGACGACAATAATGTCCTCGATGGGCGGTGGATTCATGGCCATGGCTGTCAGGTGAGGATTACAATTATAATCGTCGAGACTCACTTGTCGTGTAACAACTCTACACATGATGTTACACAGACTCTTCTGTGTAACATCATGTGCTTTCGCCGCCGATTCGCCTAAATGAACTGAGGGATCAGCACTGTGCGAAATCGCAGTTCCTCAGAATTGTGATTTCATACTCTCGCTTTTGCGTGCATGTTTACCGGGATTGTCGTAATTCGTGCGGCCTTTGTCTGACTCCAGTGCGCTCAATTGCTTCGTTTGTCGTAGTTTCATTCGACGGAAGGGAATGTATGACATCTACGACTTGGTGGACGGAATATTGGCGTCGTTGGTGTCGATATCGGCGGCTAGTCCTTTGGTCCATCCGTGGGAAGCAATCCTGATCGGGGGAATGGGAACGACCCTCACGCTTTTCGCCGTTCCTCTCATCGACCGACTGAGATTGGACGATCCCGTCCATTGCGTTGCAGTCCACGGCGTCGCCGGGATCTGGTAAGAGAAACGTCTCGAATTGGGGGTGTCCTCATGACATCTTGAACGACGGCCGGGAGGCGTCGACTCGTCTGCGAGGGTGACGTGTCCGGTTTTGCTCGAAGGGGTCTCATCGTGGCGGGACTCTTCCCGGAGAGAGACAAGTTGGTGGGATACACGAAGGGGAGAGCAGGTCTCTTTCGCAGCGGCGATTTTACTCTATTGGGTCTCCAACTCCTGGCAGTTGTATCCATCATCGCCTGGAGTGCGATCTCATCCATCATCCTCCTTATCGTCTGTCTCTCCTCTGTCATACCTCTTTTATTTAATTTCTCCCCCCCCCCTTTATCTTTCATCATCTCAGGACTACTCACTCGTTCCCCAAATGGAGGTCCGAGTGCGTGCTGTATAATGTTATTGAACACCAGTGCCAGCAAGTTTATTCAAGTGGTCACACATGCAGTATCGAATACTCAAGGTTGTCATGTACGATCTTGTGTATCGTGTCGTGTCCAATGATCATTTGGGCCGCAATTTCACAAATCTTTATGCGCCTATCAGCCTCGAATAAGTCAGGAACAGGCTTTTTACTTGCACATGTTCCCGTCGTGGAAGGCCTCTGGGAGCACATTTCCTTCCAGGATAGATTGAGTTGATCGGAAAGTACTTGCTGATGCGTCCACAATGAAGACACAGCAAAGGAAATACAGCCATATGTATCAATAAATATATTTGAGATTTCAAATTACCTTTCAAAGGGCGCATGCAGACTGCAGATGAATCTCACAACGTTTGAAAATTTTACTAAAGGAGTGATAAAGAATTCCCATCCAGCCTGGGGTTCCCCATCCCTAGGGTTCATATATCTACATATGTACGAGGAGCAGTCCAAAATTAGCCTCTGTTTTAGCCTATCAATTGTATTACTTGCTGCATCACATCCAAATTCAGTCCATTTTCCACCGTAGTCATCAGCTTTCTCCAGACACAGATGCCACCGCTTTACCCAGTTTTGGCAACATTAGTTGAACGAGACTTTAGGGACATGATTTGACCACTGGTAAATTGTTGTCCTCATTGCTGTTCTTGAGTGATGAGTTCCTCGCAGAGAATCTTTGAGAGTTCGAACAGCAAGAAGTGCGAGGGCGCCAAATGATTTCGATGCATTTTCCATCAAAAACACTATCACAACGCTGGCTCTGTGTGGCGGCGCGTTGTCCTGATGAAGCATGAATTTGCATGGTGCCAGTTTATGTATCAAAAACAGTATCAAAAATAGGTCTCACACAACTGACTGTTACGCCCCTAGAACAAGTTGCAACAGGCTGAAACTTGCACTACACACAGCTTATAGATAAAGAGAAAAGAAAATGGCACCAGCAGTACTATAACATTTACCGTATTCTCGCTAGATGGCAACGGAAGCTAGTTTTGGGCTGCACCTCGTATATGCGACGTAATAGAGGGTGTGCTGATAGATACTGCTCGAAATAGGCAAACAGTGGAGCATATATTTAGTAACCGAATGATAATTACTTTTCAATAGCTGCGGGTTCGTTTAATAGTTATATTACCTTCTCAACCCCTTTCCATACTGTTATCGTAACTGATACCTTTACAGTCAATCCTCCCGAAATACAGGGTAAGGCACAATATAGGTTACCAATGTGTATACGCGAAACTGCTGTGCCATTACTAAAACTGCACCGAACAGTTTAAGAAAATGTTTAATGTTTTGGCACCACAACGCTACCATCGCCACTATCGCAGTGTTCCACAGTTTTTCGTCAAAACCTCCGAGGACAGGTAGGAAGGTTATTCGAATGGCCAGCCACATTGAATCACTGCATCTCACTCCAATGGATTTTTCGATTTGGGGAATCGTCCAAGAGGGGTTTATGCAAAGAACCCAGCGATGTTAACAGGTTGACATCGAGTACGTCATCAATGAGTTTGAAACCCCGGACAATTCTTTGTTCAAGGAAGTATGCCGCACTGGGCCTGACAACAACAAAAAAAGAAACTGGCCAGCAGAGGCAACTGCTTGAACATCTTTTCTAAGAGTAATGTGGTAAAATATTCGATTCGGTAAAATATTAGATTTATGCCATCAAACATGAAATGAGATTGCAATCTGTTGATTATTTATAGGGGCAAATACATTTTGACTCACCCCGGTATCAGTTGCACATTGGGTACAGTTGGGGTTATTGTTGCACAGCCCTGCCTTGGAAGAAACACCCTTGGCATTGGGATACTTTACACAAGCAGCGGCTCACACAAGCAGAATTTAACTCTTAACAGAATTGGAGAATATATACATTTTCTGGCCATATTCGTTCAAGTAATTGACTGTTGGTATCGTCACTGAAGAAAATGGAGAGAACTCTAAAGAGATTTCCAAGCGTAATTTGTGGCCTTCCGGTGATCTCAATAAGCCTCAGATTTGAGTCGCAGACTTTCGGCCCATTTATTCTTTCTCGTGGTCTTCCTCGGATCGGATTCGGATGATGAAACATTCCCGCGTGCTTCTCACCCCGGCGTAGATAATCGACAAGACAGTGGGGCTCCGAGCCTCGACGGCAGACGAGCTCGTCGGACCCGACTACACCGATCACATGATTCGGCACGAAGGCAACGAGGATTTCATCGCCTGGCACGATCAGTATACCAAGGTAAAACCTCCCGAATCCTGCCACCCCTTCCTTTTTCTTTTTCCCATCGAGTGATTTTATCTCTTCGACTCTACCAGGATATGAAACTGAGGCGAGAAAGCCTGCGACCGAAACAGACAAACGTGACTGCGTCTGCTTCCTGGAGAAGGTTCCTTCGCTGATCAGCTTTCGTCCCTTTTCTTCCTCGCCGTTTCCCTCTTTTCCCCCTTGTCTCTTTTCCCCTTTCGCCCCTTTCCGCCTCGCCATAGCCGATGTCATCACTCCAGCTTCCTTCAACGCAAGACCCAGGCTAGATCCCTCTAACAAATTGTTTCCCTACATCGTGTTCTATGTATGGTTTCTCGGCTGCAGTGACGTGTTCGGATATATATTTCCAAAGGCCTATAGATAGAGCAATCGCTTTCGTACGTGCCTTTGCACACGAATTCGTCGTGGCTGAGGCCCTGCTTCTTATACGAAGGCGTTTCTTTGCGGAAAGAATGAAATCCTGCTGATTTCACGTAAGTATAAATTTACATCTTGCCGATGTAACGGAGAAAAGCAAGCGACGGTATCTGCATGCCTGTAGCAGGTTATTTTCAAACTCTTATGATTTATCATAATGTGTGCCCTTGGAATCCTGCGTTAAAGAAAAATATACCCTGAATAAATTCCCAATGTACTTCAAAAGACCCGCGGAAGAAGTGAAGGAATGTGTTTGTGAACGGAAGAAGAATACAGCATGCGTCCCATTCGGAAGTTTTTTTTTTAATCCAACCGATGGCACCGAGTAGCGGCAACATCCAACACGAGGAGCGAGTCCGTCTTGAGATCCCGAGAGGAACACGGAGGTCCAGCCAGAATTACCATCGGTGTTCCCTCGGCGGGACACGAGACGAGACGAGACGCCTAGGAGGAGGTTCCTATCGGGCACTCCTGCCGAATCGGCTGTGGCCGTATTCGTCGAAGTCGGCTCGCTTCCCGAATCTCATGTGGCCGTAGTCGTCGAACTGCCTCTTGTCGTTCTCGTGGAAGTCCATCTTGTCTGGATCCTCGAAGTCGGGGGAAGCGGGCTGGACGATTTCCGTGCCCTCTGCGGGCGGTCGAGGGAACGGACCCAGGAACTGCAGCTTCTCCCTCAAGTACGTGATCAGCACCTGAAACGACGGGGGAATGCAAAATGCGTGCCTTCGCGATCTTCCCCAATGATTTCCTGGGGAATCGAGAACTCGCAGTGGAACGATTCACGGGTCGAGAGGAACGGATCCATTTTCTCGGAATCTCCGAGGAAATACATATACATTTCACGAGCCGTTATAGAGGAAGTCTTTGCTTAAAGATGAACTTTCATCCCATCGTGATCGTCGATGATTTGGCAAAAGGGGCGAATATGCGATTCCGCAATATTTTGGAGGGCTGAGTTGGCCGAGAGGCTCGGATCCATGGGGAAGTGTCAAAATTCCTCACTTCTACTTCTTTTCTAGCTTAAAAAATATGAATTCTTGATTTCCTGAAGAATTCAAATTTGAGCTTTCGTCCTTGTGTCAGATCTTCGACGGTATCTAGTGTTTCGTGGGCGTTGTGACGAGTTGCCGAAATATCCACGGGCGGTGTCGATTTGTTACATCGTTTGCATGAAAGAATAACGCCCCGTTTTATTAGTAGGATAGGCATTGTGATACGAGCCGTTGACCCAAAGCCATTCCCGCCCTTCGAAGGCCATGCAAAACGAAAGTGGCCACGATCGGAATGCAGAGTATCCGGGAAAGATTCTAAACTCTTACAAGGAATTTTCGCCTCCTCCGCCATAGTCCTTACCCATTATTCACCCTCCGATTTACCAGGTACTCTTCCATTACAAGTTTGAAAGGCAGGCTATTGTTTTTTTTATGTCCATGCCAGAACAATTGATTGTACTGCTCCCGGGAGTCCAACTAGTTAATCACCGACCGTTGTTCTTATGTCACTCAAGTCTGAAAGCAATCTGGAATCCCAACGTGCTTCTTCACATCGTCCAACCTTTCGGTTTTCGTTCGAGCAATACTCGTAACTCTTTATTACATCGGCAGGGTCGAAAATGGAAACATATTATACGAGAGCCATTTTGCCATAATTTTGCGGACGGAAACATCCTGCGAATTGCACGAAGGTATCCAAGAAAAATAAATTTGTAATTTAGATCCCTGTCTATCTGATTATCTTTGTGGCCGTCAACAGGTCTAATAAATTCGTCCTTTCTGGACAGATTTTGATGGTATTCTTTGAGATTCAAGTTTCTTCACACTCCTGTCCCAACTCATGTGATAATGCACTCTCATAAAAATCGTAATGAGCCTTTTTAACTTTAAAATATTCATTATTTTTTGACGACCGATGGACTAGAAACGGCAGTAGGCAGAGAGAACTGAATGTGGAACTTAACTAAGAATGGTGATGAATATATTAATTTCTAACGAATGTTAGCAACAGACAACTTTAACTTGGAGCATTAAAAAGCATGCCAGAATTGTCCATCTAGCAGGTTCGACTGATCTATTTTAATTCGCAGGGAATGTGTTCTTCATTCTCCTTCACCAAGGATTCCCCAGGAGTTTCAACAATCTATATAATAATAGCCGACGTTTGTCCTCCTGCCTGTCCTTTGGAGGTTCGCACGGGTCGACTGTTGTCGACGAGTCGAGCCCGATCCGAAACTCGATCGAGCTTCGCAGGCCTGGCCGCAAAGTGGCTGCTTGCAATTCCAACGTCATCCCTTCAGAATTCTTTGAGGCAGAACTCACTGAAAATTGGGAAATGGAAATTGGGGATCTACGATGACGGGAGTATTCCCCCTTCTTCGTCTCATACCTGGGAGTGCGTCTCATTCGATTGCTAGGGGACAAAAGTCGATTGAACTCAATTAGGAAGACGTAAATGTTTCACGGGTTGCAGCCAGTCACAGAATAACATAGTGAGCAAACTATTCAATAATAGACATGTTTGGTCGATTGCCATAGTCTTCGGAGATCTTGCTTCATCCTGCTGTACCTCTTCAGGTCTCTCATTAGTGAACCACCTATCGGAATGGGAAAGAGGGCTCTTACAGGCCCATCCTGTATTTGAGTCTGTGTCCATCTGTGTATGTGTCTGTCAGTCTGCGAGATTGTCTGTCGTATACTTCCACATTTCGATGAGAACACATAAAATCTTGACCAAATCACTGTGTGAATTGCCATGGAATAAGATATTAGCGGGACACAGACCAAGTTCATTTTTATATTTTAATAATTTTATGCCCAAAACAGAATTTCTAAGCTACATTTTGATATTTGAAATTTACTCTCTGATAAAGGCTTGAGCAACCATGAACCTTCCTGGATCTCGACTTGAATACGCATGTACAGCGCTTCGTCGGCTTCTCATGTCATCGATTGCAATTACAGTTTCCTTTCGGTTTCAGTAGCCGACCGATCTATTGTTGAGATGCAAAGACGGAGGCTGTACATGGGAAGCGCTGAGAGTGCTACAAGCCGAATTCGCGTAATGGCGCATCTGGCAATGCCGTGTGTGGAACTCTCCTCCCAATTCCCAAAATCTTCCGTTCTGACACAACTTCCTCCTCTTTCCGGTCATTGGAAAGTGGCCCCACTACTGGACTGGGCTTTCCCAGCCTCTTTTCTTTGGATGGCCCGCCCAGCTTCAAGCTGAATTAGTGCTGAGCCGATGAATGGATGCGTGCAGGAATGTCGATGTATGCGTGGATCATAATTTTCAGTTTCTTCTGAACTGCCATCGTGCAACGACAGGTGAAAGAACAGTCTTAAGATTCATTGCTTAGACCCATACATAATGACGTGAGAAGGAAAAAGCCTGGTATTAAGAGCAGTTTCTGCCCGTGACACCAGTCTTTTCATGTCTGGTGATATTTCAATCTTTCTACCTACGGACTACAGGGTTATTTAAAGTTCCCTTATGGGAGTACTCAGAAAGTAAATAACAGAAGTTCTATCTGTCACTCACCGATCGCAAAGCAGATCTATTCTGCGATTACTTTCCAGTGAATTTCTGCCTGATTGTTATTTTATCTCCCGGTGTTATCTTACGAAAATGCTTCCTGTGAAAAGGGTTGCCACTCCTCACGGGGCGTGACTTTTCAATAACCCATAAGTTTTTGCACCATTCTTTTAGCTTTGGAATGCTTCCAACTGAGCATGCATTCTGCATTTCGCCCTTCCGATACCAAGTCAGGTAGGGATGGATGGATCTGAACCTCTGAACCTGCGAACTCGTGATCTGACCTCTAAGGGTGACATGTACCAGATCCGTTTAACTTTAAACTGATCTGGTATCATAATGGGCGTCTATAGGAATAAGATTATCTCGGTAAAAACTGAATCCCATAGGGGACCATTGTGAGATGAGATTAGTTTAGCCTAAACGGATCTGGTGCATGTCACCCATTATCTCATTGCCTCCTGGCCTGCTACCCTTGCGCCATTGGAGTCATGTTGGCAAGTTGCACATTCTTTTCTTCTGGACTACTCTTAAAAAAAAATCCAAACTCAGCCCGAGCATCTCTATGCCAGTCCGCCCCGATCAAGGGAACGTCATTCTCACAATGAAAGTTGTCACATTGGATACAGGAACCATGGGAACTGGGAACGAACGCGGGACCCGTTCCCCCAGCATTGTTGGACTGATCGAAGACGGAGAATGTCTTACTTTTTCTTAACCCATTGGCATACAAAGCTGGCGATTCATCAGGCTGATGCTGAGATTGATATCATTTCATGGACGATGAACAGTAGAAATGACCAACACGAGTAAAAACCAGAAAATATGAAAGCGTACAATGAAAATGTAAAAGTAAAATGTGGAATTGTTCATTATAATATGGGACCTGTAGCTGTGTCAAATTAAATGGTGTTTCTAGCTGGAAAAAATTTCATTTTAAATGGTATTCCAATGGGCTAAAATGGGTTCTATAAAAGTTTTACCGTCTCCAATTGATCAAGTGAATCTTGTTCAGGGTCCTCTCTAAGCGGCCTCTCGCATTTCTGAAATAAGTCATTAACTCTCTCGGGTCTATAGAACCGTCCGATGTAGAAATCCTTCAGATGTACAACCTTATATGTACCTTTAAATCTACATCGAACAGCGCAACATAACATATTTCAACCGAGATTTCAGTACGTGCTGGAATTCTCCCACGAGGCCGCAATCTAAAACAATTATTTTTTCGATGAAAATGCTCAGTACAGTTCGGGTGCTTTCAGAATAAGCGTTCAGCAGTGAAATGGAAAGAAAATGTAAAATGGAAAAGCCAAACGCCACCCGAGGAAAAAGAGAGAGAGAGAAAAAAACCCTCGACGATGGAATCTCTCCATCGTCGGGCAGCCGTGAGAGTTACCTTCATGAGCTGTCGCAGTTCCTTGTTGGACTGAGAAGGAGCTGGATGTGCGGGCTCGACCAAGGAGTGGAACAGGAACAGGCTCAGAAACAACACATGACGCTTCATCTCGTGATGCTGGAAACGATCCAAATTACGGGCATCAACTTGTTTGTCTTTATTTTAAAATCATGCCGCGTGCTCTGAAATCTCCAGGCACGAGTTCTATTCTCTAAATGTTTGGTAATTGGGATGGCGGGGCTAAAACAAGGGTAAATTTAATTAAATTGATTTTTTCTTTGCAGTAAAATGCACTAGAAGGAATTAGGGCTTATCTTGCAATATTGTTTGTGACGGACCACACACTCTTGTCTTTACCCCAGAATATGGAATCTAGCAAGTGGCAGAAGTCCGAAATCCACCCGCACAAACAGAACGGTTAAATTAAATTTAAAACTATTAATAAAAAGAAAGAATGTCAAATTGTCAAATAGGAACTTTGAGCTAACCCTTGGACTCGTTTGAGCAGGATAAGTATTTAGTCGACGTGAGTCACCGGAGATGAAGTCCAGCTGATGTGGGTTCGTGTTGTAGAGACTTGCGGGATCGAGGTGACACCTCCGTTTTTATAAAGGCTTCTCTCCCTCCCACTCTGTTGCGCAGGATTCCCTCCGTTGACAAGCTCTGATCGCGGGAGCCCACGGCCGATCGAGGTTGAGAAATTGGCCTCTTCCTCCAAATCCTTCCGTTAGTCTCGTGGGATTTTCGCACTGTCCTATCGCATCTACGCCTAAACCTTTCGTTTAGGCGTCTAAACCTTTCGTTTAAACTTTTTTTTTCTATCTCAACTTCTCTCTCCTTCGAGCAAAAAAACTTTGATTCCTCAAGCAATTCATTCATTCAGGCGAGCGTATTTCGAGGGAAGTATGAGAGGCAAAGATGAGTCTTGCTTGGGTCAGCAGCTGATTGAGGTTTCTGCTGCCAACAAGATATGGACCTCCTAACCTTTTCCTCTTCTGAATGAATGAAGCACTTTATTCTTAATGAATTGATTCAATCAAAAGCTTCGAAACGAGGGAGAGGAAACGACACGCCAGAAAGGCTGACGACTCAGTCGAAACGGTAAGAATCTGTACGAGATCTAGAGAGAGACAACGAAAGATTAGAGTTGCATCGTGACGAATCTAGATTTGAAGGCTCAAAGCGAGAACGAGACTAGCGAGAGACGGTGAGGATTTCACTGGACGATTGAGCATGTGATAACGATGTTCGAGAAATGATCGATATGGATCGGCGAGACTGATTTAGAGCGTGGTCTCGAGACGACCCAGTCATTTATGACCGATCGCACCCATCGTTCATGCCATGCGGGGATTCAGAGCAGGTCACACGTCCGCCTTTCTCAAACTTAATTTCCTTCTTTTTCTTTCTAGCAGTTTTCTTCATTTACAAGCCTCCTATGCACTAGGCCCAAGGTCCCGAGAAGGCATCTTCTTCCTGAACTTCCAGAAAAAATTAAGCTATCTGTCAACATCATGGAGAAAAAGAAAAGATCAAGAGCTGTCGACAGTTTAGGTTCGGCAGCCTCCTTTCCCGTGGGAGTTAACCTTATCGAAGCGAGGATTCTCCGTTCGTAAGCATTTCTCAGACCGAAGCGGGGCACATGACCGCCGGAAACAGGTGGGGTTTAGGTCTCACTTGCCTCAGGAGAGAATGACAAACCGATGCGGCAGTTAGTTTCGCTCCTCTATTTCTCTTCTATTTCATTCATCCCTCTTTGCTCTGGAAATTTCTGAAACGTAGTCGTAATTATAAGCACACTTTCAGCCTATGAAAAATCCGTTGAGAATTAACGGTCTTTTTTCTATGGTAACCCATGGAGCAAGAGCTTCTAACAATTTTCTGTCATTTTCCGCAATGTATATGTTTGAAAACATTGAAGACACTGGGACCGTAATGGCTCCAAAACGTTCAGGCAGTTATGACAAAGGTGCTACTAAGAATCAACGCTACTAAGAATCAACTGTGATAGTGACGTCATTGTCTAAATGCATTGGAACCACTAGATGGAAGCGGTGGAAACGACCGAAAGCAGTGAATTTCGAGAATAGCAATTGCACGAGTTCCAAATGCTCTGATTCATGAAAAGGGCGAGAAAGGAATGGGTGAATCATTCGACACTCAGGTCTCGTTTGAGAGAGTCCGTCATCTAGAAGAAAGGAACTGAAACTTTGTGGATTTTGTGGAACTCCCTGGTTCTTTTCGTGAGAGGCGCTCATCAGGCGCTCTCGATCTCGTCGCGGAAGTGGTCTCCAGTTACGAGGCGGTTCTTGGGAATTTCCTCCGTCTGAGCAGCCTCACTCGTTTTCCCTCCCTTTCCTTCTCCAATTGCTCCACGCTCGGGCTCGTAGTCCAATTCAGGATCCGCGCTATCTTGGGTTGCTTCTTGGTTTCCCCGAGGGGGTGAATCTTTGACTCCAGCATTGGACGTTTCAACTGGTATTTCCAGCGGGCCATTCTGGCAGGAGAACGTGTCGGTTTGGGCATTCCCAAGATCTCCAGGAACCTTGTCGGGGGTCACGGAAGCGATCCCTTGGCTGGAACTGGACTCGTCGTCATGTGGCTCTTGCTCTCTCCGGTCTCCATCGTCTTCAACCCGAATCCCATCATCCTCACTTTCCGCTCCCGCCTTCTCTTCCAACCAAGAAGACAGGGGGAACGGGTTTCCACGTTCCTCTTCCCGATCGTCCTCCTTCCGTGAAGTCTCCAGATGGGGGGATGCCGTCCCGACTGCTTCCTCAGAGCCATCCTCGAAGCGTTGGCCTGCTTGAATATTTTGCTCCCCATCCCTATCGTGCTGGAGGTCGTCTGCCAATGGATGTCCAATGGGGTCGGACAGTGGGGCAGTCGTGGTCTGGGAGCTGCCGCCGTTTAACACACCGGATCTTTCCCTCTCCCAGCCTTCATCCGTGTGGGATTTCTCTGTTTCAGCTGTAGTAGGATGAGGGGGCGGGGTGGGGACTTGAAAGTTTTTATCGTCTTCCTCGTCCTCTTTCTTACGAGGATTTTCATTGGCATCTTCTCCATTCCCAAAATCATGTTTCTCTGGGCATGATTGTAAGGGGCATAACTGCTGGGATTCGGCTTCCCCGTCCATTTCCTTTACTGATTTGCCCTTGTGGATGCGGGACGTAGCCTGGTTATTGAGTTGGGCGCCACTACCCTCACATTCCTCTCCTTTCCCTTTCTCTTCTTGCTTTTTCTCGACTTCTTTGTCCTTATCGGCGTCGACGTGAGACCTGGATTCGCTGAGGACTTCGTCTTCACTGGTCTCGGGAATGTAGGTCTCATTCGGATGTTGCCGCTTGAAGATGATTTCCCGAACTTCCTCGCGGCGCTGCGCGATTTTGTGCAGGACTTCGTTCGACTGGACGTTGCAGTATCGGCGAAGAATGTGGAGCAAGGTACTGAGATCTTCCAGGGCTGCATAGAGCTCCGAGTCGTCGGCAGAATCCAGTGCAATAGGTTCGGGACCAATTCGAGCCGAGGTGCTGAGGTACTCCATCGACGAAAGGACGCCGCCAAAGAGTTTGGAGCTACATTGGTACATCATGGTCATGGTTTCGTCTTGGAGGAAGCTGAACATGTTCATCATGTCTTGAAAGGTTTGCAGCTGAGGCATGGTGGGAGTGACGCCGATTTCCAGTAGATACCTCCCAGTCATGGTCAGATAATCCCGGATGAGGTGCCCGATGGGCTCTTCGTAGCCAATCACCCCGCGGTTGACGAGACAGGCCAGGCAGTACTGTACGTCCTGCATCAAGGTAGCCGCATTCAGCACGGACAGACTCTTCTGGATCCCACATTCGGACTCTGACGACGCGGATGAGGACGACGACACTTGACAGTCGTCGTCGTCCTCGTCTTCCCCTTCGCTGGACGTGGACTCGGATGATCCTCCGGACGATCCTTGTCCGGCAGAAGACGACGAAGCTTCACTACTCGATTCGTCCAGATCTTGAACTTTGATGGGAGAGCCGACATTTTCGACAGCTTCAACCTGACGAGTCTGGGGACCCTTGGGACCCTCGTGGACAGTATCCATTCTGGGAGGAAATGGGGTCTGTACCCGGATTTCCTCTCCCTGAAAATCTTTTCCCCCTTCGTGCCGTACTTCATGATGACCTATCTCTGAGTCGTCTCCCAAAAGCGGATCAGGGACCTAAGTGACCCGAGAACTCAGTTCGGTCTTGCCGAAATAGCTTTTTATCTACCATTCCGAGGAAGAAGAACTTACGAGTGCATTTGGTGTTGGAGAATCCCCTGGGGATGGAGGTCTACGTGGATCCATCTTGTTTTGCGGGGTTTATATTACAATCAATTGCGGAAAGGACGAGACGTCGACTTTTGCAACGGGTGTAAATGAACCTGAATTCAGAGTCATTGTTTACGGGGGTTTCTTTCTTGCATCACTCCTCCTTTGCTGGGGACGGGAGAGAAAATAAAAATATTTTACGCAAATCTGCGTCTTGAAACACACGTTTTCCAACAACTCAGTGTAGCTTGAAGAGAAAGTGTTCACAGGCTCCTCACAGGCGAGGGCAAAATAGGGACAACTTCAGTTTTGAGCTATTTCGGGAGCCTATGGGGTGGATGGGTGCGAGTGTCGAGGGAACTACAGAGTCAGATGTCACGTCCTAAAAAGACCAATAGGTCCTGTCAACCCAGTGAATCTGGCCATGAATAGATAAGAAGGTCCGGCATGAGTCCCAACATTGCACGAATTCCAAGCAGATCTCGGCACAGTGCCAAGATCCGTTCTCGTGAATGGAATCGTGAAG